CTCACCATCCTTGTCCACGGCACGGAAGAGCGGCAGCAGCGTCGAGTCTGAGCCGGAGCCCTCTCCTGGGACAGGCGAAGGCGGCGGGCGGGAGGCCTGGGGATGCGATTGCTGCGGCCGAGCCTGCTGCTGCGGCGGCGGCGGCGGCGACGCGTGGCCGTAGGGGGGCTGCTTGTACTGGTCGCGGGGAGCCGGCGGCGGCGGCTTGGAGTCGTATCGCGACGACGACGGCTGCTGGGCGTAGGATGCGCTCGGCGGAGGGGCGGCGCCGGGTTTCTGTTGGGCTCGACGGTCAGCTATCATGCTGGGCGGGCGCCAAACGGCTGCGTCTCTCCTGCGATTCAGGAAGAGAGTAATCGCAGAAGCTGGACAGCGTCAAGACGAGAACGTACGGGCTCGGGCTCCGCGAATCTGTTTCAAAGGCCAGCAGTCAGTCACGGTTGACGGCCAAAAGCCAAGGGAGAGGCGGCGAGGGGCAGGCGAGGGGGTACCTGGGGAGAGCGTCCGGGTCGTAGGGTCTGTTGTACGCCATCTTGACGGGCGACGCGCAGTCAATCCTGAGCGTCTGCGAGGGAATCCGTCGGCGGTCTCGTGCCCCTTGTCCTTCGCGTCGGGGGATGGGGTCGTGGAAAGGGAGAGAGAGGGTGGGAGACAGACGTCGAAGTGGACGTGGTCAGCGGTAGGTGGTGGTAAAGTACGGATTGGCGGGGCAGGCAGTGTCGTCCGTTGTTCACAGGGGGTGGTGGTGATGGGCCTGATGGCCGGTCCCCTGCTGGTCTGGTCTGGGGGCGGCACACGTCGTCGCAGCAAACGAGGGTACGGGCCGTCACGTCACGCGAGGGGGGCGACTGGATAGAGCTCCGAGTCGAAGAGGAACGCTGCAGGAAAGGAATTATTCGGCAGCCAGGCGATGCGCATGTGCGGCCTCGTAATCGGCAGCGCGCAGCAGCTGGGTGATGGGAGGCGGAGGAAGTGACCTGGGAGGCTCTGCAGGCGGAAGCGCGCTGAGGAGCTGGAACTGGTGACATCCCATGCCCGTCAGCGTTCTGGAGCTGAAAAGGATCGCACCACGGACGGCGGCTTATTTCTGCCGCGCGTAGGTGCGTTTGCACTGCACTGCACTGCACTGAACCGACGTCACCTCAGTTCCATGGAATGATGGGCGCTGGGCTGTCGTTGACGCCTGACCGGCCAGCCGCAGCGGTCGGGTCCCATCCCTCCACTGCTTGACTGGCCGGGGTGTCCCTGAGGGGCCCCAGCCGGGCGTTTCAACTGCGCAAGGCCGGCGGGGGAGCGGCGGGGGGGCCGTTCGGGGCTCGGAGGGAGGAGCGAAGGAGCTCTGGGGTCAGGCTTGTCCGGCATCTGGGTCCATTCAGCCCGCTGTCTCGCCCGCCTGGAGCTGTTGCCCGTTTTCGATGCGGCTCTGCTGGCTGCTCTTGCCTTGCAAGCTGCTGGCCGTGGCATTGCGATTATGCACTGACGGTCAGTCATTTCAAGACTGCAACGACTCGCAGGTCCTCGACTTTGATTCTCGCATCATCTCTGCGTCCGTTAACCTTTTTTGTGCCTTGCAATTGCATGCATCCATCCTCTGCACTCTGGACGCATCTCATCTCCAACGTCATAACGCAGCAGCGAAACCATGACGTTGGACGATGCGCCGCTGAAGGCCGCGTGCGAGAATCAACTCCTTGATCGTCGTCATCAAGGGTCAGATGCTGCCACTGGCCGACGAGTGCTCACGGCGCCGACGATGCGCCTCCTCCCTCATTTACAAGAGACGGCTCTACAAAAGGATAGACGCCTGAGCCGTGGGGAAAGCTGCACGTTCATGTTTAGAGGCGACATCTACACGTCCTACAACGCAGCCGCAGTACCATTTCACTGCCAACTACCCCAGTGCTACAAGCAGGGAAGCCCTACACGGCGATAATGCTCATCTATGAGTAAGTCGGCATCGCGGCAAAGGCGTCTGCGTTCTTCGTAATTGCACCAGCTAGCCGTCTAGCAGCACACCAGGCAGTGGAGAATGGCGGGGTGTCGGCCGTCAGGCGCGCGTGGCAGTGTCATTATCCGCGAAGCTATCTCCTCAGCTCCTGACAATGCGCCCCGTCTCGGGAGCGCGGATGTGCCTTGGGGAGCGCGCTTTGTTCGAGCCTCCGATCCGCAGTCGATAGTCCAAAGCATGGTACCACGGGGCCGATAGTTCGCCGTGCTCGTTCGATAAGCTACCGAGCAAGATGTGAATATTCGGACTCTCGGAGACATGTCCAGCGACGAGTTGAGCTTGGAGGTCAGTGCCAGCCGCACCGGGTTGACTGCCCTGCCAGATTCAATGAGTGCTCGTCTGCCTGCATGTCCTCCCCCGTACGAGTGTACGGAGGTTCTCTCGAGGTTACAACTCCGTGTTGCGAGATCGTGATATCAATATCAGAAGAATGCGCTGCTATATCGTTGCCTGCGCCGTCGCGGCGACGTTGGCGGGCCTGGGGGCCACGCATCCAACTCATCAGGGGCGGTTCCCTATACCCAACCTCATGACCGGGCTGCGAAACAACCCGCACGAGCAGTCGGTGCATTTGGAGTCAGCACTGGAGAGGAGGAGGAACGAACAAGACATGTCCCCGGCTTGGACTCCCAACCCTGCCCGTGCGGCCACTCCAAACCCAGGATGGAATTACATGGAGAGACGGCAGACGGTAAGCAGATGCGGCGCCGACTTTGGAGGCGCCATCTGCGACCCAGGATATTGCTGCTCCAGTGCTGGGTGAGTCCAGAGTAACGTGTAGAGGCAACTAGCTAACGTACAACTCTTCACCCTCAAGATGGTGCGGCCTGGGCTACTTGTACTGCTCTGCGCCATCATGTCAGATAAACTACGGCCCGGGATGCGACGCAAACACTCGCCCCTGCGGAAGTGACACGACGAATGTGTCACGACCGCAGCTGGGGTCGGTCCCGTACGGAGTTGCCATCTACCACTGCGAGGTGTATGGAGACATTGCTCTCACTTACGACGACGGGCCGTGGGACTATACCTCGGATCTGTTGGATCTGCTCAAGGTCTGTCTGTTATGTCACCCGCTCCGACACCTGCTTCGGAAGTTGAATCTCACGCGCTTCGTGTGCAGAACCATAGCGCAAAAGCTACCTTTTTCGTGACTGGCAATAATCTCGGCAAGGGCCAAATCAACGATCCCAGCCTACCCTGGCCGGGCATTATCAGGGTGAGTATCTCGAGAGGTGAGCGGTAAACATCACATCACTCACACGCAAGTCACCAGCGAATGATTGCCGAGGGCCACCAAGTTGCCAGCCACACATGGGCTCACCAGCGACTCACTGACCTTACCCCTGACCAAGTCCGGGACCAGATGCTCTTCAACGAGGTGGCCTTTAACGACATCCTGGGCTACTTTCCCACATACATGAGGTGTGTGCATGGCCCCCTTGCTTCCCGCGCCTTGGCTTGCACTCCCCTTGACAGACAAATACAGGCCGCCTTACTCGGCCAGCAACGCTCAAGTTGACTCCATCCTCGGCGATCTCGGCTACCACGTCACGTACTTCAACCTCGACACCGAGGGCTACCTTCACGACGACCCAAACACCATCCAGCAGAGCAAGGACATCTGGGATGGCGCCGTCGAAGGAGCCAACACGGCCACCACCAAGTGGCTGCAGATCGAGCACGACCCCGTCTGGCAGTCCGTCTACAACCTCACCGGATACATGCTCGAGTCACTCTTCCGCAACGGCTTCCGCTCCGTCACCGTCGGCGAGTGCCTCGGCGACCCGAGTGGCAACTGGTACCGCACAGGGACATCGGGTCCGTCTACGTGTCCGTCTACGACATCTGGGGCCCCGACGCCGACTCCCACGGTGGGCCTGCCCAGCACTGACGGCCGCTGCGGTGTCAACTTCAACGGCACGACGTGTGTCAACCAAGGCCCGGACAGGTGCTGCTCGCCGGGCGGCTGGTGCGGTGCCACGACGGACCATTGCGGCGTTGGGTGTCAGCCCCTGTACGGGCAGTGCGGCGCCGCGAACGCGACTTCAAGCACGTCGTCAAGCCTGTCCTCGAGCTCATCATCGGCATCGTCACCGACGACAACAACCAGCACCACGCCCACGGCCACGCCCACTGTCGGCCCGCCCAGCACCAATGGCCGCTGCGGCATCAACTTCAGTGGCATGACGTGCGTCAATCAAGGCTCGGATAGGTGCTGCTCTCCGGCGGGATGGTGCGGTAATACAACTGCACATTGCGGCACTGGGTGCCAGCCCCTTTACGGGCAGTGTGGTTCCGCAAGCTCGAGTTCGAGCTCAAGCGCTTCAAGCAGCACCAGCTCCAGCTCAAGCTCTATCAGTTCAAGCAGTTCCATCAGCACCACTAGTAGCTCCAGCTCCAGCTCCAGCTCCAGCTCAAGTAGCTCGAGCATCACCAGCAGCGCTGGGTCCACGTCGTCTTCGTCGCCCACTACAACGACGACGAGTGCATCGGCAACGGCATCTGTGGGAATACCTAGCACTAATGGCCGCTGTGGCATCAACTTCAGCGGCATGACGTGCGTCAACCAGGGCACAGATAGGTGCTGCTCCTCGGCAGGGTGGTGCGGCGGTACTACCGCCCACTGCGGAACCGGCTGCCAACCCCTATATGGGCAGTGTGGCACTGCAAGCTCGAGCTCGAGTTCAAGCGTTTCAAGTTCCAGCAGCTCCAGTAGCTCCAGCTCGAGCAGTACGAGCACCATCAGCAGCTCCAGTCTCATTAGCTCGAGCACCAGCAGCAGCACCAGCTCGGCCACGTCCTCGCCCTCGTCCTCGTCGTCTTCCTCGTCGCGGACCTCAACGACGACAAGCGCGTCGGCAACGCCGTCTGTTGGGCCCCCGAGCACCAATGGCCGGTGCGGCGTCAACTTCAGCGGTATGACGTGCGTCAATCAGGGCGCATACAAGTGCTGCTCCTCGGCAGGGTGGTGCGGCAATACTACCGCCCACTGCGGCACGGGCTGTCAGGCCCTATACGGGCAGTGCGGTACTACTACGTCGTCGGCCTCTGTTGCGGCTTTGCTCTTTGCCGATCCTTCGTCTTCGTCTACGTCGTCCTCTTCGTCATCGTCGTCCGCTTTGAGTTCCGCTGCTGCCTCTACCACGTCTACTTGGTCCACCGCAGTCTCAGGTTCTTCCACTGTACCCCCCACCTCATCTTCTTCTGTACCTTCCACATCGTCGTCTTCTGCATCGCCCGCTTCATCTTCTTCTGTACCTTCCACCTCGTCTTCCATTGTATCCTCAACCTCGTCCTTGACGGCACTGCTAGCCCCACTCTCGACCTCATCTTCTACTTCCTCTTCCGTTGTATCGTCCACGTCTTCCACCTTGCCGTCTACTACGTCTTCGTCTTCCATTACTTCTTCGACGTATTCTGGAACATCGTCAGCCTCTTCTACTGAATCGTCGACCTCATCTTTGGCGGCACTGGTAGCTCCCCTGTCCACTTCATCGTCCACCTCATCTTCTGTTGTGTCATCCACGTCTTCCACTGTACCGTCCACTTCATCTTCTACTGTCCCGCCGACCTCGTCCTCCACCGTACCTTCAACCTCATCTACGACATCAACGCCACCCACTACTTCCAGTTCCCCGTCCTCAACCACCCCTTCATCCACATCGACCACCTCCACCTCGACGTCTTCGTCGTCCACCTTGAGCTGCTCCGCAACAGCAAGTGTAGGGCTCCCCAGCACCGATGGGCGCTGCGGACCAGACTTCAACCACACTACGTGCGAAGACCTGGTCGACCTGGGGCCGTATAGGTGCTGCTCTTTAGATGGCTGGTGTGGCAACTCGACTACCGAGTGCGGAAAAGGATGCCAACTTTGTTACGGAAACTGCACCTCGACTTGACCTTTACACCGGCCGAACCAGGCACACGCATGAACGGTTAGTTGCTGGATAGGGGGACTGACTGCGAGGGCCTGAAGAAAAGCATCTAATTCCATTGGAAGTCCGTAGACATGTTTAATGGTGTCTCATCACTCCTTAATGACAGTTCATTTCCTCCTGCGTCCGCTCACATAAGTAGAGTGGCCAGACTGACTATTGTACACGGCTGGTGGCGAGGGGAAGTTTGCAATACAAGCGGATTCTCGCAACTCATTCCCATGTAAGAGGCCAAAATTTGAATGCGACTTTTTGCGTTGCCATGGAGCTGTACAGCAAATGAGTCCAAAACGCGCGCTTGTCACCAATTCACACCATCAACGCAACCCCCTGTTTCTCGAGTTGTAAGCGCAGCCGCGACATCAGACAACTACACACTGAGCAAACCACCACCACCACCAACACAACGACCGCTCCTAAAACAGCCATTTCTCGCTCCTATCTTAATTTCACGTAGCCCCATTCCGTCCCTCCCTGACAGTAAATTCAGTCGTGGCGGGCCCAAAGTTGGGCCCCGACTACTACTCAGCTGAGGTGCCCCTAGCCGCACGCATTTCAGCGCGCGACGCATTATCGAAACCTTGACGTCTTCGCCCGCCCGCGTGCAATGCCCACAACGGAACCGGGCTTGCTGCGTCTCTCCCAGAGATGGTGGCTCGCGCACGTCGAGGGAGACTGCCATTGCCGCATTCAGCTGTGCGACTGGCTGGATACGGATATGGGCTGAATGAGACTTGCCCAAAGGTTAGACGGGTCAGCTATCGCCTCGGCTGACGTGTTGCATTGCATCTCATCGCGGCGCGCAGCGGAAGCAGCAGCAGCAGCAGCAGCAGCAGCAGCGTGACGATTTGATGGTTGGGAACTTGGGCCGTATATCAAACGGCTGGATCCGTGTAAGTGCAGCGCGCGGCGGCCCATGGTCGGCGTGGATAGAAGAGCTCTGGCTGGCAAACAGTTTTACACCCCCCGTCTTATACCACTCCCTTAGATGTCGCATTGCCTTGAAATCATCAACTGATCTCCTGCACTTCTTCTCGGTCTCTTTCTCAGGTGGAAGCAATGGGCTCGTGCTGTTCCCGATACTTTGACCTCGCGCTCGCGAGCGCGCCCCCCGTAAACGCCGTCTACTACCCGTCGTGGAAGCTGTACGACGGGAAGCCCCCCTCCGTCGTGCAGGCCGAGGTGGTCACGCACGTGTACTATGCCTTTGTCGGGTAAGCAAGCAAGAAGGAGGAGTGATAGCGGAGAGTCAGCAAGTGGGAACGATGCGCTCTGACATGGTCGATGCCTCGACATCATCTACAGCGTCCACGAGAACGGGACACTACGGGTAATACGTTTTCTTGCATCCGCGAAAGCGAGATGGATGGGGTCTGAGGAGGGAACTACGAACAGCGGTCTTGCTGACGCGTATAAACTCGCCAGTCTCTCGACGAGTACGCAGACTTTGAGGCGCCCATCGGCAACTACGAGGGCTGCATCGACGCGCTGGGCGGGCTGAAGAAGAGGAACCCGTCCATCAAGACGCTCGTGTCGCTGGGAGGAGCCGAGGCCAGCGGCGAGTTCCCGGCGCTCGCGGCGAGCGAGGAGTCGCGGCAGGAGCTGGCCTCGTCGGTCCGCGACTTTTGCGACCGTCACGGACTCGACGGCGTCGACGGTGAGTACAGCAACTCCTCTCACACACACAACACTTATACATCCCTTTCGATGGGGGTGTGAGTGTCTGGATCCAGAAACTCTGCGAGCAACTGAGCTAACATGAACCGCCAGTCGACTGGGAACACCCGCAAACGCCCGAGCAAGGCCGCAACTTCATCAAGCTCCTCCTCGCGCTGCGCGCCGCCCTGCCCTCCACCTCCGCCTACCTCGTCACCGCGGCGCTGCCCACGACGACGGACGTGCTCGACAACGTGGACCTCTGGGAGGCGGCGCGCGCGCTCGACCTGCTCAACCTCATGGCGTACGACTTCACGGGCGACTGGACCAAGCTGAGCGGCAACCAGGCGCAGCTGTGGCCGCCCGTCGGCCGGGAGCAGGTCGCCGTGGCGCGGCGCGACGCGGACCTGCGGCTGTCGGGCGCGGGCGGCGTCGAGCACGTCTGGCAGTCGGGCGTGCCGACGCGCAAGATCGTGCTGGGCGTGCCGGCGTACGCGCGCTACTTCCCCGGCGCGGAGGGCTACGGCGAGACGTTCAACACGTCGCGCAGCGATGAGATTGACTACTGCGACGTGCTCAACGGGAGTAGCAGCAGCACCTTTACGGTCACGTCCACGTCCACGTCCACGTCCACGAAGAAGAAGAAGAAGAAGAAGAAGAGGAAGGCGGAGGCGAAGGCGGGAGCGGGAGCAGCAGCGGTGGGCGTCAAGGCCCAAGTCCAAGTCGCCGTCGACGCCGAGGCCGTGGCCGCGTCCTTCGTCGACAGCCTGCCCGGCGGGAGGGGCTTCGTGTCGCTCGACGTGCCGCAGACGGTGGCCATGAAGGCCGGGTACGCAAAGTGCATGGGGCTCGGGGGCCTGTTCTACTGGCACGGCGCGGGGGACAAGACGGGCAACGAGAGCCTCGTGGGCACGGGGTACAGGGTGTTGATGGCGCAATGAAGGTAGGTAGGTAGGTAGGTAGCAGAGGAAGAAGTTGGGAGGAGGCGTGGGGGGGGGGGAATGTGTCGTCGTCCGTGGGCGCGTATATGTGAGGTGGTGGTGTGTGTAGTGGAAAAATCGTGGAGTTGATGCAGGGGTCAACAAAGCTGAGGCACAGCTGGCAGGTAAGGCGGGTGTTTCTGGATGAGTTTAGCACCTAGAAACCCACTGCAGCTTCAAGGCTAGTGGACGGCAATACAGGGCGTCTTTAGCACGTCTACTCACATTCCCAGCCTCCACTAACAGCCAACATCTAAGGCTCTAACATGGCATATAAGTCCCGTTACACAACAGGGGCATGCCGTCAACGACAACATTTGGAAAACGCCGACATCGTGCCCAACCCTCAACTCTCACCGTACACGACTGCCAACCCCCTCAGCACTCACCCCCGACATCGCAATTCCCACCCATCCGTCATCATCCGCCCGTTCCCTTTCCTCCGTGCCTGGCTCTCGTTATCCTCGTCCTCCGTGGCGGCGGCGGCGGCGGCGACGGTAGAGCTGCCGGACCCCACGGGCGGCCTGCCCGCGTCCCACTCTCCACGGCACTCCGAAATGCCTCCCAGACAGCGCCTCCATTACTGTTCACCTTCTTACACATCCTCCTGCTCCTCCTCCTCCTCTGCCGGAACCCCGTCACGCCTTCTCACTGCCCGCCACCCATCGTCGACGTCCATTGACGCATACTTGACTTGCACTTTTCTCTAACCCTCGTACTCACCGCTGGTTTAACCCCCCGCTCCCTGCTACCGCCTTGTTGCCTCGTCGTGCCGCCGGCCCTCAACCCCCCGCCATAGTCCGCAATCGCATCTTGGCGTTCTCTCTTTCCCCCCCGCCCCCACCAACAACAGCCGCGGTGCATCGCCTCTTCTTCCCTCGCCCCAGCATGACGGCTTCAACGACAGACGACGACGGGTCCGCCTCCGAGTTTTGGCTCTACGGCTACGGGTACGCTCTCCCACTCCCCTCACCCGTCTCAATCGACCCTTCTCCCTCTCCATTGCTATACTCCGTCTGACCACCGTTCTCATTGCTAATCATCACCTAGGAGCCTCATCTGGAAACCTCCCCCTCACTTTGGTACGCTGCTCCAGGCACGCAATTCTCACATCGACAACCTTGCTGATACGCTCCCTCGCGCTCTCCAGACAGACGAGTCCCCGGCTGGGTGACGGGCTACGTCCGGCGCTTCTGGCAGGTCTGTGGCCCAGCTCCCCTTCCTTCTATGCCCAGATTGACGGACGCTCTTGCTAACCCGCCTCCGCAGGCTAGGTACGTGCCATGCCTCCAAGCATGGCGATAGTCAAGTGTAGCTGCTGACGCGCCGTGCAATCCCCAGCGAGGACCACAGAGGCACCCCCGAGGCCCCCGGTCGCGTCGTGACCCTCATCGAGCGCGCCTACTGGGAAAAGCTCACCGACCACCACGACTCGGCCCCCGAGCGCGTCTGGGGCGTCGCCTACCGCATCATCCCCGAGCGCGTCGCCGAGGTCAAGGAGTATCTCGACATCCGCGAGATCAACGGCTACTCCATCCATTACACGCCCTTCCATCCTGCAGACGGCTCTCCGCCCATCTCCACCCTCGTCTACATCGGCACCCCGGACAACGAGCAGTTTGTCGGCCCCCAGGACCCTAACAAGCTGGCCCGCCACGTCCTCGCCAGCCGCGGCCCCAGCGGCCTCAACAAGGAATACCTCTACAACCTCGACGTCGCTCTCGACGAGCTGAGCCCCGGGAGCGGCGACGTGCACGTCAGCGATCTCGCCTCTCGCGTCAAGGCCCTGGAGCATGACCAGACCGTCGCGTCGCCGTCTCCACCACCCGCCAACGCACACTTCAAACGACGCAGCAGCATAACGGAGGCTGAGGAGCTCGAAAAGGCTTGACCACAAGGCGAGCCAATGACATATAGAAATAGTAGCGGGAAAAGCTTTTGTCACGAGAGAGGCGGCCCGTCCATCAAGACCCTTGGACCCTTGTCCCCAGTCCCCTCCGCCTCCTGTACCCCTCCGACCTTTCCTGCGCCCCTCCCATAGAGCCCTTCCCATTCCGTCGTCTATCTGGTCGACCCTGAACATCGTCGTCTTCGTCATCGTCGTTATCAATCTTTGTTGGCCGTCGCCTTGTTCTTATCGCCTAGTCAGGTAATAGCATAGACCCAACGTGGCATCCGGGATGCGTGCTTGCCCTCTCCCACGCCCGGCCCGTTGCTCCCTCAGCAAAGTGAAATCAACCGATGCCTCCCAACCGCCGCCACCCCCTCAGAGAAGAACCAAAAAGTCAACAGTTGACACAGCGCAATAGGAAAAGCGAAAAGGTGGAGTCAGCCCGCGACTCCAAGTCGTCCTTGTCGAGGATTATAAAGGTCCCCTGGATACTTCCTCCAGATATCGACAGAATCATCCGGGTATCTTGCGATCAACATACTGGCAGATACTTGAAAAGTCCCATACCGCAGGGCATATTGTTCTGACGGTCTTCGGATATGCCCCAGCCAGGTTTCGAACGTCTTCGCCGCTGCACAGCCTGCAGCTCACTCCCCACGGTTCGCCTACTGTAGGTCTCAGAAGCTCACGCCGGGGGCGTCTCGGGCAAGGCGCTGTTTAGTAGCCCCGGCCACCCTGGGGAGGAGGCTGCTGCTGGGGGTGGACCGGAGGCTGCTGCTGGGACGGGTCCGCATATCCATACGGCGGAGCGCCGTAGCCTGCGAGAGAGTCGGCGGTCGGTCAGCGTCGTTCATCTCGTCTATCGCTTCGCCCCAAAGTCGGGGCTTCAGGGGACTCACCTTGGGGAGGAACGCCGTATCCGGGCTGCGGCGGTGGGTAGCCGCGACCGTACGCCACCGGTGCGTACATCTGAGGAGCGCCGACAGCATAGCCAGGCCCTTGAGGAGGGACGCCGTACGGCATCGGGGCCGAGTAGCCGCCGCGACCTCCGAAGCCGCCGCCGCCGCCACGGCCGCCGCCGTATCCTCCGCGGGGGCCGTTGTCAGACGCCTTGTCGACTCGAATGGTTCGGCCGTCAAACCTAAGACACAGATGAGAATGGGATTCCGAGGCTCGCGCGACCGACCACAGCTCAGCCAGCAAGGAAACACGAAGCAAGGAGCTCATACTCGACGTTGTTCATGGCGGCGATGGCATTCTGGGCATCTCCTTCCTGGGTGTAGCGCACAAAGCCAAAGCCGCGGCTGCGACCAGTGTCTCGATCCTTGACCACCACCTTTTCGAGCGAAGCAGAATTAGAAGAGCGTCTCACACATGCGCACAGTGAACAGGGCAAACGACCGTGAAGGGCTCGGAGCGGGAAAAGGGCGAGCGGCGTAACGCGCACGTATGATGCTGCAGGACGAAACGACAAGAGAGAGAATCGCAATGGACGTACCGCTTCTTCGACGGCGCCAAACTCCTCAAACTTCTGGCGAAGAGTAGCCTCCTCGGTGTGCCATGCAAGGCCGCTTGCGTGAGAGTCAGCGACTGGAGCGTCTCCTTTGCGCGCGCGCGCGGCGACGAGGTCGGGTCGCGGCCACGGCCGCGGGGGCGGGGAGGCGGATGAGAGAAAGAGGGGGAGGGCAGAGAGCTCAGACCGCGAGCAGCGAGCGACTCACCCAATAAAGAGCTTCGACATCCCGAAGGCTTGCTTGTACGTTTTCTGGGTGATGAGTGATGTGCTTGTTGGGCGCGCAAGACGAGGGGTGCAAGACGAGCGTGCTTGTGCGAGACTGTCAAAGGTTAGATTACCAGTTGAGGCAATACCTTAGGTCTGGATAGTGCTGGAGAACCAAGGGAGCGACAAGGAGAGGGAAGGGGAGCAGGGCAGGACGGGCGACAGGCTACAATAGGGCAGGCTGGCGGGATAAGGTAAGGCAAGGAGAGGCAAGACCCGACAGGATTGGGCAGAACGGGCGACGCGTTGCCTCTCAGTCGCATCGCGGAGGTCCCTGGATCCAGAGACCCCCAAGGGGGCGCCCCCCCAGAGGTCACCTGGAGACCCCAACTGGAACTCCGCGGCGGCGGCACCGGTACGCACGCACAAGTGCTCGGTGGACGGTACGGCAAGCGTCCAGGACAGGGCAAGGCCACAAAAGTTGGCTGCCTCCGGGCCAGGCGCAAAGTAGCTCTACCCCTACTAGCAGCTGGCGCAGAGCGCAGCCGGCCGAGGTCGCATGCCATCCGCCAGTACTCGGTACGCGCGCCGTGAAGGGGGAATAAATAAGGGGCGTATCTTTTGTCTGGACAGGGACCAGCAACCCAGGCGCAAAAGGGCGCTAGCAGCAGGTTTGTTCGCGGGGAGTGGGTGGTGGTTCCATTTGGGTCCGCCACAGGCGCAGGAAACGTGTGTTAGAGGCCACCGGGGGGATGGGAAGGGGGTCTTTGGGATGTGGTGGCGTGCATGCTCCAGCTCCCTGGGAGCTTGGAACGTTCGGCCACCCGTGCCCGTGGTACTTGTACATGGCGCATGGTCTTGGCCGCGGTGCGCGGTGCCGCTCTTCCCAGGTGGATGGATGCCGTGACCGAAGGAGCGGCGTGACATTTGAGTATACTTGTACATACCTCAGGAGGGCTGTGACGGCCAGCCTCGTGCGGGAGAGAGTCTGGAGTGCGTGAGAGCGGTCCGTCGGCCGGCGCGGCGTGTATGACGCGCAGCTTCTACTTCGTGCCGTTCGCGAGTTGGTCGAGATTTATTTATCGTCGAGCGGGACAACTGCTGCAGCGCGCGTCAGCAACGAGTCGTCCGTCGTGGACGCTGATGGATGGCGGTGGCATCGTGTGTTCCCAGCAAGACAAGCCAGTGTCCACCACACTGGCTCATGTTGGCCAGCGTGCGGCGACGCTGATCACTCCCATCTGGGCCATGGTCGGCGCCGAGGCGGGCTGGTTCTTCTTGCGCTAATTTGCCCAAGCCCGTCCCGGCCCAGAAACAGTGACGCTGCTGGCGGCATATGGAGATGGCCGGGCGACTGGTGAGGTCGAGCCCGACGGCCTTTCGAAGGCGTGCAAGGGCACCTCTTGTGGGCGCTCCTGGGGCAAGCCAGGAGCACTGGGGCGGGAAACTGACAAGCGGGCGGCGACGGATTGCCTGGTTGAGACTCACAGGGCTGGTGACTCTCTGCTCCTCCTTGCTTCGGTGTGTGGACGGGCTGGCTCCAGCACGGAGATTCCCAGGGCCAGCGTTGGCGCGAGCGGCGTGGGCAATTCGAATGCCGGCTTGGCCGTTATAAGGTGCATGCGACGGACACGCTGCGCTGTGGTGGTGAAAGTCTCGAGGGGGGCGCGCCTTGGGGGGTGTCGGGGGTGGTTCCACGTTGGGGGCCACCCTGGCGCCTGTGGGCTGTCGGAAGCTTTCTGAAGGTGGGTGGCACCGCACGATGCGCAACGCACGTGGTGGGAGGAGGAGGGATGACGCCCGACCGTCGACGGTTTGGCTCGCGGTTGAGAAACGGTGAGGCGCGCGAGCGAGGGACGACGACCTGGACACCAAGAATGTTTCCAGCAACCACAACAAATGGGTAGGGCAGGGCTTTTGTAGGGCGACTGGACGATGCGATGATGAAGTTTTTACCTCTTCAATCAGAAGGCAAGGCACCTGCGAAGTTCCAACATGTATCGTGATCACACAAGAGCTGGTGGCCCACGGGAGGGGAGGAGCAGCCCTCGTCTAAATAGGTAAGCACCTGCCGCCTCCCGTCTCGCAGCTCGCATCAAGGTACAAGTACGCGTACGATGCAGGCAGGGTTGGGCAGGTGCGACTTAGACTACGGGGTGTCGGTTGTCGTGATTTGTTGCCCATAGTACCTGTACTCTGGCGCCGGTACGGAGTGCTCAGCCGTACGAAGTACATTGCTCCTTCCTCAGGGCCATCACCTCCTCGGTTCCGACTTCCGCGAGTTTCCCTCCACCCACAGCTGGCAGGAACTCGCTTGCCGGGCCGCCAAGGGCAGGGAGTGAGTGCCCCAGATCAAGGCCCGTCCTGCACTCGGCATCACTCCATCCCCCCTCAATGGAAGCCGCAACCGAATCGAATCCCGCGCGTTTGAAGCGACCGACTCGTGGACGATGCATCTGCACGCTTCGACCCTCCTGGTTTCGGCAACGCGACTGCAAGGCACTTGAAATAGCAGCACGAGCAGAGGAGAAACGCAGGGCACGGCAAGCTTCAAACAGACGTCTGTCGCATGGCCCCAAACGAAACGCTGTCGGGGGAACCTACTTATAGATCAGGCTGCACCGCAGACCTGGCAGGGGCCCTTCGACTCCTCGCTGCCCGAGGGTCCCCATTTGCTCGTCAATCAGCGACCGCGATGCCACCCACGCCAGGATCACCGAGCGCCACGTCGACGCCCCTGGGTCTCAGGGTGGCTCCTCGACGACCCTTGCGTGCCTGCCTGCCAGCTTACTCGCGACGTCCTGCGCTCGACTCCGTGCAAGGACGCCCAGGTGTTTCGAAACCAGCATGGGGGGCCAGCCATTCGTCGACAGCGTCTCGGAAGCTCCCAGCGGAACACGCCAGGGCCTAATAGGCGGTTCGAAACGACCGACATCCATCGAATGCGCCTGTCGGCCCGTCCCAGCCCCAACGTCAGTCCCGATCGCCCAGATTGCCCAAACACATGGCTTTGTGGCAAGGGCCTCTCGGTGCGCGACCGATTTGACGGCTTCACAGATTTGGAACTCTCCGGTAAGTCGGCGTTCGCTGGCACGGAAGTAGGGTGTCAAGACGTGCTCGGGTGTCGACTTGCGATACTGTCGTTTGCAGCCAACTCGCGCGGTTACTTTGACCAGACAGTAGCCCCAAGTCTTTCAGCCTCGTCTGGCCACACGACAATCTCGTCAGAGGTGCGTCCGAAGCATACGTAGCTCCTTTTCCGCAAGAAGTCCCGTCCTTCATTCGCCTGAGGTCATCGCATAATGACCACGTTCTGTTGGACCTCGTTGCCTATTGTCGTGCGACTTCCTGATAATCAGGCACTTCGCGGGGCATTTGCAACATAGCCGCATTTCAGTTTCATTCTCTACTTCAAGCGCGCCGTGACAACTTTTCGAGCATCAAAGCACAGAAGTGGCTCCACCGTGTTGATGAGGGAGTACTGGGCGACTAAAGGCAGCACGACAGCCTAGATCCTGGTCACCAGTCGGCCATTGGTCCATCTGGCTCAATACTAACTTCGTACCGACTTTTGAGGAGAGAACAAGACCCAGCATCCAAAACGATGCCGCCCAAGGTCAGGGTTGGTGGAAGGCTGATGCCCCACGACGCCCAGCTGTGCCAACTGGAACTGAATTAGGTACTGGAGTCCAAGATCCTACAGTTCCGTTCCGCGCACAGCAGTCTCCCTACTTACGTATCGCGTAGCGGCGGTAAGAGGTCTTTCGTCACATGGCGCCCTCAAATGCAGCTCCTGCCAGGCCTAGAGTGCTTCGTGTCGCCTGCAGTTTCATGGAGAGCACTTCTTTCAAGACAAGAGGGTGGAAGTCCATTCCTCGGCTCACTTTGCTCAGCTGCCTGCCGGCTTCCGCAGCATGGGTACTTACGCAAGGCAAAGCCCGCCCGTGGGTGCAGCTTCCCAATCCCAACACTGTAAAAGAGGGAAGAGGTGACCACTTGGTGTTTGGGAGAGGAGCTACCAGTCGTTGCCGTACCTCGAAGGACGGGGTAGTTTGATGATCTCCTTGGCGATGGGCAACCTGCTACCCACCATCTGTCTCGCTTCATGCCATTCTGAAGTCCTAGCTGCTCGCTGATGCTCATCCTTGCGCACGACTCCCGCAGCTTCAACAATGAGTAGGCGCTGCGGATCCTCATCCGGCAGAACGGAGACAAGTCAACACCATCGCGTCAGTACTCTCACGGGTGCATCGGACCCTATTGGGAGCAATATCGACAGTATGAACAAGGTGAAGGGTTGGCTAAAGCAAGTGCAGAATTCCCGTGGGGCTGCGGAACCTGATCGTCCATACCAACGGGGTCTTTTGAACGCGAAGGAGCGCATTTGGCGCCCGCACTCCTTGCCAGCACACGGCGTCGAGCCCAAGGGGATTGAGATGCGACAGCGGAGTCCAAGTCTTTTTGTCGGAGACAGCCCATTGCCTTCCGTGTCTTCGCAGATATCCGATGACGACGTGCTCCTGGCCGAAGGGCCTCAACTTACCATCTCGGACGATGTCGATCATCAAGGGCAAGGAGATGAGAGGTGTTGTAGTTCTGAACAGTCCAGGAGCGGGTCGTTTCGGAAGCGTCCACGTCGCAAAACTCGACAAGACCGGTACGACGCCCACAAGAACGGAAGAGTAGCAAGGAAATCGGCACGATCAGGCAAAAAGCACAAACCCCATAAAAAGCGGCCGATTCGCTCTGGACGCGAGGTGGTGGACAATTTCATCACACCTGCAGTAGCAGCTCAGCGCCTGACGGTCTGTCGAGAGACGCTCTCTTCCACTGGCTTGCTTGCTGAGACGTCGCAGATGAAGCCGAATCTGTCTTCTGGTCTGTTTGTTAATGGCCGGCGGGGCACGCGTTAGTCGGCATCTAACCCTGTCGCCGCCGTCGCTAACAGTTTGGCAGCTGGTGACTTGACGTTCAATCAGGCGGATAGTCTCGGCCTGGGCTGGGCTGGGGACGGGCAGAGAGGGAAATCAAGACGGCAGACCAGTGACAAGCTCCGGCGAGAGAGGGATATGCAGGTTGACTCAGACTTCTTCGCCAACATCACACCTCGCGAACACAAGGCGCCAAAGGTGGCCCGTCCGACGACGAAGCGGCCGAGATGTAAATCTCCCGTAGTTGTCATCGGCTCTGGCCGACTAGATGTGTCGAGAGATGATCGAATATGGCGCGAAGAGACAGAGGAACCTCGGCAATCGGCAAGGGTGTGCTTGTCACCGGCCACCAAAGGAGAGCGCCGGCCTGTTGATAGGCGTACACGAATGTTAGCCAACCAGGAACATCCTTCTCTGAGGCAGCCCTCGTTGTCAGCACATTCCCGGTCGCGAAGCTCGGATTTGTCGCCATCGAACTGCGACGAGATTGGGCCGCACGACTCGTATTCTAGAAAGTCGATACAAAGAGAACTCTACCAACCGGTCACCCAGCCGCGCGCCAATTTCGAAGATCGGGTAATAACAAACAAGATCAGTAAACAAACTGCACAGCGCTCAGGGTATACCGATGCGGGCGTGCAAACTACAAAGTATCGAGACACAGGAACCATGGTCAGCCCGAACTCCATGGGGCTCCAGAGGCGTCCGGCGTCGCCCCCGGGTGTAGGTTTGTGCGACCGATCTGCTCCGCAGGAGGACAACTCACTCCAAGTTGCGCTATTCAGTGCACCCAAAGCCTCTGAGCCAGAGGTTCCACCGCGGGAATGCCTCGACCAAGGCATCCTTTGCCGGCAACCAGCAGAATCAGAATCAGCGCGATGTCCCGAGGCCGGGGACCAGCCATTGAAACCATGGCATGCAGGACAGCCTGGTCAGACAGGCACTGGAGACTATGGCAGTCTAAAACTGCCGCTCGCGCAAAAAACATCGCGAGCACATGACAGCCATTTCTCGACGAGTGACTTCACGATTGCGTCGCCTGTCGAGTTGGAGGCGTTTCGGCCCTTCAAGTTCCCTCAAGGCCGGCCGATGGTTCAACCATGCATGTACGACATAGAAACCATGCAAGAAGCTATTCTGCCGGTCAAGGGTCGTGAATCTAGCCAGTTTTTGGACGGCTTTAGCTCGATCCTGGCGCCCTCCGCTTCGCTTCGTGGGCCTTCATCCATGTCCATTGTGCCATCTGAATTACCAGCATCAGCCGGCTCCCCTGGTGTTGGACAGGGTGAAAAGATACATGACTTCATTGCTAGAGTCGAGAGCGAGATACTGGGGACGATGTCCGCAGACTCGAGCCTTTACCCGAAGAACGAAGCCGGCAGTCCAAGTCAATTTCTAGACAAGAACGCCATAGACACGCAAATACACGACACCATGTGGGCAACAAGCATTGAGGACATTGCTGGTATCTATCCCCAAAGTCTCACAGCTTCGACCACCGGTGTTCGACATGGACATCATCCCGAGACTTATGCAGGGGGAAGGGGGCCGCCGCCTCTGAGGGATGAGACGTCACTTGCGCGGCACGGGCTCGCAGCACGAGACGACCAGCTCGAGATGAAGAGGTTCTGGCGCCCAAACGTATACCGTTGATGAGCGATGGCTATATTCTTAGGATCGCCTGCATGCTTACAACAGCTCGGCGACGCACTCATTCCGGCTGCTGGTCTTTCCACTTGTTCCGCAGGGCTGGCAAGTCAAAGCCGCACTGCTCGGCCTTTGCGGCGACGGAACGGGCTTTGCCAACGACAGGAGCATCAATCATCTTGCCGTCGAGGGTCCAGGCTCCGCGACCCGAAGCGGCTGCCTTTTCGTCTGCGATGACGACGCGCACCGCCCACTCAACCTCCTCTTCGGCCGGGGCAAACATTCGTTGCACCATCTCGACTTGGTTGGGGTGGATGCATTGCTTGCCGTTGAACCCCATGGCCCTGCCACCGGCGCATTCGTCTTGCAGCCGCTTGAGCCCCTCCTCTCCCTTGTACGAGGTGCAGACGAGGTCTATGGCACTGGGTAGGCCGGCGGCGCGGGCGGCAGTCACGATGGCGGAACGGGCGTAGAGAAACTCTGTCAGTGACGGGGTGCGCGTGATGGACAGGTCGAGCGCAAAGTCTTCGGCAGCGAAAATGAGGCCACTGAGATAGGGAGATGCCTTGCAGATGGCGGCGAGGTCCATGATGGCCTTGGCGGACTCTATCAAAGCGACAATCTTGACAGGGTTGGAGGAGCCTTCGGCATGGCGGTCTGGGGCGACATGTCGCAAAACGTCGGTGACGAAGGTCAGATCAGCCGGAGTCTCAACCTTGGGGACGACGATGGCATCGACGAGAGGCGTGGGAGCGAGGGCAGTGAGGTCTTCGAGGGCAAAGCTGGTGGAGACGGCGTTGATTCGGACGGCGAGCTCGGCGATGGAGTGAGGGCGCGCAGAGAGGGATGCGAGATGAGAACGGAGCTGCTTGCGGGCCGAAGGCTTGAGAGAGGGTGTGACGGAGTCTTCGAGGTCATAGGTGACGTTGTCGGAGGCGAGGCCGAGCGACTTGGACAGCATCTTTTGCGACGACGCAGGCACTGGGCGGCGGGAAGACTCATTCAGTCATTGGGGCCAAAGAGGCACATGGGATTGGCGTGCATACCGTACAAGAGTGAGCGACGCAAGATGGACGAAGATCTCGCTGCGGCGGCCATGGTTGCTGTGAGGCGCTGAGTGTTGATATAGCCGACTTAGACTGGCGATGAGGGCGTCATGAGATGAGGCCGGTCGGCGTAGGTCTCATGCAATACTCTGTAGAGCGCCAACAGTGCCGGAACACCAAACACACAATATTGAAATTTCGGTCAATAGCGAAAACGAAGCACCGCGAACGCATGGGCAATTGTGATGGACGAGGTCAATTGAAGTTCCGAGGTGGTTGTGATTGAGTGTCGTGGACATGTAACCGACCAGCAGTCGCACAGGCAGTCCCCCAGCGCCTCCACGTATTTCCCAAAAGAGACTAGCGCCGAATCATCAGCGTCCCTCCAGCGGGTTCGTCGTTGTGAGCAGTGGAGGCAGGCGTGACGGTTGGAGCTCCTGCCCAGTCCCTGTCAAGACAAGGCACCCGCCCCAAATGCTGGAGGTACGTACCGAACACACCACAACCCCCCTGTTGTTCGATGGAGCTTGTGCCTGGTCGGTCGAGTGAACACGACGACAGCTTCCCGGCCCGCGATTACGACGACGTCCGTACGAAGTACGACCACCGACGCAGCCCACCAACCCCCCCCCCCGCGACCGCGCATCAGCACGACGGCCTCCTCCTGCAGCCGCACGAGCAACTCGATTGCAGCAGTGCTTGGCAACGAACGAACGAACGAACGACAACGACGGGCAGCCAGCTGCGCGCCGCGCCACTAACCCCCGAGCGGACTGAGAGCCCCCATCCAGCCAGCGACCCGTCGAACGAAGAGGGAGAACGGGGACCAGTGCAGCAGCAGCAGCAGCAGCGACAGACAGCCTCCGTAGCTTGAGCCCAAGCCGGAGAGAGACGCAAACACCAGAAACGCAAAAGAGCCTGATAGACGAAAAAAAGGCCCCCCGTCGTGCCCGCGCCACCAAGACAGTTGGCCATGGACGCCACGCAGAACGCGCCCGGCTCCCTGAGCTGGCGCCTGAGCTCGCATCCCATCACGCTGCTCACCTTTTTGGGCTTCAGGATATGTGCGTGCTCTCCTCCCCCTCTTCTCTGGGCATCGCGCACAGCGCACGCGCACACGCTCCGATGGACAAGACGAGGACGCGCACGGATTCAACGGGACGAGGACACTTTTTAGGCTGACGCGGTTATCTCCTTGCAGCAAGCGTATTGATTTACTTTCTCGGCCTCTGGGTCATCAAGAGCATGTACGCGAGCCCCCGAAACCGAACCGCATGATCCCTCTCCCCGTCATATCTGTCCGCCCTCGTTGCTGTCGCGAGGCACAAGGAGAGACAGAGAGAGGAGCAGACGTGAAGATAAAAGATACAGGACTTCCGCTGACGCAGCCGCGCAGGATCATGATCTTCATCATCACCATCCTCCTCCTCGCCGCCGACTTCTACTACCTCAAGAACATCGCGGGCCGGCGCCTCGTCGGCCTGCGCTGGTGGAACGAGGTGGACCCCCAGACGGGCGACTCCAAGTGGGTGTTTGAGAGCAGCGACCCGGCCGTCAAGCAGGTCAACGCCACCGACAGCCGCTTCTTCTGGCTCGCCCTCTACGTCCAGCCCGTGCTGTGGGTCGTCATGGCCATCCTCGCCCTCGTGCGCCTGCAGTTCCTGTGGCTTCCTCTTGTCGGTGAGTGGGAACCAAGTTCTTTAGACGTCTTTCCCAATGTCTTCTTTTTCCCTTTCTCCTTGGCTCGGCCTCCTCCCAAACGACCATCCCCCTCAGGTGGTTCGTGTTTTCTGTGCTGACCGCCTGCCTCGCAACAGTCATCGCCCTCGTCCTGACCATCATGAACACGCTCGCCTTCTCCCGCTGCGACAAGTTCAGCCAGGCCTCCAACCTCGCCGGCAGCGCCCTCGGCACCACCAACCTCGCCGGCAGCATCGCCAGCAACATGGTCGGCCGCTGGTTCACGCGCAACTAAGCCACCACCGCCTCCTTTGAGCTTCCATCGCGCGTGGTCTTAGTATCAAGACACTCGGGTGCGGCATTGCGAGCTATTCTGCTATTTGTTGTCGTAGGTGTTGCGGCACGCGGGGTGTGGTTGAGCTTTTCGTGTGGCCCGGCCAACTGATGCGGCGGTGTTACACGAGAGTGGGGGAGAGAGTCAAATAGGCGTGTTCGGAGAGAGAGAGTTCCATGGGGCCAGGGGCCATGACGCAAGACGACATGGAAGACAGACAGATGGGAGCGGCGCTACTTGGGACCATGTGCAAAAACTAAATGTACACTACGAATGGGCTCGAGCAGTATGGATTTCTTCAACTACTGTTTCATCAGAGTTATGCTGTACAGCTGTCGCTTGTGCAAGCCCCGTCGCTGATGCCCGCCCGGGTTGGCTCTCACGTACTTCCTCAACTGGCCAGCAATTACGTTCAATCGTTATGTATTTGTTCGTCTCGGCCACCGCCGCGTCCTGCCTCGGGGCTTCTTCCTATGTACGTATGTGATCCCCCGGCCCCAGCCTACAGTACACTTCCATAATATCATGTCAAGCGAGCGATGTGTGGTATCTTGCCTTGCCCCGGCGTGGGGGCGGCGAATCCAAGTGTTCCTCGCCTTGCTTATCCGTCAACTCCTTCCCATGTAAAAAAAAATGGCCGCCTGAGTGTTTCCAATAGCCAACGGCCTCCTGTCCGCGGGCTCCTCTGCCTCCCACAGCGTCTAGCCTGTCGCGCTGAAACCTGCCCGAGCAATCAAACTCAACGCCTCCCCGCGCGCTCAATCTCGTCATCTAATTGCCGCTCCTCTTCCTCGAGCCGGCGAATCTCAGCCTCCGTCATTCCCTCTTCCACAAGATGGGCCACATTGCGGGACACATTCTGCGGCGTGGGTGTAGGCGCGTCACTGTCGGTGAGGTTGCCTCTGCTCGCCGCCGCGTCTGGTCTGTAGGGCTCGAAGCTGGCGGCCGCGCTGTTGCGGTGCTCGGAACGGTCGCCAGCGGTGTGCGCGTGAAGCGTGAGCGGAGCGGTGGCAGCGGCGGGCAGGGCCGCAAGATGCGGGACGCCCTGACCGTCTTCGGAGTACGGGGACCGCGGCGAGTCGGCGACCTGACCTGTGTGCATGTCCTTGTCGTCGAGGTAGGGGGCAGTAGGTGTCTGGTGCCCTGGCTTGTAGTCGCCCGGCTGCTGATTCTGACGGCGGCGGCGGCGGCGCAGAAGGAACCACACGAGGCCGGCGATGAGAGCGAGTGCGACGGCACCTCCGACCGCAATGCCTGCGATCGCGCCAGCGGAGAGGCCGCTACCTCCGCTGTTCGAACTATTGCCTCCTGGCAGCGTTCCCGGGTTGCCCAGAGGTGAATCGGTAGCGCCTGGTGCCTGGCTCGATGTTTGCGGGCCGGCGATCTGGTCTGGAGCTGCAGTCCCGGATGGCGCTGCCAACCATGCCTGTACCTCGTTCAAGAGCTCCTGGTCGGTGGCGCCATTCGTGACCGTGAATATTCCAGATTGTGAGTAGCCTTGGGTCTTGTTGTTGTACACCCAGCCAACGCGAACCACCATTTCTTTCCTGTACTGGCTGTCACCCTCGGATCGTAGTGACATGCTGCCTCTCATGTCAGCGCCAACGTCCGACAGCTTGTCGAGGAACAGTATGGCGCCGTCATCGTCCACTATACGTAGCCTTTGTCAGTCATGCCTCACAATTGGACCGTCGTTTGGACATGCTCACATTGAATGAGGTCCTGGGGTGGAGAGTTTGTGGCGGCAAACCACTTGTACTCATCCGAGGCAGAAGCCCTAGAGAGCCACTGGACATACTGGAGCTCAACGCTGGCATTGGCGGGCGTGTAGCCAAAGAGGTGCCGATGCTCCTTGGCGACGCTGAAGATGCGGTCCTGCGGTGCGAGCCGCGTGGTGATGTCGAAGTTTACGGCCGGGGCGTTCCCGTTCGCCGCAGTGGGCGTGGCCTTGGCCGACGTGGTATGTTGCACTTCCGCTCCCGGGTTGAAGGTGCTCGTTGGGGATGCGAACTGAGACGGTTGGAGGTCCTCGGAGCCCTTGCCCCCGTCGGAACCGTGCCCAAACTGTCGCGCGTCCATGGGCGGCGTCTGATCCGTCATCATGTTCATTTTGCGGATTTGTTTGGCTTTGGCGAGCCAACCGCGGGCGTCTTGCTCTCGGGTCGGGTCTTGCGCTGTAGAAAAGATTGGCTTGATCGGCCAACAGCTGTGTGACGGTAGGTGAGTCGAAGGTGTGTGCGAGGGCGTGGACGTGGACGCCAGTCTCCGTGTCAGTCACTTGCTTCACCACCAGCGACCTCGCGATGAGACGGACAGCTATGCCGTGACGGGTCGCAACAGACAGCCTGCTGGTCTCGACAAAAAGCAAGACGACGTCGTCTTCGTCGTCGGGAGAGAGTTGCGCACAGGGCGGAGGAAAAGTCGACCAGGGCCAGCCAGGCGAGGAAGACGAGAGACTGCAGTGGGCGCGGGCGAGGGTAAGACGGGCCAACATTGGGGTCGAGCGGTTGAGCCTCAATGGGTGGTGCAGCTGCGGCTGCCGGGGCGCCATAAGATCAGCCCTCCGCGCCAACGACCATCCCAAGCCGGGGTGCGCAGCCAACGATGCCAAAAATTGCTCCAGATGCCCAGGAAGCGGCCAGCCCTGCTCGGGTCAGACGCCGCCTCTTGTCTCTCACTCCCTCTGGTCGCATTGCCGCCGCCATGTGCTTGCGGATCGCCCTCGCAATGGGCACCATCCCGTCCGGCTACGCGTCGCTTGTTCGGTGTCCTCTCGCTGTGTCCCCGGACGTCGACCAGGCTGCAGCAAAAACGAAGAGGTAAAATCATCGTCGTCGCCGCCCCCTGAAAGAGCGCAGAGTGCACAGGCCGGCCCATGCCAGCAGCAGCGCGAGACGCACGGTGGTGAGCCTGCCGCGGTCGTCGTCACCGTGGGCAGTGGTGGTGGCGGGTTGGTGGGCTCGTCCACGCACCGCTGGCCGCCTGTCCGCACGACTCGAGCCCATAACGGGTCGTCATGTTCGACTCCCTCCATCCCTCTCGGATCAGCGACGAGGCATTGCGTGAGTGGTCGATGCGGCCTGGCGGAGGCTTGGGGGGCAGGGCAATAGCCAGCCGCCATATCATGTCGACGGAGCGAGCGCCCGCCGCCCGTGTAAGACGGGACGCAGAAAAAAGGTTGGGTGGCAGTGGCAGTGCCCGTCTGGGTGTGTCTGCCCTGTGGCTTCCCGCTACGAGATGGGCTGGCGGCGACCCAAGCTCCCGAGTCCAGGGTCGTCCGCCCCGCGGGCCTATCAGCGCCTGACAGGGCCCCACTGCGGCTGACCCCTCTTGCCTCTGCCGGCAAGGCATCGGACGAAGGAAGGGGCAGGGGTCCATCTGCTCCTGCCTTCTGTCTCTTGTCTTGTCTCTGTGTGTGCCATTGATTGTGTGCCTTCCAACTCCCAAGTACGTATCCCGTCGGGCAGGTCCCATCGTACCTAGGAAGTTGCTGTCTGCCATTGACTGACCTGCTGTCGGCTAGCCGCTGCGGATGAGCTGACCGCAGGCACGGCACGCAGGCGTCTCGCCCGCCGCCCTCGGCGTTAGTAGAGCTCATGCGGGCCTGTCTGAACCGCCGGCCGACCAAAGACAACGATGACATGCATTTCCGACTCGGGAACCGCATGAAACAACAGATTGCGCATCGACAATGTCGGTGCTCCCCCCCAATTGAACCGTGCCTCCCACCACGGTCACTCGTCACATCGTGCACATGACCCGGCCGTGATGTGATGAAGATGTTTAGTTCAGCCCAGCCCACCGTGAGGCGCGGGGGAGCATCCCGCTCCCACCATCCCCATCATCGCTCAACAGAGGCAGGTAGGTACCGTTCCTTTGCAAGTTATTTATGTCCAGGCGCCTCGTTCGCCGCCCTGGTCCGAGTTTCCCGATCCAAGCGCCCGCCTCGATCAGGCATGTCCCGAACGTCATTCTCGAGCTACGCGCCCACTAGGTGCCCACACGCAGATCAAGCAGCTCCGGCAGACCAAACACACACCAATCCGATCCCGTGTCTTCACCAGCATTCGATTATCCCCGTCGTCTCTACTCGCATTATACATACAGCATCCCATCGCCATGGTAGGCGGGAAAGCAACAAGTGAACCCCCCAGCAACGCCAGACTCGACTGGAAAAATATGCCAGAGTATCTTTCTATGCCCCCGAGCGCACGCCCACGGCCGCTTCTTTATGCAAATGTCATCGAAATCTCCTTCTCTTTGCCGAAATCCTCGTCGTCTGGGTCGCCCCAAGGGTCCGCAAGCATCATGTTTGGCAGCGTCTGCGTCGACGTCACCGCCGGCCGGCTGGTGCTGCTGCCACCGTCTCGCGACCCGTAATCGTCTTTGCTCGTGTCTTGGAAGGACGTGTCGAACGTCATCTGGATATCGTCTTCTCCATGTCCCGCGCCATAAACTGGTGGCTCGTATGTTTTGGTTGCATCTCCGCTCCCTTGCAACGGTAACGCGCTGGCGCTCCTAGTTTCTCGCAGCGAATGGGGCCGTGCCAGAGTCGGAGACGAGGACGATGACGGCGTCACCGGCGATATGTCCAGCTTCATCGGCGGCAGCGTCGTCTGTATCTCCCTCACCTGCAGCTCTTCCAGGTTCTCGCCGTCCTTGGCCTCCTTGGCGAGCTCTGCCCGAATCGCATCAATGTCGAACAGGACGCCGTGGTTGCTGCTGCCCTCCTTGTCCTCTGGTTTGACGCCGTCTTTGCCGGCGCTGTCCTCGTACACCTCCCACTCTTGCTTTTCGGCCTTCTTGCGTCGGCCAAAGATGCTAAACTTGCTGCCTTTCTTGGCCTTGCCCTCCTTCTCCAGCTCCTTGCGCGCCTCTTCGATCTCGTTGATGAGTTCTCGCTGACGCTCGCCGTGGTTTTCGGGGTCGGGATCTTCGATTTCGGTGAATTCCTCGCTCTCCACTTCCCAGCCACACTTCTTCAGCAGCGACGGCATGGCCGTTCGGTACTCCATGTGGCCTGGCACCTGCTCCGTCACGTCCATGTTCTCTACCCACGGGCAGTCCTCGATCGGCGCCAGCCCAGCCACGCGCCGGATGCCGCCATTGGTCAGACGGAACAGATATCCCAAGATCCAGTCGTTTCGGTTATAGCCGTTGACGAAGCGGCCCGCCACGACAGTCTTGGCGCGTAGGTATTCGTCCTTCTTCACGACCACAGGCGAGCCGAACAGATAGACGTTTTGGATCAGGCCGTGCGCGCCCTTCTTTGCCAGCTCTTGGAGACAGGAAAAGATGACTCGCGCACCGAGCGAATAGCCCACCAGCGTGATGGGTCGTGTGCCAAGGCTGCGCTCTATAAGGGAGTCTGCCAGGATGAGTCCAGCAGAAGTCGCCCGGTCCAGTGAGACTGCCCAGGGGTTATCGATGAGGTACGACAGCTTCGTCAAGACGATGGGCAGCTGCAGCGCCGCCATCAGACTGACCAGGATGGTGCTGCCCAGAATTTGTTGCAATCCCTGGGTGAGAGCCTGCAATCATTGTCAGTACAACTGCTCTACGCGCCGCTTTCCCACTGATGCTCCTTACCTCAGTAGCAAGGATGTTGATGGTGTCACCCATGCTACGCAGCATTTCGGGCTCCCACAGGACCGAGTAGATGTCGCCCATGATTGAGTCGACCGTACTGAACGGCAGGCGGACATCGTCCACCTTGCCCGTGAGCCACCCGGATACCGTCACGATCAGGTTGACCCGCTTGTTGTTGTGAAGCGGCCGATACTCAAACGTCTTGACAGCGCCCGTTCGGCGGTTGGCCGCCCTGACGCCAATGATGCTACCCGATGCCGCGGCCGAAGATGTGATGATAGCAGCGCCTCCGGCGCCGGCGAGAAAGCTGCTCGTCCCCGTGACGCCGATGGTGGTGAACCCGGCCGCCAGACCTGCTCCAATGACAGGCGCCAGCAGGCCAGCTGACAGTCCGATGACGAGGCCACCGCCCACGGTTGCCAGGCCCATCATGACGTATCTCCTCTTAAGCGCCGCTTTCCTTCGCACCTCCATGTGTTCGTCCTCGTTCCAGTTTTCCTTCTCTGCCGCTTGCTGCATCTCGAGCGCGTCTGTGACTCGCTTCTCGAACTTGCAAATGTCGTTCCACGATATGTCCAGGCTGGCGGCGACACGCTCCAGCAGCGTCCGGGACCGCGCGTCGTATATGGAGTCTGCAATGAGGATGAGGAACAGGTCGCAAAGGACAGTCCATCGAAGATCAATGTCAATTTTCTCCGTCGTCGGTAGCTGCGATGGCATTTGGGCCTCGGGGACCGCCGAGCCCTCGACGGCTTCGTATGGCGGAGGCGGTTCTGCAACCTCTTCATCGTCCTCGTCCTCGTACTTCTCTCTTCCCGGGGTCGACGGTGATCTTGACTCGGGCTCCTTGGAGGGCTTTCCCTCGCTGACCTCCTTGTCGCTGTCCTTCTTCTCACCATCTTCCTGGTCTGAGGACTCCTTGTCAGAAGACTCCTTGTCGTTGGCCCCCTTCTCTGCGGCCATGGGGTTGTGTACCCTCGAATTGGCGTGGAGTGCTGGCGTCAGATCCCCCGGCACCACGCCGTGCTCGGCAAGCTGCTCAATCATGATCTGCTCCGCCTCGCTTATGTCCATGTGCGAGTACAGTCGGATCATCATCTTCTGACCCCACATCCGAAAGGCTTCGGCGGCGATTGTCACCTCCTTCTTCGTCTTCTTGGTGATGGGCAGCTCCTCAGCCTCCTTGACCAGCTTGACAATCTCCAAACGGACCACACCGACGTACGCAATGCGCTGTCCCTCGGTCAAGAGATCCTTGGTGGCCTGCATCTGCGAAACGGCATCCCGAGCATCATCGTCATCTATCACGTCCGTCCCCTTGGCGCCCTTGAATAGGTACTGTGTATTATCGTCCATGCTCGTGGCCGACTGCGCGTCCTCGTCCATGATGACTCGCGTGTAACCCTTGCCGGCGCCACCGAGCCCGCTGTAGCCGTAGCTGTCGTCTTCTCCTTCATTATGCTCGCGTGCAATTAAGCGATTATCGTCATCGTACATGTCGTATCTTGCGTAGGACGGCATCACCTGCCATTCGTCTGCTTCAGCTCCGGCCTTGTCCTCTTGCGGTGCAGATAGCTGCTGGTGTGAAAACTCCGACAGGCCGAGGCCGTCCACGGTGGTCGCAGCACTTGGGTCCCGGCTGTGCGAGATCGGCTGCTTTCCGTCGACCGCTTTTGAGGACGTCGAGGGTTGCTGCTGCCCGTCGACGCCGGGGTCCTTGTTGACGGCGCCATCTTGGACGGGCTTTTCGGTCGGCTCTTGATTGACTCTGGGAGTTGCTGGGCCAGATGCGATCGCGGCTGTAGTCGTCGCAGCGTCCGACAACGGGTGGTGAGCATCGCCGCCCGTGCCCGCGCCCGTGCCCCTTGTCGGGGCCTCTCCCCTGGGAGTCTGCGGCGCAGAAGTCGGCTTGGCTGGGGAGGTGGCGCCAGATGCCGGGGCTAGGGCGGTCGGTGCATCTTCAAAGGCTGCCTCGTCGCTGTCGCTGTCGGACTCGCTTTGCGCCTTGGAGGGCGGGGCGGACTGCGCGCGTGCAGGTTCGGGCTGCGCTTCCAGCTTCGTCACGATGCCTTTGCCGGGAGTCGCGTTTTCGTCGCCTGTGCCTTGCGCGCCACGGTCGGGTCCCGCGCTGCTCGGGGCGCTGTGTGTTGACCCGTCTCTCTCGGCAGCCGCGGGATAGCGTCTGATGGGGAGGCCGAACTCGTCGGCTTCGGGCTGGGCTGCTGCTGGCGGGGGTTGCGTCTTGGAGTCGCTGCTTGCCGTCGTCGGCGTCTTGCCGTCCATCTTGGGCAGTGTGCAGCAGGGTGGCAGGCAGAGGACGGCTCTGCTACCACGTCCGCATCCAAGCCGCACACACCTTCCGCGGGAACTGACTGGACAGGGACGTGATAGCGCTCGCTCAAGCGAGGAATCTTAGTGAGAAGAGAGAGAGGGAAAAAGGGACTGCCTCGTCGAAATGAAGGCGGTCTACCAAGGGCCGGCGGGATGGCCAGGGGTAAGAGTGAGGCCAAGGAGGGGCCCCGTCGTGTCACTTGCGGCCTGCAGGCCCGGTCCCCCGTTGCCCGCGTCTGCACTAATCCTGCAGGGTGACGCTGCTGGCAAAGGCGTCAAAGCGAAGAAGGGGGCTCGGGTGCGGAAGCCGATGCGGCGTTGTCTGTCTGTCTGTCGGCGGCAATGCGCTGGGCGTCGTCGGCAGAGGTGTCGGCAGTGGAGGGCCAGAAACATCCCCCCCGCGCGAAACGTAGTGAGATGCGAGAGATGGGATGACGAGGAGGGCGCAAAGTGCGAAAACAGCTGGAGAGGCCTCGCGGGATGCGTGAGGCCCATTAGGTTTTACTGCGCCGCCCGCCTATGCCGGGTGGAGTGACCTGGGCAGTGCCAGAGGGAGGGCTCAGTATCCCCGAGATTGACAGTGCCTGGTAGCGGGGCGGTTGGGCGGCAGCCCAGCCCGCAGGTAGGTAGGTACCTAGCCCGCAGGACAGCGACAGTAGGTACGCCCACTCCCCGTCCCGTCGCTGCAGGCGCCCTCCAGGGCTGCCATTCCCCCCTTGGGGTGCCGGTGGTGGGGGATCACCAGCACAGGTCGCGCGACCTCCGGATGCAGTCACGCACGAGGACCCCAACACCCCAGGTAGGCCGACTGCAGTCAGATGGTGAGACACACATTGTCGCTGCTATACCATACCACTGCTGCTGCCGTCATCACCATGCTTTCGGGCGTAAAAGCCGCATTCACAATGGCACTCGGCTGCAGTTTGTGCGACGCAGGTGTATGTACGAAGGATGCGCTGTTCTCTCTATACTGTGCGCAGCCCGCAGTCTGACCAACGATCTTTGCTCCGCTGCCCATGCAACCGACCAACTCCGAGCCCGCCAAGCACATAAATATTATCTCGTAAGGTAGTGAGTGACTGTACCAGCCGCTCTCTCAAGCAAACAAATGCGCCTCAGTCGGCCGAACCGTCGTCTGCCGCGTCGGCACCAGTAGCGCCGTCGGCGCCGTCGCCCGCGCCACTCGCTTTGTTCTTTCTCCGCCTCTTCCGCTTCGCCGGCGCATCTGTCCTGGCCTCGTCCTCCGGCCGCGCATTCTCGGGTTGCTTGCTCGGTCTCGGCGGCGCGCCGGCCGTCCCTGCGGTCGTCGCTTGGGGCTTCTTCGCCTTTTTCATCGACAGCGGATTCGGGCCCTTGGGACCCCGTTGCTTCTTCTTCTTCTTGGCCTTTTCCTCCGCCTTGGCTTGCCCCAAGTCTTTCTCGTCCTCTTTGTCGTTATCATCTTTCTCTTCTCGTTTCCTCTTGCCCAACGTCGCCTTGATCTCGGCTCTGAACTTGCTCTTCTCCTCTCGAGCTCTGGTCGCTGCGCTCTCATCCGACATGGGCTCGAGGATCATGACGCTGCGCTTGATGTAGATGAGGGGCACGCCGCGGACAATTCGCAGCATGCGCCGCACCTCCTGGCTCTGGCTGGCCACCACGTATCTGTGCTTGTTCTCGCCCTGATCCTTGGGGTCCACGACGGACTGCATGCACTCCAGCGTGCTGAGCGGCTCGGGGTATTCGTCGGGGTGATGGCCGCAGCGCCGCCTTTCGCACGTCTTGGCCACCTCTATGGCTTCGCTGACTCCAGGCTCGTTCTTCTTCGCGTAGAGTTTTCTGATCTCGCATTGTGTGATCACTGTGATGTCGTTAGCGAACCCCGCGACACCACCTGCAATAGCTGGCATCGCAACGTACTGGGCTTGACTTTTCCGTGGACTGTCCGCTGCAGCGCAGGCTCGAGTTCCATCTTGAATTTGCACGAGTCCTGCACCATCTCGGCATCAACTGCGACAGATTTCAGTCAGCGGGCGCAAAGCGAGAAGCGGACATGTGTAGGAGCGGTACCTAGAACCTGATATGGCTCGCGGAAGCCAAAAGCCATGGAGAATTGCTCCATGAGCTTCCGATACTGCTTCGAGCGCTTGCCTCTCATCTTGAACTTGCTGCCGGCCACGGGGGTATTCGAGGGCGTTGCAAGTCTGCGGCTCAATGGAGAGGTGGTCGACGGCACATCAAAGCAACCATGTGAAGGCGACAAGAAAGCTTCCAAAATAAATTTCTTATCGCGGCGACAGGGATAGCCCGCACGTGCGATAAGCCTCCCGACGCCAACGTCCAGGTGGGGCCCAACCAAAGTTGGGGTGCCGTCTTCATCCCCACTGTCTCAGCGAGCAGCATGGGAGGCTTATTAACGTCGCAAACATTGGATTGCTCGTGCATACGTAGCTGTTCCGCACGTGGAATGAAAGAAAATCTTTGAGCCTATAATATGTATGCCTTCTGATGTTGAGGGTCATGCTTTCATACAGTGTACCAACCCGAACGCCATGATTGCCCTGTGATTATTGGTACGAAGTACGTCGTGTGGACTGAGTCCCGACACTAACCACCAGTCTGTGAGACGCCTCGAGCTCTGCCTCCCATGGCGTCCAGTGTCAAATGTCGTTCTTTATACAGAGAGCAGCAACAACGCTGATATCATCTAGTTTGCCTGTGGGGTCACATGTCAGCTTCGGTAGCGCGTCAGGGGATGCAAGCAAGCGAACGAACCTCCCTCGCTCGCGAGGCCTTCCTCGATGGCGTGCTCCATGAAGGGGCTCTCGGCGAACGGATCCATGGCAACATCTCTGGCAGCGGCGACTATGTCCTTCGCCGCCGCGCTCATTCCCCCGTTGCGGCCGCCTGTGCGGTCTTCATGCGCGTGGGTGCCTTTCCCTGACTCCCATTCACCTATGCTGGTGACGAGAGACTCGACTATCTCGTGCTCCCAGAGATTGTCAATGACGCCGTCGCTCATCGCCAGAACAACATCGCCCTCCTCGATGTCCATCGAGTCCATTATGGCGTTTTGCCTCGGCGTATCCGGGCTGTTGGTGCCGAGCTGGCGCGGGCAGTCGAACCAGTGCCACTGCTCCTTGGTCTTGTAGATGACTTCCTTCCGTCGCGGCCGGACCACCATGACCTGGCAGTCTCCTAGGTTCGTCACGTAGAGGAAAGGCGTCGGGCCGCCTCCGACAGTTTCCGGGGGCATTCTATAGTGTAGCTGGGCTCCGCACGCCGTTGTTGTTCCCTGCCAGTCGTGGGGGACCGTCGCGTCCAACGTTCGCTCGTAGGCCAACTGCAGCGTCCCGATGGGGTCCGGTTCGTCAAACTCCTTGGCTAAATCATCTTCGATGGCGCCGGCCCAATAGTGCAATATCAACCGCGACCAGAGACTGACTCGAAGTTAGATGGCAGCTGCGCTTATGGTGCGAAGATGTCCTTACCCGGCGTGACCACGGGGACGAGTGGCCCATGCCCCTACGCCATCGTTGGCGCACACGAAGAAGTCGCTCGCGTACACGGCATCGTCGCCGTTTGTGAGCCCGCGGATGAGCTCCCCGTTGACAAAGGCCCGCCGGTCGCGGCTCTGGTGATGGGTGCTCAGGGGGTCGGAGAAGGACCCGGACGGGGGCGAGAGGAACGGCGGAGGGAACGGCCGCGGGGCGCGCTTCGCGAACAAGCCAACGCCCGTCTCGAACCGAAAGGGAAGCCTCGTCGTCAGCTGCGGCGGCGACGACTCGGAGGAGGTGTAGCTCCGCCGGTCACGGAGGCCCCGCCGCAACGGGTCCGAGACGCGGCGCGGCTGTCGCGAAAGAGCTCTCGGGATGGCCGCCAGCGATGCGAGGTGTGACGGGCGCATTCCACCCATAGGCACCTGCGAAGACCTCTTGGGTCGGTGACCGCGGCCTCGTTGGCGGGCAAGCTGGGCTGCGGCCGGCGGGTTGGCCCATCGAGAGGTCGGCGCTGAAGTGGTCGAGACGGAGGCCGGCGCTCCAGCAGCCCGGACGGAGTCGCAGTTCAGGTAATCAGCTAATCACCTGTCGCGAGGTCCTGTGGCGGGGACACGTGACGTCGCGATTGGACGCCCGGAGCTTGCATGCCTGGATAAGGTAATGGACGTGAAGCCACCGCCCAGTGACGCGACGCGCCCAAGCAAGGCGAAACCTTCGTGTCGTTGACCCCTGCATCGGTTGGCTCATGGAACTGTGTCTTCATGGTTCCTGGCCCTGGCGGTCGTATTTGCGGAGTTGAGATATGCGAAACTTAAAGGTTCTCGTATAGGTGGCTGCCCATGCACCTCGTTGCTCTGGCTCTGGCTCTGCCCTCGCAGCTCGCTGCACGAGAAGATGCAAGATCGTGAGTCCGAGGAGCTTAGGTTGCCTTTCGGCATCTCCATTCGTGAAAATTGGTGCGCCATCAGTAACAAGCCGACCATGGGGATTTCGGCTTCGACCAGAACCCGTCCTCGCGTCTTGATAGCGCCACAGCGTACGAGTACCTTTTGGCCTACCCTACATCGCGCACCCGCATTCAAGCAGAAGCCGTAAAATACGATTCTGGATAAATGTCCCTCGTCAGCACGTGCAGAGGCTTCCGAGCTGAAACGACTGCCGATCGTCTAGCTCCGGGAGCCGATCTTCAACTTCAACAGATGTGGTGCCGGAGTGAGAGCTGATCAATTCTGGGGAGAATGGGTCCGGGATCAGCGTGCGAAGTACTTTGTATACGTCAACCACGTTGGCTTGGCGGCTCAAGGAGGCTGGATGTCGGTGCCGACCCGACCATCATGATGCCTTTTGGACAGTCCAACCGATGGCCTGAAGCGATCGATTGCGACGCGGAGCATTTGACCCATCGTTGAGTGATCAGCCAAGCAGCCGATGCCCACGCACCACCCACAAAGCACGTGCAGGGGCAGCCGCCGCATCGTTGCGCAGAAGGTGTCGGGCGATTTACGGCAGTGGTCGCGTGGTCCCGTCCACACAAGCATGGCTCGCATGAGCGCCATGGCCATGTGTCAGCACGGCATGTACGGGTATACTATCGCGAAGAAGGCAATATCCATGCAGACAATGCCTAGCTCACCAACACGGATGAAGCAATTGATTGTGCGTGAATGACCGGGGCTCTGTCTTGGCGTTGGGCCTTGCGAGATGGAAGACATGGCCGTGCTGGCCTACAGGCCCGCCAAGCCTCTCGTACCTACGCACCACTCAATGAATCAACAGTTGGTCGTTTATGCTTAAATCGAACGACAGGCGCAACGAGTCTCGAGTGCCATGACGTGATGGAATGGGCGGCTGGCAAGCGCCGCCAGATCCGACCAGACGGGCGATCCAAGATCATGACGTCACATGCCCATGCAAGCCCTGGCTTGCCTGCCTGGATCTCGGCGGAGCGTGTCGACTTTGGTGGTGCGGATTGGCAAGGAGGGGGCCCAGCAACAGGTTTGTTCCGTCGTCGCCTTGCTTCTCTTCTGCCAGGTGATGCCCCGGACCGTGGCCCGTCGAACAGACGGCCGGGTTGGGTTAGGCCTGAGCGCTCCACGCCGGGACTCCCGTGGACGGTTGACCGGATGGGCGACGGACGGCCACCAACCTGACTGGTGCCAACGCAAAAGCTGGGGGCGCGGGGCACTCCGTCGGGCGCACAGTCCATGATCGTCAAGTACCGTTGCTGGCCGTGATGCCGCGATGGGCAGCGGCGCCCCGATGTAGATTGTCGTCATCTGTCTCACCGGACGGCGACGCAGCCGAGCGAAACGGCCAGCCTTGACTTCTCCAAGCCCCGGGGCCGCGCAAGCCGGCGGGTAAATGGTCGCCGAACGAGTCGGCGCATGGCCAAGAAAGACAAAAATTGGGGTGGCTGTTCAAGCAGACGACGTACGGGCGGTGCCAAGTGGATTGGCCGGGGCCCTTGCGGTGCGCTTCTCTGAGGTGCAGGTGCTTTTCCAACAGACCAGCGGGCGGCGCGTTACCTTTACTAGATAGCTTGGCGACCACTCCGTACTGTAACTGCGGAGAAGTCAGATGCCGTCCATGCCCTGGTGCCTTTCTGTTGGCAAAGAGATTGGCAATCGCGGCGGAGCTTGGGCTGTCTTGGTCCGCTGGCCTCTCGGCGCCCCCGGGCGATGCTGCACTGGCGGCGCTAGGCGATGCGAGAGTCGCAAAAAAAAGGACGCGGTTGGGAGGCACTGGGGATGGTCGGAGGGGCAAATAGGCTGTTCGTATGCACCAGGCGGGTGCAAAGGATGAGAGACATTTTTTGCTCTCGCACGACCAGAGGCACGATGCAGTTCCTGCATGGACTAACGGTCGGACATGGATAACAAGGTGACGCACGAGGGTACGGTCAGTACGGTACTATAGTATGTACCTCACTTGCATCCAGACGTGGAGATAAGTAGCTGCAGCAATAGCCAGACTGAAGCGGTGGGCTAGAAGCGCACGTTTCTTACTGAGCAGATTATGCCCTCATGGTGGCTCTGCGTCCAGCAGAGGGACAGGCAGTCCGCAGCTGCCGGCTGCACTATGGAAAGACGCACCTTCCGAAAATGCGCTTGGTGGTGGTCTGGAAGGAGCGGATGTGCTGCAGCATGGTTGCTTACTCTGGCCTATACAGGCGCTGTGCACAGTTGTCTCTCTGATTTCCTACCAGTCCTCTGCAGACAAGGTCCTAGGAGGGCAGTTGCGAACGAAGGCGCTTGCAATAGCCTGACGGAAGCCGGAAGGAACGTCGGCAGGAGTGTGGACGTGCCACATCTTCCTTTGTTGCTTCCCGAAGGTGCATAGCGGCGCCCGCTCTCCGCGACTCATCACCAACCCACGCATAGCGTCCCTCTTGCTTGCCTCGCCTCGTCTCGCCGCGCGCCCTCGCCATCTAGAACTCTGCGCAAGACCACGGCGTTTCGCAGATCTGGCGCCAGGGGCTCGTCTTGCGACAAGCGGCGAGACCGGAAATCCACGCAGGACATGTTTCAAGACTCTCCAGCGAGACGCCGAACGAGCGACGGCGAGCGATGCCGAACAAGAATGACTGGCGGGCAGACGCCGACGGCAGAGACCCACCGAGCGTCGCAAGCGACAAGTGGAAGCAAGGCCCCGCGAGCTGTCGCAGCATGCGCCGCGAGACCTGCGGTCCACTGGAGCCCGCGCCGAGCGGCTGGACTGAATCATCGGCGCAGGGCCAAGGCGGCAAGCTCGGCGGCTCTCCCTTTGTCCCTCACACCATGCCCGCAGCGAGTTGGCGGAGACTTCACAGGCACGCCGTCCAGTGGTGGCTGGTAGTTGGGCCTTGGCTCGTCGTCAAGATGCCACCTTGCACTCTCCCAATGGGGCGGAGTTGAACTGACAAGGAACGGAGCATTCGTACTCGTTTCCCCGTACGGACTGCGGAGCGAACGGCGCCGCCTGGAAAAAGGCACGCGAGATTGATTGGCACTTGCATGGGGGTACGAGCGGTTGGCATCTGCTCGTATCGCATCGCCTGTACTGTGCCCATCTCGGATGGACCCTGGCGGCTTACTTGCCATGTAAGCTGCAGCGAGGCGCCAGACGACGGCCTGGAATACGCATGGAAAATTGCAGAGACACGGACCCCGGTCGTCGACGGGTGGCTGAGTTGGGACGACGACCACGACGGCCACAAGCAGGAAGACGGACGACAGGACTGGAAGCTCCCGCCGCGGCCGCGAGAGTTGGCGCGCGCCGCCTACGGTAGTGCGTGCGCTGGGGTGTGCAGGTACCAACCTTGATGTGCGGTGAGCAGACGCAGCACAGGCCAACCAGCTTCGCAGGCCATGGTGCTGGGAAACAAGAAAGGCGACGGGTTCCCGCGCGAGCGACGTCGGTGACGACCCAGCAGATTGGTTTGGCGCCGGACCTGGCTCGGCTGGGCTGGGCCGGGCTTGGTGTCTGGGCTCTCTGGGGGGCCCGGCGTCTTGCAACTGGGCCGCGACTTGTCGTAGTCGGATGACGATGAGACGCCTCAGATAAACCGGACCCATGAGGCGGGCGGGAAGAGCACGGCAGGCTCGATGCGGATGCTTCCACCGCCGTCTCTTTTATTTAGCAGCGCGGCGTCCCACTCCCGAGCGGCATCTGCAGCGCTTCATCGAGTCGTGTGCGCGTCCTCGTAACAGCCCCCAAGCCAAGTCCCGGCACGCGAGGCTTGAAATCTGATCCGTCGTCTCCGCCGAAACCGTTCGACGCCGAAGCGACCAGCGCGACGCCACGGCAGCTGCCAGCGAATCTCGCGCCCCCAACCCACAGATTTCGGGACTGCTCATGGTGACGACGGCCTGATCGCTGCCAGATTTAACGTTTTGCGCCTCCCTTGCCGCCGCCGACGCAGCCCCTTTGACTTTGAGCCACGCCCGCCACCCCAGACCCAGAGCGGACCGGACGCTTGGTGACGTTACGCCTGGAACGGAACGAAACGACTCGACGAGACACACGGCCAAAAGTCTGTGGGGAGCGCCAACGACTCGCCAAAAACTTCACAGTCGCTCGGGACATCTCGATCTTTCTTGCTTGGCTCTTTCCGGACGCCGTTGGACCAGCTTGGGCGCGTCGCATCGCATCGCATCGCACTGCGCCGTATTCCATTTTTTCTCCCCCAGACGCGAAGCGGACGCTGACCCCTGCGAGTGGGTGTAAGTGGTCTCGCCGAACTGGCGCGCATCTGACCTCTGGCCCGCGAGCGTGACGGTGTTGCGACTGACACACCCCGACGTTGATTCCGCAAATAGCCTCGGACACGACCAATACCTTAAGTTCCTTAAGCTTCTGCCGGTACTAAAGCACCACGAGGCCCTCCCCGTCGTTTCTTTCTTTGAGAAGCGCACCGACGCACACCACCCTTGGCACCGTCGACTGCAGCCGCCCATCGCCAGGGAGCCGGGGACCGAAGAGGCGTGCGTCTTTGTCCGGCACATCCGCGCACCACACCGTCAGCTCTAATAAAACGACCGGTTGACCTCCCGCCCACAACACGCAAAATCTCGCTTGCTGGAGACATCATCTCTCTCTCCTGACGACAGGGGAAGCCGTCCACTCGGTTGACGATACGTATAACCACAGACGCCGCAATCAACGCCCGTTGTTGGCTCCGCCCCGTCGACGAATCTTTGGCCATCCCGCCCGTCCGCCCGCCCGCCCGTCACTTCGTCACCCCGTCAGATCGTTTTTACTTTACCGTCGCGGACCTGCTCGGTTGGCCGCGCACCTGCTGCTTCCTTCTTCTTGCGAGCGCGCTGTCTGGCCGTTCCGGCTGCGTCCTTGCGCCTCCCTCGCTCTTCCTTTTGCCAGACTCCGAGCTGCGGCGGCACCGACGGCAGAGCGCAATATTGCCCCTTGGCCAAGCCCCGGGAACATTCCGCCACCCGCTCGGAGACGTCGTGCGCTACCAGGTATTGCTCCTGTGGCCGTGCAGGCTGTTGGCGCGCGCCATTCGACCCGCAGCGACGAACTCGCTCAGCTCGCGGCGGCCGTCGTTGATTCCAACCGCCAAGAGAGAGCCCCCGGCAAATAACAAAAACAATCCCAAGCCGCTGGGAGAAAGACACCAGAATCATGGGGCGCAATCGAGGTGAGTCCTGAGCACGGCCCCAATTCCGTCGCATTCCAAGAGTGGTCGTCATGCCCGAATCAGAGACAGAGAGGACCCTGGTTGAGCACCGACCGACCGACCGGGCGCAGCTGCATGGCGAGCGAGCCTGCTCTCGATGCAGTGTGTTCCAGCGACGCTAGAGCGTCGGCCGGCGCAGCGCACATCTGTCGGGCTCCGTTGCAATGCGCGCGCCCGGGGGGCGGTTCGGTGCGGGTGCTGCCATCGTGCGCGATGTGATGCGCGCGGGATGCACAGGTACCTTTTCGAGACTGATGGGTCCTGTCTCCTCATGCCATCAGCATTGCAAGCCCGGCCCCGACGCAGGTGCTCTGCTGGTGCAGGCGCTGGCTGGCGCAAGCGCAGGCTGGGCGCAGGCGCCGGCGCAGCTGGACTGGGGCCACCTGAGATGGATGCTCTGGGCACCTGCAGGGCCCCCCCCAAGCCCCCCCACCCCCTGACGGTCCCGGCCCAGCAGGCCTGCCGCCCAGGTGGCCCTCCCTGACGCGGATGACACTTCCAATACCCACGGCCCGCCCCAATGCAATGATGCCGCTGCCCCTCTCTGCGGTGGCCGCCCCGTACCCTGCAATGCGCTGACGGCTTGAGCGAACAGTTCTCTCCTTCATGTCCCAGTTTTCGGCTGGCCACAAGACTCCGTCCCCGTCTCCGTCACCACCTCACGAGCCGTCAGGAGTCAACTTTAAGCCCACGGGCACCACGACCACAACCACGACCACGACGCATTCGCCCTTTCCCGACACCTCCGTCCGCCGTCCCGTAACGCCCCCGTCGCACTCCGACTATGGCACGCCGCTGAACGGATCTCCGCGAAACAGCAACAGCAGCAACAACAACAGCCCGCCGCAGTACACCCGCCAGCGCAATTCATCGCGGCCCCTGTCCATGGTACAGGCCTACCAGCCGCCCCTCATGGACATCAACGAGGACACGATCCCGGAGCTGCAGCCCATTTTTTCGTTCCTCAACAGCCACTCCAACAAGCTGTACCAGGAGGGCTATTTCCTCAAGCTCGACGACCAAAACACACGTGCGTCCCGCCGACCCCGCCCGCCATCTGTCGTCGTCATCGCTAACCGTCTGCAGAGGGCAAGCCCAACTCCGACCGGACATGGACTGAATGCTTCGCCCAGCTCGTCGGCACCGTCCTGTCGCTATGGGATGCCGCCGAGCTCGATGCCGCCGGCGAGGATGGCGAAGTCCTGCCCAAGTTCATCAATTTGACCGACGCCTCCATCAAGATGGTGAGTGCCGCCCAGCACGTGCCCCCGACGATGTGTTGTCACTAACTCAGCCCTCTCCGCCAAGATCGAGTCGCTTCCCACACGCTCCAACGATGAGCAGCCCCTGCAGAATATCCTGAGCATTTCCACTGCCGGCCGAAATCGCTACCTGCTGCACTTCAACTCCCACCACTCGCTCATTCAATGGACCGCGGGTATCCGCCTCGCCATGTACGAGCACTCGACCCTGCAGGAGGCCTACACGGGCGCGCTCATTGCCGGCAAGGGCAAGACCCTCAACAACATCAACGTCGTTATGGAGCGCGCTCGCTTTAAGACAGAGGAATGGGTCCGTGTCCGCTTCGGCGCCGGCGTCCCCTGGAGGCGGTGCTGGTGTGTCATTTCGCCGCCCGACGAGAAGGAGTACGCCAAGATGCAGAAGGAGCTCAAGAAGAGGTCGCCCTACGACCGGTCCCCCGTCCCTGTTCTTAAGGGAGACATCAAATTCTACGATACTCGCAAGGACGGCAAGAAGCAGAAGAAGGCTCAACCCATCGCCACCATCACCGATGCCTACTCAGCCTACGCTATATACCCACAGGCGAAGTCGCTCATCGACGCCTCCACGCTCTTGAAGATTGAGGGAAATGTCACGGTTCACTCGGATCCGCCGTCAGCGACCGAGGGCTTCATCTTCGTCATGCCTGAGACGCACCCCATGGTCAGCGGTTTCGAGATGCTGCTGCGCTTCCTCTTCCCAACCTGGGATACCTTTGGCCTCTACGGTCGACCAGGCAGGCTCGTCGCTAGCGTGTTGGACAACAGATCTCTCATGTTTGCGATGCCCAAGCACAAGAGATATGGCTATCTCGAGATCCTGGACGTGTCGACGCTCATTCTCGAGGACGGCACATCATCATGGACCGAAAGAGATTGGCGCAAGAAACTCAAAGAGGCCACCGGCACCAGGATGAATGCTATTGAAGACGGTACCAGGTCACCGCACTCTCGCACCGGCAGCCGATCAAGCAACAGACTGAGCTTTGGCAACAGCGCTCCCGGTGGCAAGCCCAAGGTTGGCTTTGCCGAGGACCGTGGATCTACACGGTCGTCGAGGTCCTTTTCCCTCAACGGCGGTTCAAGGAACGAACCGGCGGGTGCTGACCCGAATCGCTTCCAACCTGCCATGGCCGGAGTCCAGGCTCACCATGCCCGGAATTCGTCGGATTCCAACCTTCGCAACGACTATGGGAACCCCATGCCCCCCATGCATGCGTCTCCCCCGTCGCAGCAGATGCCCATCAGAAGCGGCCTGCCGGACCGGATGGCCTACGGAGAGCCAGGCAGCTCAGACGACGAACCAGGCAGCTCGCCGAGGCCGGAGATTGGCGAGCTCGGAGGCATGCGCAGCATGCAGACGCCCGAGCCCGTGTCCCGACCGCCGGCCTTTAATCACGGATCCCAGGCGCGGCCGACAAGCAAAGCCTACCACTCGCCCGAGCTTCGGCGCGCCAACAGTCGTCTGTCCAGCACAACGCTGGCTCAGCTAGCGAAAGCCGGCGGGATAGCCCATGCCGGTGACATGCCCCAAAGGAGGGGCGGCGACGACGGTGTGTTATCCGGCCCTTCGGTACTGCCACACGCCAACCTTTTAGGAATGCCTGCTAACGACTATCGCTCCCATGCAGCTCTAAGCCCTCCGGGTCAAGACCGGCCGTCTGGTAGACAGCCCCCGGGGCCTTACGGGCCTGGCACCCAGCGTTCTCGGTCACCAATGCCGCAGGGATCCCCCAGCCTATACCCCAATGACCCGAACTCTGCTAGGCCGCATACATCGGACGGTCGTGGGCCACAGCCGCCTAATCCGCAGCAGCCTGGTTCTCGACCAGATCAATATCGCGGTCCCCCAGGCGGACCGGGCGGGCCTATGTCAGCACAGGGGCGAGGGAGGCCACCAAACCAGCGCCCTCCCCAGCAAGACCCGTACGGGAACGCTCGACCTTATCCTGGATCGCAAGGGAGGGGAGGACCGCCGCCGAACCAGGGCCAGCCTCATCGCAAGCCGCTCCCCGCTGGGACGCACCAAAGTTTAACCCCCAACGACATCATCGAGCACTATGTCTCCGATTCGTTTCGGGGCCCACCCACTCAGCGACGGCCCGTGCCGCCTCAGCAACAGGGCTGGGGGCCTGGAGGGCCCAATAACCAATACGGTGGAGGCCCCGACTATGGGAGTGATGGGCGGCCTTCCGCAGACCGGCCCAGGGCTGGCGTCATGAAGACGGTCGGCGGAGCAGAGTCACCGATTCCAAAACCGGGATTTGACATTCCAGAGGTAAATTTTGGCCCAACTATTAACTACGGAGCAACCCCTGCGCCTCGCCAGGCGGCTCCTGGGCCTGCTGAACCCGGCATCCATGATCAAGCAAGAAGACCGTATATGCCAGAGCAAGGATCGCACTTTGCCGGACGTCAGTCCCCTGGACCGCAGCTTCATCACGCGAGACAGGATTCGGAGGAGAGGGCGAAGCGAACCATGGCGTGGCAGCCGGGCGGCTCGCACGCCGGATCAGGAAAACAAGGGCTGACACCAGAACAGTATGTACAACATCGGTCAGGGGCTTCTCCGCCGCATTATACCCATGGCGGAGGTCTTGCAGCAGGGCCTGGGCCGCAAGGCATGGGCCCGAGGACACCTAGTCCGCAGCCGCCGTACCGGGGAGGTGCGCCGCCGCCACCCCAGCACGGCGGTCCCATGAGCCCACCGGGCGGCTCAGGGGGGAGCTTCTCGCGCCCGCTGGGCCCCGGTGCGCAGCCGCCACCTCAGGGACAGTATGGCTCCGGGCCGGGGGCGGGACAGAACCCGCGGAACGTGCCGCCGCAATATCAGGGCCAAGCCTTCTAGGGGACCTGGACTGGTGGGGGCTCGTTGAGAGAGGCACCACTGAGGCTGAGGCGAATGCGGAAAAGCAGCATAGTTTGGGATGGGCATGCAAGACGAGGCATCTGGTGCATTTGACACACGAGCTGGCGTTTGGGCGAAGGTTGGCTTACACAATAGCCTCATGGATACAAGGCATCTCAGGTTCGATTTTTATGGCATGGGTACTGACCGCGGCCACCATTTCGGTGTCCTGTGGACGGGCCAGGTGGCCGGCCTCAGCAGGATCACCCGTCTCTCTCGAACGACCAAGAGCATGATAGAATCTGCCGACCCGGGCACATTTGGGTGGCTTGACTGCATTTTCATATCTCTCTATTCTCTGTATCTAGTCTGGAATAGATGGCACCAAACAAGTGCCGTACTTTTTATGTTGACTGCTGGTCCCGGACCATGCGCCTGCGTACCTGTATTGACCTGGGGCGTCATGATGACGCTGATTGCATATAACACATTGTGGAGGGACCTCGCTCAATGATGAAGGCGGTGTCGCCTGGGCGACCTGCGAGGGACGGTACGCGTTTCCCCCTGGCGGCAGCTGACCACGGAGGGAACTAAGATGCATGGCCTGGGCATTTTCGCGTCGGTGCGGACGCGCCGATGTGGCGCGTGACGGGGTCGACCGACGGGCATGTCGCGTGGTGCCTGTGCCTGCGTGTCGGGGACGGCGTGACGTTGGCGAACGGGCACCTCGTTGGTGTTTGTGCAGCGGCCCTGGAGTGCTGAGGGCCAACGGTCGGGCAGTCGAGCGCAGGCGGCGGGTGCATCGGGTGGATTGGCACGGAGCGGCACTGCCGGCGGATCAACAGGCGACCTCTGCCAGCTGCGGGAGGCTCTCGTCCAGTGGGATGGGCTGGTTGCCTCGTGGCAACTCTCAGCGGTTGATGCAGTTGAGCGGCCAACCTGAAGCCAATGGAACCTACCGGGCGGACAAGGGACAGCGGTGGGATCCATGGGTGGATGGACTGAGCCCGCCGCCCTGGAGGGTCGCTGGAGGCCCCGGTCCAGAGCCTCGTAGGACGCCGGGAGGGCTCCCGCTGGAGCTGGACGGCTCCAGGGTCAGGCCAGGCAGTAAACAGAACCCCGCCAACCGCCTGCGGCCCCCCTCCAGCTCCATCTGGCTCCCCCATCCCATCAATCCATCCCCGTCTGCGATCCTATCGCCTCCACCAATCCCTCTCTTCATTCCACCTGCAGGCCTGTTCTCATGCGGCATCCTTGCCCTTCCTGACTTCTGGGAGTCGTTGCTTTTTTTTCGTTTTTCCCCTTTCTACTTTCTTCCCTGTGCCCGCTTTCCTCCTCGCTCAAATCCGCCTGAGGCATATGCGTGTCACTTCTTGTTGTCTTGCTCGCCACTGCTGCCGCATCCATACAGGAACCCGCCTTCCACCAGCCGACGACCTCGTCCCTTTCTGCGGATTCCACCACGCCTCCGGAGAGACCGGCGCCGAGCTCTCGGCTCCCCTTCTCGCACCGTTGCTCGCCATTCACACTTCGTGGCGACCGTGGCTAGGCACGCGGCCGTAGCCTCCTCGGGTCGCTCCCAATGGACGGCGAAGAACCAACCCAAGGTACTTGGGCCCTTGACGCGAGCTTCCCTGCTCGGCTCCCCTTGCGTACGCGCGCCTGCTCACCTGCCGCCTAGCGACCCAGAATGTCCTCGACCCTCGCCGGGTAGGGAAGCAGAACTCGGGCTTCTCCGACGAAGACATATCCGACATCCTCTGCGTCTTGGTGCCCCAGTCCGACTCGGCGCGCCGAGAGGTCCAGCGGCTTGCCGAGACGGGCTCGCCGTACGTCATCGGTAGACACGAGGCCGACGAGGTAGAGCCCGATTACGACCTCGACGACCATGCGAGCCGCTTCGAGTCGGACCCCAGCGGGCACGGCAACTACACCATCATATTGCGCCTCTCGGCCGGAGTAAAGAATCCCGCCCAAGGCTTCACCTTTGGCAGGAACCACAGCCGCTGTGATGTTGTCTTCGTCAATGATCCCCTGAGAAGGGTCAGCAATATCCACTTCCGCATCTACGTCAACGAGTACGGCGCCGTCATGATCGAGGACCAGTCCACCAACGGCACCTTTGTAGATAGGCAGCTCCTGACCGCTCACGCAAAGGGCGAATCCCCAAACATCACCAGATGGGTGCTGAGCTCCGGCGCGCTCATCAAGTTGCTCCTCCACGATGAAGACCGGGACCTGACGTTCCGGGTCCGCGTTCCCCGGCGAGACGACGAGTATGTCACGGCCTATCAGCAAAAGGTTGAGGAATACTTTGCGAGGCATCGGCTGAAGACGGACGCTGCTCCGGCCCCCACGCAGGGGCTCGCACCCCCAGCCGCGCGCACCGGTGGTCATGTCGACCTGTTCAAGCCGCCTGGTGATCCGATCGCCCGTAGAGTGGGCTTCGAGCCGCCGGCGCAGTCCCCGCAGCCTTCGCCATCGAAGCGCAGAGAGGCGCAGAACGTCATGCGGCGGGAGTGGACCGGCTCGGGCAAGTACAACAGGATAGGCACCATCGGCAAGGGCGCCTTCGCCGTCGTGTACAAGGTCACGTCCAAGTACGACGGTAAGCCGTACGCGGCAAAGGAGCTGGAGAAGCGCCGCTTCATTAAGAATGGAGTGCTCGATCAGAAAGTGGAAAATGAGATGAAGATTATGCGTCGGGTCCAGCATGTGAGTGAGAGAGCCATGTTTCGTCTGGGCTACGGCAGCTAACAAACTACTAGCCAAACATTGTGCGGTACATGGAGAACATCGAGTGGGATGACCGGCTCCTCATCATCATCATGGAGTACATCCCAGGCGGAGACCTCGGCAAGATCATCTCCGACGAGGGCGCGTTCCCGGAGGACATGACGCAGACCATGTCGAAGCAGCTCCTCAGCGCACTCGGGTATCTCCATACCAACAACATCACCCACCGAGACGTCAAGCCAGACAACATCCTCATCAACACCATCGAGCCCCTCGAAGTGAAGCTGACTGACTTCGGGCTGTCCAAAGTAGTCGACACGGAACAGACATTCCTGCGGACGTTTTGTGGCACGCTTCTGTACTGCGCCCCTGAAGTGTACACCGAGTATGCCGAGTACGACGACAACGGCGTTAGGAACCGCGGCAAGAAGATGCGTCGCGTGCCCGGCCAGAGGTACAATCACGCAGTCGACATTTGGTCGCTCGGCGGCGTCTTGTTTTACACCATGACAGGGTCGCCTCCGTATCCTGTCAAATCCGGCATCAGCTACTCAGAGCTGCTGCACAAGATCATGACCACGCCACTTGACATCACGCCTTTACAGCAGTACGGAGTGTCGGGGCAGGGCACCGACTTCCTTCGTCGGATGCTGCAACGGAGACCTGAGAACCGCGCGAGCATCCCTGACCTCGAGAATCACGTGTGGCTCGGCGGCCAGGGTTCGACGATACAAGCCTCACAATCGTACGATGAGATTACGGATGACGAAGACATCATCATCGAGCCGTCTCAGTTCCGGCCGCCGGTGGACTTCGATGACGATAGGGTAAGCGACTCCATGGATGAAGAATCCGAGAAAGAGAACGCGGACGACCCAGCGCCCCGGCTATTCGGAGAGGTCGGCGTGTCAGCCATAGGCAGCTCCGGAGTCATTCCGTCCGGCTACCTCAATCTACCCTCTGGAGACGCAAGCATGGGCGAGACAGAGATCCTGGACTCTCACGGGGACGAAGCCTACGACTCCGGAGACTCTGACACCATTAAAGGGAGGAACAGACAGGCGTTCCACTACAACGCAACGTCTATATACCCGAACCAGTCTGCAGACCAGCTCCAGAGCCTGGTAGAGAATGTCGCCTCACAGAGTCTTGGGGGCAAGGATTCTGCAGTCATCACTCCATCGGCCTCGTTGCACCATTTCTCACAATCAATGGATCCAAACTCCAGCAAGCGCAAGCCACCTTCTCAGGAGACGGGCGATGAGCTCGACGAAAACACGCCCCCGGGCAAGCCGACTATCAAGCGGCTAAAATCGGACGGCAGAGTCGAGGATGTCTCTGAGGACATCCTCTCCGAGTTCAAGTTGCTTGCTTGCCTACCTCAGGTCAAAAGGCTGGACTCTGGACGACAGGTCGACAAGCCGGTGGACAAGGTGATTTATTGGGAACAGGATCGGAAGACGTGGCACCTCAACTACCCCGAGATGACGCAGCTGCAATACGACACCTTTTTCCAGGCAGCCGTCGCGAGAGGCGAAGAGTTCGGCCCTGGGAAGACGCCGCTATGGGATCTTGCCATGAAGCACTTCCCGCCGGGTCCTCATCCTGCGATCCAAAACGGCAGTACGCCACCAACCTTTGGCCCGGGGGCAAGGCGGGACGACCGGAAGATGCTGGACGACATCATGGACATCCCATCGACGGCTGCCCCCATCGATATAGAGACGGACAAGCAGTCACAGCTTCCCGACACGCAGATCGTGGTGCCGGTGCAGTCGGACTTTGCGACGAACCGCGCCATCGCCGTCATGGAGTCGCATCCCGAATCTTGCGTGCGCGGCATCTCCTTCCCCATCACAGACTCCCTGATTTCGTTTGGACGGGCAAAGGAGAACATAGAGGTGTTCCAGGACACGCAAGAGCAGAGAGTGCCCAAGCACGCGTTTAAGATGATGCTGTGGAAGGAGGGCTGGGACCCGTCCAAGGATCCCTCCAAGGCCAAGCAGCCCTGGCAGCGCGAGGCGTCGGCGGACGACGACTCGTACGAGTTCTGGATATCAACAAAGGCCACCCTCGGGATCCGAATCAACGGGTACAACCTCGCGTCTTCGGACTCCAAGAACCCGGCGGGGCCGTCCCTGTTCTGGGCCAAGCTCCACGACGGCGACGCCGTCATGATTTGGGGCGGCCAGGACCCGCGCAGCCAGACGAAGCTCGTCTTCCGCTGCTTCTGGGGCGGGTCCGCGAAGCCGCGCCCGGAGGACAGGCCCGGCCTGGAGCTGGCGGGCTCGCAGCTCGCGCAGAGGCTCGACGCGGCGTGCGCCCGGACGGAGAAGCGCATGCGCGACGCCGTCGAGAAGAGGCGCAAGATTGGCGAGGCCAAGGCCGAGCAGGAGGAGCGCGCCAGCAACGTGGGCTTGGAGCGCGAGCGCAGCGCCATGTTTGAGCGCAGGAGGCAGGAGGCCGTCGAGTACCTCGCCGCCGCGGCGCAGCAGCAGCAGAATCAGCAGCAGCAGGGCGGCTCGCGGCGTGGCTCGCCCGCCAGCTTGACGCCCACGGCGCACGGAGGCAGGGCGCAGGCGACGGCCTCGCACCTGGTGCGGTGAGGGTATATGGAGCAAAGGGGTTCATGGGGATTAGACGTTTAGTGCGGCGGCGCTGGTGTCATGGATGGTGTACAAAATAAGGCGTGCAATGCTACTACATATTGGCAAATTCGCAAACGAGGTCGGTCCGTCAGTCGTGGACACATGTACGGCCGCCTGTCCCGGTCACCTCATCATAGTGCCCTGCAGGCGACGAAAGTAGATGAATGAATTGTGAATCCTCTCTATACATCTTTGATAATCCACTCTATACAGAAAAACAACGTAGCGAACCCGAACCTCAGTCGAGATCTCACAAGACGGATGTTTCCCCTGCAACTTGAAGAAGGCGGCACCGATGTGATGCTCAGAACATGAATGACCCACGTTTCCAAAGCACGCCCGAGGGTCTGTCGCCATGTCCAATGCAGCAGCGCCTTCGGTTCAAGCCCACCGTCCACTGCCGTGATCCGACATTATCGCAATCATACCCCTACCCTCACGTCACCGTGAGAACCCCGCGTCCATGTCCGACGTAGCGTCACCAGATTGTCATGAAACAGTACGAGCCCAAGCGACGCCCTAATCGCTGGGCTCTGCCCGAAGCGACCCGACATCTGCATCGCCTCATATGTAAGGGCAGTTGCGCTCGATTCGCCGCGGGTGTGATTTGTCTTCTTCGGGTTCCATCTCTCCTAGCGTATTGCCACTCATAGGTCGTTCATGCCCAGACTACTTCGGCCTCGGAGACCTTACTGTCGGCCAGCGAGATTTGGGGGCTCTTGAAACTGTCAAGGGCAGAGGTAATCTCTTCAATCTCTGGTGGCTCGTCTTCGTCCTCGGTTGACACATCAGACAGCGCCCCAGGATGATACTCTGCGTTGGTAAACCGCCAATGTCAGTCGCACTCTCGGCCTCGGCTCCTCAGCAGTGGTCAACAAAAGGATCGTTCTTACCAATCAGGTTTATAGCTCTCACGGTGGGGGAGCTAGGTGGCGACTCAGGCTCTTCGACGATGGGCTCTGGTATGGCATCATCGGGCATGGGCCGGCCACGAGACCTGTCCGCGAAAGCTCCAGCCCTACTCTGTTGCTGACTTGCTTGGTTGAACAGGTTCTGCGCTTGCGCAAAGCGGCTCGGTTTGTAGTAGGGGTTGTCCGATGGGAACGATCGGTCACTGAAAGTGCTGTGAGAGCCATCGTCTTGTGACGTGCTACCGGATCGATTGGATGAAGGGTGGAAGTAGCTTCCAAAGATTGACCCCCGGAACCGAGGCTTGGCCCCAAGGTTCGGATCAGAGCTTGGCCCTTCATAGAAGCTGTCACCTTGATGGCCGTATCGTTCCTAGTGATTAGCGGCATCCCCAGGAAGCTCCTCTTCGTTGACGTTGGTCGGTACGGACGGGCGAGGGCCAGGCTCGGTGTGGTCCATCGAGTGCGTACCGCCCAAAGAGCTTTGGAACTCCGAGCTAAACACTCCTCTGGAAGAGCGAAAGTCGGGCGGATTTCGATATCCGTAGTCCTGAGAGTAGCTGCTGAACACACCGCGGGTATATGGCGGAAAGCCCTCGTCCAAACACGAAGGTTCGTTGTCATGATCTCGGAAGTGATGTTCGGTAGTGCCTGGATCGACTCCATACGTGTCAGGCATGGAACTCGACTTGACGCTCGAAGCGAAGATGGACCGTCTTCCGAAAATATCCCTTGAGAAGTCCGCCTCGGGCTCGTCACCACGCGGTGGATTTGCCGCGAAATTTGCTCGCCCTTGGCCTTCTTCAGCCTCGGGATACGAAGCCGATGGGCCTGGTTGGAAGTCTTCAAAACTCCGATCATTCACAGGGCCCCGAAACATCGAGACCCGCCTAATCCCTGAAGAGAGCGACGGATCGTCGCCATAAGTACCGGCCCTGATGGGCATGGTATCATCGGCTGGGCTAATTTCGGCCTCATCGATGTCGGTCTGCGGAGCGTGGGAAGCGCATTTCTCAGGACTGGCGGATCGGATTCTGACAATTGGCGTGAAAGAGACGGCCTTCTTGACCGACTTTGTTCCTTTATTACCCGTGGACTCTGGCGGCGATGTCAGCAAGCAGATCCAAGAGTCTTCGGAAGGGCTTGGCTTCAAACCTCTAAGACAGCTCTTGGGGGAGCCGCTTTTGCTGGACCCAGCAGTGAACGATGTAGAAGCATTCTCGTTGTCTCTGACGACGGGGAAAGAGCGGGAACGGGCGCTGGTGCGCTGTAACCCAGCTGAAGCGGCGTCTTCGACGTAAGGCTTTTTATAACCTCCATGGTCAACATTGCTGGCCTGCACCGATGAGGTTCGTTCTGCCCTCCGCTGAGTTGACCCGAGTCTGCGGTCGGGGTGAACAGACGACGGGCCTGTCAGGGAGCTTGTGTTACTTCCAATTGGCGATGCCAGTCTCACTGTTTCCCTTTCCGTTGGCCCATTGGCAGAGGACCTATTCTGTCGCCGACAGCGACCATCCAGGCCACCAGCCACAGGAACGCGTTCGAGAGAATTGTCCATCGTGGAGGCTCCACAATCGCCGACGTTGTTCTCCATGGAAGAAGATTGTGTCAAGTCCTGCTCGCCTGCGGCTTCACGTTGAGTACCGACAACCTGCATCTGTTAGCAGCTGTCTCTATTGAGTGGTGTAGAAGACATACCGAGCTGATAACGGATGCGTCCACGTTGCTTCCCCTGCCTTGAAGTTCGATTCTGCATCTTCTGCAGTAGTTGGGGCGTATCGGCTGCGCTGGCAAGACAGGATGCTTGTGGTGGAAGTTCTTCGATCTAACAACTCCACATCCAAAGCAAAAGTGATGTCTGCCGTCCGCGACGCCCAATTCAATCTTCACTTCTTGGCATGGACCGCAGTAGTTGAGCAGTGGCTTTGCTCCACGGACGATTGGATGCTTTTCATGAAACAGCCTTGAACGGATGGCTCCACATCCGGAGCAAAGATGGTGATGAATGATGCGACCCGGGCTGCCCTCCCGCGTATATCGCGTGGATGGCAAGGATTGGCCATTCAGACAGTCTCTGGCGGAGGTCTCATCTCCGGCCTGACCAGACTTGCCGCCATCGAAGATTGGGGATGCTTTCGGGGATGAATCCTCCTTGGATCTACCCAATTGCGTGGTCGTCGTTGGAGAGGGTGGCAAGGGAGGTACTGAGGCCTGTTGCGAGGTCGCGTTATTGAGCGTCTCGTTCAGCTGGCTCTGGAGCGCTTTCATGGTTTGTTGCAGTTCAACATCGCCAGGGGATTGCGCAAGTTGATCCCGAGTCTGGTCCATGTGGTGCTGGATTTGGTGCAATTCAGATGAGAAGCGACGAGGAGGATCCCGAGCTTTGGCCTGTACCAGTGTTGAAGCCGGGGGATCAGGAAACACGGGATGAGGCTGAGCTGGAATCGGCGCGGCAAAGATAGGCTGACTATGTGCTGGGATGTTTTGAGTCGCAGCGACAATCAACGGATGTGATGTGCTTCCATACTGGCCTGTTGGATAGGAGTGCTGAGGCATTGAAAGATAGGCGTAGACCGGCTGTTGCGGGATCCCTTGCAGTGGCGAACCGGCCATTGTCCACGGAGAAATGGTTGAGCCATGAGACTTGCTTTGAGCAGGACTGGGTCTCTCAGAGTCGTCCGGTGTTGTAGGCCTCTTCTTTCGTAGTCGGCGCGAGAGCTTCGTTCGCAACGATCCGGCCGAGGAAGGTATCTTCTCGGTACGCTGGGAAGAGGTGTTGCTCATTCGCGATCGCCCGTGGAAGTTCTGGGCTGTTCTGTTCTGGACAGCTCCTCGGTCACGCCGGGGAGTGGGCGTCGACGGATAGCGGATCGACACCTCAGACTCGCTGTCGTCCATGGAGATCTCGCTGGCGCTGCTGACGGATTCCTCTTCGTGAGTGACAGTTTGCGATTTCCTTTCGGGTTCCTGCTCTGCTCGCGTTGCCCGGGCCCGTGGAACCACGATCTCCTCCATCTGCTCGCCCGATGCTTGCTCGACCGAGACATGAACTCGGCGTTTCGGCACTCGCGCCGCTTCGGCTGGGCGACTTGCCGCGCGTCGATGGTCGTCGGACTCGTCGAGGCGCCTCTGTCTGCGCTGCATCTCTCGCGGCGTGGGGAGGTCAAAGGCCGCGCCCAGAAGGCTGAACTCGGGCTCCTGCGCCAGGCGCTCGCGCAACGACTTCCTACCAAACACCATAGCTGTAGGAATTTTGGACCGTTCGATAGCAAAATATCCTTGCACGGCTTGCCCAGAGAGCCAAGCGGCGGCCGGGGGGTTGAACGCAGCGCAAAGCGGACGGTGGTGGGGGTGGTGGCTGCACGAGAATGGTGACGGGAGGAAACAAGCGAAACGGAGGAGTCGGGAGGAGAACAACTTTTTGGCATTGCACTCATGTTTGCCTGCCGAAAAGGGAACACACCCGGCTGGTAATTGCCAGTGCAGAGTGTCGGGCTGTTCAACTGCTCGCCGCCTTCCGTTGCCCCTGAGACCTCGCTGCACAGCGGCCGGCTCGAAGGCCCGGGCATCCGGGGGCCGCTGCGAGCACTGCAAACGACGCTGGTCAGTACAATGGATGAAGAGGTCCCGGGCAGCTTGAACTCTATCGGTGCCTTACCGCGGGATATGAAAGGCGCGATATCCGGCCCGTCCACTCCAGTACCCGCGCAGATGTGTGCAGGCGCGATTCACCGGTCCCGAGCTCACATTCGCCAAAGCGCACCAGCCAGTCGACAACGAAACGCCATGATGCAGTTTGTTTTATTGCTTTTAATCATACATTGGTATACATTCCCAATCCATTTCTGTCGTCATGGGAACATGTAGCTGTCCTTTCCTTACGACTGCTCCATATCCATACCAAGAAACTCTTCTATAGCTCAGTCAACACGCAGCACACGAGCACCCCTCTTCTTCGCGGCCTTCTTCTTCTTCTGTCCGCGCTCGAACGCGGCGGCGGCAGCGTGGTCGCGGCCGACGTTGTCAAGGTCCTTGACCTTGTAGATGCGGATGATCCAGTTCTCACTGGTGAACGCCTCCTCCAGCGTGTTGAGGACCGGCCCCTGATCAGGGAGACGAACACCGCGAACCCGGTCGGCAGCCTGGCCGGGCGGGAACATGGAGGCGTAGTTGTAGTAAGACATCTTGTACCTGTCATGCCGGTTAGTCACGCATGTCTCCTGCTTTGGGGGCGTGATACTCACATCAAGCTGTTCTTCATCGTCTCCGTGGCCTCGCTGTCGACACGGTACTCGCCGCGAGCGGTGAAGAAGTCTCGCTCCTTCACCTCGTCAGGCCAAATACCCTCAGCAATGCGCACCATCCAAAGAAACTTGTTGATGTCGTCTCCTGAGTAGCCAAGGAGGCCGCCAAACACGACCAGGACGTAGTCAACCTCGTGCTGTCGCATGATGGGATAGCTGACTTCTTCCCGCGAGCTCATGGCCTTGCCAACCGTCGCGATGTGGGTGTTGTTCCACGTGTTGTTGTCCACCAGGGTCGGCCGGTCGGCCATGCCACCGATCTGATAGCCGTAATCCCACCAGGACATGATCTTGGCGTCCTCCTTGGTGTTCTGGCGGAGCCACTGGTACGCCTCGCGATAGTCATCGATGATGTGCTGGCTGCCATCGGGCATGCGACTGGCCAGGACGACCGACGGGGACGAGTAGGCGTTGGACGTGACCCAGGTGCAGTGCGTAACAAACATGAGGAGGTAGATGGTCAGGGACGCAACTACACCAGTCTTGGGAACCAAGCTGAAGATGCCGACCTTGGGCTTCTCGCTGCCACGGAGGCCAGCAACCTTGGCGGCCTTCTTGGACGTCGCCTCGGAGGCAGCCGGGGCTTCCTCGGGGTTGACGGGCTTCTTGGTGCTCAGGTACGTGTCGAGCAAGTGGGACACGGCAATGGCACCTGCAACGCAAACGATGGGAGTGAGGGTGAGCATCAATCGGACCATGACGCCAGCGAAGTAGCTGCCGAACAGGCCATAGACGATGACAAAGACATGCTCATCGCGCAGGTCCTGGTAGCAGAGGTAGATGCCAGCAGGGAACAGCCAGATGAGCATGTTGAGATCGAAGAAGAAAGCTGGCCAGGCAGGTGGCTGATGCTCGGAGACGGAGGCGATAATAGGAATGTGGATCTTGGCATAGCCAGTGTCCCACAGCGAGTAGAAACGGCCACTCCACGGCGCGATATAACCCAGCGAGGTCAAGGCGACGAGTCCAAGAAGGCCGATGCCGAAAGTGCCGATGAGGACGGTGGCCAGGAAAGTCTGGAACTGGCGGCCGGAGATGGCCGATCGCACATACTGAATGAAGCCGATGAGCTGCAGGAAGCCGAAGATACCTATTCCGAGCATGTTAGAAAAGAAGCCGCATTGAGAGGGTGTTCAGTAGTTGGCCTTACCAAGCGCAGGCATGTGCTCGCTCGTCTTGACGGGCAAAAAGCCGACGAAAGGAATCTGCATGCTGGCAAGTGTTCCCAGAGCATACCACGTGGTGTAGCTGACGTAGAGGCGGGTGCTGTAGCGCCCCATGCAGATGAGGACGAAGGCATGGAGGGGCAACAGGCAGGTGATGAAGGCGTAGCCACCCCACGAAGCCACCATGTAGCCGTAGAACAAGGCACAGAGCGCGCCCCAGAGCATGGAGCCCAGCTTGAGGGCCTTGATCCAAAGGTAGAAGGTAAAGACGAGGAGGAAAATGGCGATGGCCTCGTTGTCGTAGCTGCCAGCGACGGATCGCGAGATGTAGCCAGGGGCGATGCCCATGAAGGCAGCAGCCAGCAGGCCCGCTGACGGCGACGTGGTCATCTCATTGGTGAGGAGGTAGGCCGCGTAGGCGGTCAGGCCAGAGAAGGCGGGGGCGAGGAGGACGCAAATGTTGCGGATGTCGACAGGGACGGTCAAAGCGCGAAGAGCGTGGTAGATGACGCCGCTCGTGACCATGAGACCCGGATACAGCGTACCGCCGGTGACACGGCCCAGAGGGTGCCATGTTCGGTCGTCGAACCAGTCCCAAAACTTGTAGAAGCCATTGGCGACGAGGTACTTGGTCGCCCGGAAGTTGAACCACGGGTCGACTGAGGGGACATTGTCAGCATCGGGGCGGCCGGGGAGTCAAGCATCATCGGGGGCAATCGGGAAAACCAACATTCGTGGATGATGCTTTCGAAGCCTGCGAAGTCCGAGTCAGCGCCGAGATTCAACAGATTGCCGTGGCGGTGCAAGGGGACAGGTCTGTCGCGCAATGCGCCGTCGAGCGATGGGGGTTGAGCACTTACGAATGACGGAGAAGAGACGACTGGCAACGGCAGCAGCGGCAATGAGGGAAAGAATGACGACTCGTAGCAATAATCTCGTGCTCTCCGAGTTCACGCCGGCAGCGCGCGGCTGGGAATCGCCCGTCATGGTGGCCGAGATTCGATTGTCGGTCGAGTCGATGGCCTCGAAGTGAATGGAGATGCTCAGACCGCGAAGCCAGATGGCCTCCCCTATGGAGCTGAGGACAGCTTGGAGCTTAGACCTGGGTGCAACACACGCAATGCCCGGTGGGGCAAGGGGGGTGGTCAATAAGGAACTGCTGGTGGGGGCGGAAACTGGCCGACCGCTGTCCCAATTGTTTTGTCGATGGCCCGCATACGCGCATCACCCAAACCACTGGGCCGGCCTTTTTCCGGCCGCATCGCCTGTCACGGCTTCCGTCGTCATAACGAAACGGCGTTTCCGACATCTGGCCGACACTTGATTGTCCAGTATTGCAAGGCTGTAATATGATAGAGATGGGCCTCTAGCGGGCTCATATGGGGCAACATAGGCAACCATGAAGCATGGGCTGTGCAATGCCGAATGCACTGCAAGACCTCGGCTCGAGGACACTGCCGCAATACGTCTGGCACTGGATGTCGCGAGTTACACAAGAAGCACCGCGTCTCATGGTTGGCATTCAAGCAGGCAATCCAATGCTGCTCCCCCCCAGAGCCGCCAGCCCGTGCGTGCCATCTAATTGCGTGTATTTTTACACCTGTACACTTTGCGTACACAGGACCTAAAAGGAAACGTCTATGCAGTCGAGCCTTTCGCAGTCTCCATCATAGTACACCCTCCGCTTCGCCGTCCTAGGACAAAGGACTCTTGGCATGTCGCTCGAGTCTGTAGACGAGCCTCGCCTCTTCTCATCATGCCCGTGCCGTCACGGACATCCAACCGCCGTCCAACCCGTACCACCCTATCCGTCTCTTAAGGGCTGTCCTTGGCCACCTGCAGCAGGTACTTCTCGAGGTCAAACTTGGGGTTCTCGACGTCGGTGATGACTGCTGCTAGTGTTAGTTGCTGCATCACACCTGCAAGCACGTTCCGGCGCCAACGTCGGTCCGTTACGCTCGGCTCGGGCGACATACCGTCCGACTGCGACGCAGGCTGCGGGTTCTTCTGCTTGGCGAACTCGGCCTTGGCCTGGTCTATCAACTTTTGCTTCTGCTCGTACTCGTGCTGCTCATGCGCGGCCCGTTGCGTGGTCGTTATCGTCCGCTGGTGCGAGAAACCGTAGAAGACGCCGACGGCGAGGGCGGACCACCGGAGAACCTGCAAGCCGAGGCCCAATTAGCACTCAATCGTCCTTCAATGCCGCCATAGTCTGTCTCTTCGCCACTGCTTCGCGCGCGCATGACGGCCCTGGGCCGACGCATGCGCGTAGCAGATGCGCATCGACGCTGCGGGTGGAGGGTAACTGCCGTCGCCGAGAGCACGGTCGGGGCGAATGCGGAGGGGGACCAACGTTGACTCCTGTCGACGACATTGCGGCGCGATGGCTATGGGATGCGATCCGAAGTTGAGGACGGAGGTCGGGGGCCGGCAATGGCTGTCAATGGGCCCTGTCTGGGTGGATCGAGGCAATTGTTGCGGTCGGGCTGGAGGCGAGGTGAAGATTTGGATGTTGCTCGGGAAAAGTCGCTCCCTGAGTTTTTCCAGCGGCCGTGCTGGCTCCCCGGCGGGCCGCTGGGCGGCTGCAGGGGGGTAGCTCTGGGTCGATACTACGGCCAGCCATCCACCAGGCCCGGCCCAGCCGCGACGATCACGTGCGCGCCGGACAGCACCGTCGACACCCCCTCTGTGCAGTGACTGACCCAGACCCAGCAGCCAGGCCACTTGCAGCCCGCGCAAGCAACCTACCTACCTAACCAGGGCAGCGCCAGGCCGGCACGCGTCCCCCCCTGGTGGGGCCGCTTCAGTGGATGAGACGGCGGCCCTCACTCACCACCATTCCCACCACAGGGGGCCGCCTTCCACTCCACGGGGCCCCTGCCGCTGCTGTGTGCCTGAACTAGGGGGGTTTGATTTCATGCGCGTCGCTCGTCGTCGCGGTGGGTTCGCCTCATCTGCTCCGTACGCCATGAGCTAGGTTCCGACCGTCAACAGCGATCTCGCATCAAACTCTGGGAGTACTTGGACAGGCCGACTATTGCGTTTCTCTTGCACGCACCCAGCCGCCCTGCCCGACTCGCCAGTGTCCGGAGCTTGTCGCGACCCGCGTCATACCTAGGCTAGCATTAGCCGTCTCTCTCGAGGCCACCTCGAACGGCTCTCCGACACCAGCCGCTACAACTGCCGGAGCTCGTCCACTCATCACAGCCCGTCCCGCGATGGGCTTGTCGAGCAGCCGCGATGCAACAACGTCGAGATGAAATCCTTGCAAAGAAGGCCAAGCTCGCGGAGCTAAAACGGCAGAGGGAGTTGCGACAGAGTCAGTCGGCAGCTGGACGCCAGAGCATAGGCGGGCACAGCGATGTAATTTGACTGTCGTCCTTCTCGAAAGCGCGTTCGCTAACGTCCTTTTTCTTCGCAGCTGATCTCGCCAACGCCTGGGCGAGCCGATAACCGCCGCGAAATCGAGAGTCTTATCAACAGCCTCGTTGGTGACAGCCGACCCGGGTCGACCACGACAGGTGGTGCCGCCTCCCCAGCCGGCCGAGCGAGCAGGCCCAACAGCGTTCTCAGCGCCGGCGAAATAAGCAACGGAACGTCCGATTTCACAGGGACGCAGAATGGGCAGGCCGTGTCCGCCGCCGCCTCTGCCGCCGCGCCTCCTCCCATCACCCTGAGCACCGTGCCTCTGACGACAGTCTACGCATGCCCGCCGTCGCCCGTCAAGGAGGTCTTCTCCTACAGTAAAGGTGTCCAGACGACAGATGACTGGTCGTCAACGCCCACAAGGCCAAGGGCGCAGTCCATCGCCTCGGACGGAGACGACTATTCGGGCACGACTTCGACCCCTAACAAGAAGCTCAGCCGCAGAGAGAGGGACAGGGAGGAGGAGCTGCGGCAAAAGATACGGGACGAGGTCGAGCAAGAGCTGAGGGCTACGAAAGAGCTCCTCGCAGACGGCTTGGCTCCCGCCCAGCCGTCCAGCGCAACAAATTGGCCCTCCAGGGATCTCACAACTGAAGAGCTTGAGGCGGTCACTCGCTCGGAAGAGTTTGTCGAATTCCTGGAGCAATCTACCAAAGTCATCGAGAGGGCCATCGACCAAGAAACCTATGATATCCTCACCGACTATGCCTTGCAGGGAAAGGATCTCGACGACGAAGACGAAGAGAGCGGCAACACCGGGGGCCGAGGCGTTCACCGAATAAAGGAAGTAGCGCAATTCTTCGACGACCGCTGGTCCAAGAAGCGCATGATTAGCAGCATCGAGTTCTCGCCCAAGTTTAGCGAGCTGTTGCTTGCTTCGTACACCAAGAACCCCACGGCACCCCATGAACCTGATGGCCTTGTACAGGTCTGGAACACACACATGCACGATCGCCCGGAGTACGTCTTTACTGCTCAGTCGGACATCCTTACGGCCAAGTTTTCTCCGTACCACCCAAATCTCATCATCGGCGGCTCCTATAGCGGCCAGGTCCTGTTGTGGGATACCAGGGCCAAGGCGGCGCCGGTGCAGAAGACACCCTTGACAGGCTACGGCCACGCGCACCCCATCTACTCTGTGGACATTGTCGGAACTCAGAACGCAAACAACATCATATCGTGCTCCACGGACGGCGTTGTCTGTGGCTGGAGTATGGACGTGTTCGCGCAGCCCCAAGAGCTGCTCGAATTGAAGAATCCAAGCCAGGCCAAGGTGGCCGTTGAGGACGTCAGCCCGACTTGTCTGTCATTTCCCCAGACCGACCCGACCTTCTTCCTCGTGGGCAGCGAGGAAGGCACCATCTTTCCTTGCCATAGATACGACCGCGCTGGAGCAAAGGCAGGCGTTGACAAGAAGATCAGCTACAGGGGACACACCGCCCCTGTCATGTCGGTCGACTTCCACCCGGCGAGAGGTCCCGTGGATCTCGGAGATTTGGTCATCTCGTCGTCGCTGGACTGGAGCGTCAAGTTGTGGAAGGTGCGCGCCCCGGCCGCGACATCGACGATCGGGGCGGGCGATGGCAGCATCGCGCCGCTGATCGACTTTGTGCGCGAGGACGTCGTCTACGACGCCAAGTGGTCGCCCGTCAAGCCGAGCGTGTTTGCACTCGTCGACGGCGCGGGCTGGCTGGAGCTGTGGGACATTGCCGTTGAGACCGAGGAGCCCGTGTCGCGCATATCGCCGAGCGCGCGTCAGGAGGGGCGGACAATGCTATCCAAGAGCCTCAACAAGCTGGCCTGGGAGCCCAACGACGGGAAGCGGCTCGCGACGGGCGGCATCGACGGCTCAGTGACCGTGTTTGAGGTGAGCGGCGGGCTTGGCGGCAAAGAGGGCCTCAAGAACGAGGAGTGGACCAACGTCAAGAAGCTGGTGAACCGGGTGGAAGCCGTCGGCCTTAACGGAGCGATGGTAGTCTAGCCCAACATCGTACCATTGGGTCTGGGAGGATGCGGCGGCGGCGGCGGCGGCGGCGGCGTGTTGCACTTCTTGGTAGCTGATGTGTACTACATATACCCCTTGGAAGACGAGTGGCGTTGATGTGTGAAGCTGACGATGACTGCCGCTGCTTGTTCATTTACAATCTGAAGTATAAACGACACGATCCTTACTGGTTTAGTTCAGGTCTGACGTTGTCTGTCCCCTATCCCGTCCAGGCCATCGACACCCATGATGTGGTTCCCTGGCCAAGACCGGTCACGTGCCCGCAACGCACGTCCTCGTCGACACAATCCCTCCACCAAAAGTTTCTTCCTCAACTCACCACCCCGAACCCCGTGTGCGACCACGCATCCGAGCCGTGTAACACACGGCCCTGCGCACCCACACGGGCGGGAGGTTGCGCCGCGGTTTGAAGCCGCCGCACTGACTTCGAAGGCGATTCCACAAAAGGTACGTACGACAGCAGCCCTGTCTCGGGCGCTAAAGAGGAGAGAGGAGTTCTCCCTTTTCTCTTTACTCTTATTACCTTTGCATGTCATGATGCCATTCATATTTTATGAATTCTGCAATTCTGAATGGCCCCTTTTGCTTGGGGCCGTTTGCTGTGGACAAACCTTTGTATTCCTGATCTTCCGTGCTCTCGCAGTCTCTTCTTTCGTTGCAGAAGCTACGGTGCGAGACGTTGGGTGGGCTGACATGGCTCTGTTACAGACGGGAGAGACGCGGACGCGTCTTGTGTCTTGCACGGCTGCATTGGATCGTCTTTACGTACATAGAGGCAAATGGAATCGAGTCTAGTTGCTGTCGCTCATGCTGCCTTGCTCAAACGAGATGCGCGCTCTTACGTTGTGGTCGTCGGGCTCTGCGTGATCTCGACGCGAATGTTCACGTCCTGGCCGTCGACGCAGTAGCCCAGCTGCTTCGGCCCGTCTCTTAGCTCAACTTCTCGCTTGACCCATCTCCCGGACTTTTCCTTTGAATAGTCCTCGCTGTCCTCCGGCGGCGTTTCGACAACCATGTCGTCATCGTCGTCGTCCTCGTCGCTGCTCTCGCCGTCCCGTTCGTCGTACCGCGCCACGGGATCCCACTCCCCCGTCTCCCATACCAGACGCACCCTCAGCGGGGGCACGCCGAATAGCTTTCCAGCGATCCCCTTGACGGCATAAATGTCAAACGACCGCGGTATGCGCGTCGTCTTCTTCCTCAGTGTTCCGGCGTCATCCTGGTAGTGAAACCCCACGGTGACTAGCCGCGCCTCGAGGAACGACGGGTTCACCTCGCTGCGGCGCACCACGTCCGGCTCGCCGTACAGGCCGCAGAGCTCTGCCCACCGCGGGTGCTGCGCCAGGACGGTGTGCTCGGCGCCCTCGGGCACGGCGGCGAGCTGGCGCGCGATGCGCGAGAGGTAGAACATCTCTGCGTTGGTGCGGTCCGCGTGCTGGATGTGCGTGAAGTTGACGCTCTTGAGCCCCGCGAGGCGCGCAATGGTGAACATGTGCGATTCCTCGGACGACGACGCCGTCTTCGTGTCGACGTCCCGCTGCGCGTCGTAAACCGGGTTGTGGGCGAGGCGTAGGCCTGTGAGCCCCGGGAAGTGCGTGGCTAGCCCGTCGACAAAGGACCATTCTTCGATGCTGTTGTACGACACGTCGAGATATTTGAGTGAATGTGGGAAAATTGGTGTAGATGCGTTGGCGGCCGTCATTTCTTTGATGCCGTTGCCCTTGAGGTGCAGGTTGCGGAGGGCCGTGAGGGAGGCGAGGCAGCCGAGGTCGGATATGGCTGTGAAGTCGTTGTACTCGAGGTTGATGGAGGTCAGAGTGCTCGTGAGGCTGCCAAAGTCTACCTCGGGCAGTATAGAGAGCTGGTTCGCCCCAACGGCGAGGGTCGTGAGAGAAGGGCATCGGACGGCGACGTAGCAGAGCTCCTCCCAGCTCAGCAGCGTCTCGCCGAGAGCAAGCTCCGTCACACCCCGAAACGCAGCCTCGGCACGGTCGAGAGACTTGTCGCTCAAGATATGCTGAAATCGGTTGCCGCTGTAGTGACGTTAGCACAAGATCAGGACCGGATCCCCATGTCGAAATGCGCAACGTACTTGATGCTCAGCCGCTGGAGGTTGCTGAGCTCGCCACACACCTCGACGACAGGCCCCAGCCGCTCAAGCAGATTCCTGCTCAGATCCAGGTGCACGATGCTCGGGCATGTCTCTGCAACGCTCCTCTCGTCAGATGCCACCGCGCTCGCCACGCGCAGCCCGTCGAGGATCACAATCTTGAGCTCTCCCACCTGGGCGAGCTTGCGGCGGACCTTGTCGAAGCCCTTCTCCTCGGCCACCTTGCCCGAGATGATGATCTGCCGAGCCTGCTCCAGTGCCGTGCCATCTTCACCGCCCTGCGGATCGTGGGCGACGTACTTGTCGTGCAGCGCGGCGATGAAGCTCTGCGGCGAGTCCGCGGGCCGCGTCGGGCGCACAAACGACGCGGCCGTGGCCGACTTTGAGAGGCCTGCGGCGGGTGAGTGTCAGCGGCGCCCGCGACGGATTCGAGGCGTTGGACGCCTTGACTCACAGGTGAAGTAGCGCACGCCCTTGTGAGAGCCATCGTGCTTGCCACGGGTGGCGTCGTCCCATTCGACGCCGAGCCAGGAGCCCTCTGTGCCCTCGACTCGGCCGACGTACCGCACCGTGCACAGGGCACCGCTGTAGGACACGCGCTGCCCGACGTGTCGCGATTCGGCCATTATGTGTCGAATCTACACAATTTTATTTATTTGCAATGTCGAGCGCATGGTTTCGCGGGGCCACGCCGGGAGGGGGCCGTTGGTGGTGTGGGTAAGTGAGAAGGCAGCAGAATTCCGGGGGGCCCCATCGCGGGCATGGATTTGGTGGTGAGGCGGCCCAGGGCATTGCGGCGCACCACGTCATATCGATTTACAACCCATCACACAAAGAAGGCAGCGTGTATATATTATAGAAAAGAATTCAAGTTGTTTATGAAGGCAACTGATATGCCGCCACGGACGGGCCAACACATCGCAAAGCCAGGCAACGCAAAGTCAGGCAACGCAAGGGCGCTCATCATTCATTCAACATTTCAGATGGCTATTGAAACATACAAGGTAATTACAGCTTGTTCTTGATCTCGCCGACGACGCGAACCAGGGCGCGGCCGTTGCTCAGGCACACCTTGCCGCCCTCGACCTGCGTGGTGAAGCGCACCTCCTCAAAGTCGCCCGTCTTCTCGCCGGTGCGCCAGACGCGGGTGACGAGCTTGTCGCCGGGCATGACGGGGCTGGCGAAGCGCGCCTGGTACTCCTTGATGTTCTCCGGGTCGGAGGCGCCGAAGCGGCGCAGGATGTCGTGGCAGGTGACGTTCCACTGGTACAGGCCGTGGGTGATGGCGCCCTTGAAGCCCATCTTCTGGCCGGGTTCCGGCGTGGCGTGCAGCGGGTTGTAGTCGCCGTTGAGGCGGTACAGCAGGGCCGACTCGGTCGTCGTCTGGTGCTCGAGCACGGCGTCGGGCTCGCGGTCCTTGGGCGGCGGGTAGTTCTTGGTGGCCGGGCCCTTGGGGCCGTGCCAGCCGCCCTGGGCGACGAAGAAGCTGCTCGTCGTGACGCGCGTGTGCACCTCGCCCGTGGCGGCGTTGACCAGGTCCGTCTGCAGGTCGAGCACGGAGCCCGGCCGTCCCTTGTCGTAGACGCCGAGCACCTTGGTGCGGGCCTCGAACTTGGCGCCTTCGGACGACGGGGGCAGCTTCTTGAGGAACTCGATCTTGCGCTGGCCGTCGACGACACGGCGGTAGTCGAACTCGGGGACGCTGGGGATCTTGACGGCCTTTTGGGCCTTGTAGAAGTCGACGACCTCTTGGGTGTTGCCCTTGAAGGCTGCGGACGAAGTCAGTCGAGAGCTCCAGGTAGGACAGTCGGACGAGGCGGACGATGGGGAGGAGGAGCTACTCACTCAGGACGAGGGGATACGTGGGGAAGACGGAAAAGTTGGGGTGCAGCTCCTGGAGAACAGCAGAGTCAGCGTCGTCACAATACCCAGAGCGGCGAACCCGAACGTACGTAGAGAAAGTGTAGCTCGTCCGACTTGCAGCCGATGCTGTTGGCGAAGAGCAGCACATCGCGCTTCAGCCAGGACACCTCCTGTCGCGGGTACTCGAAGCCGACACCGGGACCAGACATGATGGATTGCTGCAGGGACGGAGTGACGGGAGATGTACAGACAGACTCCAATTGATTGCGAAGCAGGGTTACTGCATCGACGACGCGGGGAGGCGAGGGCCCCGATTTAAGAGCTGCCGGCCGAGACGCGGAGGCGAGCGCAATGCCGAGGTTCGTCTAGTGGGGGACTCGGCCCCGGTAGAATTACTGATTGAGGTAGCACCTCAGCTCCAGGCCGTCGCCGAGGCGCGCGGGCGGTGGCTGCAGTGGAGGAAGCACCCGCCAACCCGCAAAGGCGCCAGGCGGGTTGGTGCTGTTGCGGGGACGTCTAGGGACCGCGGACAGTGGTGGCCGAGCCACACCTCGAACCTCGCTCTGTCGGGCGGGTTGGCCCACTATCTCAGGCGGTACTTGGGGTTTATGGTGCGATCTCCATCCTCCCACCCACCGCCCACTCCGACAACGTCCACCACGCCTGCGTGCCGGAACCATGGCTGACCAGCATTGCGACACCATGTGCGCCGAGCTCTTCTCGCTCGGCATCCTCCTGCAGCGCCTGTCCACGACTACCACCCTTTTGGATAGCCGGGCATCGCAGCCATTGGCTACACAAGGCCTCCAGACTTCTCACCAGAGCCACCACCCTGCGCCCGGAAGCTCTCGACTACCTCTCCCCGATTCACGCGAACGACGATGAGGTGGAATACCTTGTAAGAACCCAAGGAAATCGTGTTTCGATCTTGAAAGAGCCCGATCGGCTGACTGCGCTAAGAAAACGAAATTGTATACTGTTACAAACGAGTGTAGAGCCTCCACAACCTTCGGACGCGGCCGTTCATCCCAGCCTGCCTTGACCCCGGTCGCACTCCTCGAGGAAGCGATATATCCCCTCGAGTCCCTCAAATTCGTCGGAACAATGTTGCGCAGAACTCATGGGCGGTGACATGCTCTCGTAGCCTTCTGGCTCCGATATCCACGGGTTCTCCAATTCCCGGCAAAGGCATCTCGCACAAAGGAGTCGTCCTCGAGAGACGACATCTCGTCCAGCTCGTGGCCCTCCAGTGACCGTGCCGATCCGCCAGGAGACGTCAACGTCTTTTCGGCGTCGGGAGCGAACGGAAATCTAAGTGCCATGGGGACACCGACCGCCAAGTCGAAGCCTGGATCCTGGCTGACGACTCCACGTTGGATCCCGATGTCGTCGCAGAGTCGTTCAACCGTGGCCGCATCGACGCCGGGGAACCGAACACGGAGGGTGTCGCTCTTCTCGAGAACGATGGGCAGGTCTCCCAACACCGAGAGCCGCCGCAAATCTGCATATACAGCAGTCAAATCCTTCAAAGCTCGACCAAAGTCGGCAGACAGGATGTCGAGGAAGCCCTCGGTGTTGATACTGGCCTGAGCCGCCTCGGCATGGAATCCAGAGGTCTCGGATGCGCACGCGAGGGCGGCAGCAAGGGGGCTGAGAGCCGTGATCTTGGGGCTGAGCTGGAAGTCGATGAAGGAACCCAGAGCGGAGCGAGGAATGTCGGAAAGCTTGCGCATGGCGTCGTCCTCAAGCGTGGAGACGGCGCGGTACTTGCGCTCACCGTGCGGACCAAGACCGTCGTATCGGAGCTTCTGGCCTGAGAGAAAGAAGGCCCGCATGGCCTGCGACACGTTTTGGACAACCTGGGCCGGCGCCGCCGGCGTGTGAGAGAAGTACCGAGCGCCGCCGCCGAGGCTGTAGCCGCCGGCCGTGCGAGGCATGGCTCCTCCTGTCAGGTTCGGTCGCAGGGTGCTCGCAAAGGGAGCCCGTCCGGAGAATTGTGCGACCCGTCGCGACGTGTTTGAAGACGGTAGCTTGGATCGATCGAATCGTGGCGCGGAGGCGCTTCGCTCGGAGCTGATGAACCTCCGCAACACATTGTTGATGCTCTTGGTCGCACCGCCAGAAAACCACCTCACGCCTCGTTTCTGCTGTCTCAAGAGCGCTGCTGGATGAATGGGCTGCCGCCCGGTGTGGCCGCTGCGGATGGGGATATGCTGAACCTGGCCCTGAAGAGGCCTGGTCGCGTCCACCAGCTTGGCGCGGACCAACTTTGTGGTTTTGGCGGCAGCGACACGCAGCAGGCGAAGGGTCGCTGGACCCCATATCGCCCCTGCGGACGCCATGTTGGAAATCGATGTTGCGTCCGATCTCTAGGGAGACGGAGGCCGTTGCGGTTGTGCTTCAAGCAGATGCAGGGTCGGGGTCGCGGGTGTCTTCGGGGACTTATAACTGCCCGGCATGCAGCGTCATTCGCCACGCACGCCTCGCCCGTCCTCGCGGGGAAGATCTTCTGCACCGCCACAAAGCAAATCTCCACCAGCCACATTCTGACTGTGGGACTGGGTTCCTATTTTGGCTTAGCTCAATTTTGAGCTCCGTGCCCATTTCTCTTTCCACCAAGAAATTTTTGGCCGCCATTTCCTTCCTCTCCTTCCTTTCTCACACACACACTTCCTCGAGAACCACAAGACCACCGCAGCTGAACACGTTCGCCGCAGCATGCAAGTGCATGCTCCATGCCGTGTCCTCTGGCGGTGGTCAACAGGTCTCAGGTAAGACGATACGTCCTCGCGCTCCCTATCGCTTCAGAGATGAACACAAACGAACAATCCAATTCAGACCAGCACCATGGTGATCTATTTATCTCTAGAATTACCCTGAGCAAGCTATCAGCAGCCACATTTTCGCAGCACATCGTCTTGGGCAGAATCAAGCTAACAGTTGCACAAGTTATAGGTGTTGAGCATCCAGTAGTGCCTTCTCACGACCATATTTTCATGACAAAAGGTTAGCCCACACGAGTGCTTTTTACCTCCCCTCCGAGTGATGATCAAAACGACTCAGGGATTCCTCATGCTTAATACATAATGTGGATACCGTTGTATAAGTTTCAGCCTTGTCTGACTGGAGACTACTTTTACACTTTGCTATGCTGCCGTTCTGGCGAGACTCTTGCTAATTCGCGCGGCTCGATAGGTACATTCCGCCCTCCGCTATCAATCCAACCCCCTCACCGCACGCTGTTGCCATTGTATGATGAAGACTTGAACGAACGGGCGGACATAATCGAGCCCCGCCACCTCTCGCCCTTGAAAGCAAGGCGTACAAACCTTGTGGTGGGAGACTGGCGGGTGCTATTGATGACACTTCGTCACCTGACTCTGGCTTGGGGAGAAACGTTTAGTGTTTGACGCCGCTTGGTGGTTTTGTATAGCCGGACTAACAGCATGCTCGGCAGGTAATTATAATTTGCACACGCAGTTCCTTTTTCCGCCATGTCGCGGTCGAGTCTTTCTGTGATGAGATGTCAAAAACGTATTCACACTATTTGATCCCCAATCATCTCGGTGATTTGGTGGAGGATGATCGTATTTAACAACTTCTGATATGGTGCGTCGTCATGCCTTACTTTGCCGTCGACGTTGGGGACGAGAGTACTGACCGTATGCAGGACTCGTTGATGCTGCTGCTTGAATACCTATCGTGGTGATACCAGCTGCTGACACGTCAGTTAGGGATAGATACCATATGTCGAGCAGTATCGATACCCTTGACGAGAGAGGTAAGCGTCGACTCTTCCTGGTTTACCACCCCCCTTTCCGCCGTAAGGATGACTTGTTCTATTTATCTTTGGCTGAGTTCATCGTGATGAACAACCTTTTTCACCTTGGAGAACTGATATGGCGTTCTTGTGTACCTTCGTCTGTCACAGCTTTTGTGGTGTGATTGTTGCTAACACGACGTCTAATAGATGATTTGATTGCTTGATTGATCATGGCCAGCGGTTATCAACAAAGTCTTTAGCATTAAATCCAATTGGTTCCGCCCGAATCTGTCCTCTTGTCCGCCACTTCGATTGTGTCTCATGTACATTTTCGACTTTATATTCTTTAAATTGTGTTTATCCCAACTTCACACTTTTATCGTTCTCCAACCATCTACTTCTTGGGTCTACTTCTTGAGCTGCAGCCGGGCGTTCATGCCGACAATGCAGCGAATCAAGTCCCAGTTGTCGTTGGCGCCGACCCAGTCGGTGATGACGATGCCGGTGCCGGCGTCGCCGACCTTGAGCTTGTTGGGGCCCTTTTCGTGCTCGCCGTGGTTGATGCAGAGGTACTCGACGACGGCGGGGTTGACCTTTGCGGCGATGCGCTCGGGCCAGCAGGTGGCGTTGAAGAAGTTGCTGGCGCTGAGGAAGTTGATGAAGAAGGGGGGCGTCGGGGCGTCGGGCTGGTGGCCCTCCATGCCGGCGAGGGCAAAGACCTGCTCGGCGGCGCGCTCGAGCTGGCCGCGGCTGTACGAGATCTTCTTCTCGATGTTCTGGCTCTCGGTGATCTCGTAAAAGTCCTGGATGCGGAAGTTGCCGTTGCCGCCGGTGCCGTCCTCGCAGTTGTCGGGCCACTGCTGGGCGTCGATGCCCCAGCCGCGGCCGTCCCAGCAGGCCTGGCGCATGTCGTCGTCGAGGGCGAAGCGGCGGACGATGACGATCTTGCCGCGGGCCTGGCCGAGGGTGGGGATCTTGGGCTCGGTCCACCACTTTTCGCGCGTCTTGTCGACGTAGCTGTGCTTGAGGTACTTGCCCAGCTGCCCGTCGGTGCCCTTGCCGGTGCCCTCGCGCTTGAGGCTCATGATGATGGTCTCGCTCGGGTTCTCGTCGAGGAAGCGGTAGATGTCGGTGAGCATGTCGCCAAAGTACTTGTTGCCGGTGAGGGAGATGGGGAAGGCGCTGTGGACGAGGGCGAGGGCGTCGTCGTCCGGGTTGGCCGAGACGCGGATGTCGAGGAAGCGCACGCCGTTGCGCAGCTGCTCGGGGACGCCCACGGCCTGGCAGCGCACCGAGGGCAAGGCCTTGTAGCAGGTGGGCGAGTTGTGGGTGCCGGGAATGGAGAGCAGGGTGAGGGGCCAGTCGTTGTGAAGCTCGCTCATCCAGGCCTCGAGGCGGGCCGAGGAGAAGATGGCGAGGAGGGCGCCGTTGGAGACGTAGACGGCCGTCAGGTCATGCGGCCCGTCGTCGAGCTTCTTCATGACGGCGGAGCGGCTCGAGGGCGTGGGGACGTCGGCCTCGTAGCGGTGGCCCTCGGTCTGGAAGGTGAGGCGTATCACCTCGCGAGCCGACTCGTCGGGGCTGCGGACATCGGTGCCCGAGTTGGCCGTGAAGGGCTCGACGCGGACGGAGAGGTCGCGCGAGTCGATGGCGCCGCCCTTGGCGCGTGTCTCGTGCGATTGGTGCTCGGTGGCATTGAGGAAGTTGGTGACTGCGCCGGTGACGTTGCTGAGCAGGCCGCCGCCGGAGGAGACGCGCTCGCCCTCGAAGCGCTCGACCTTGACGAGCTCGAGGGGGTGGATGGTGAGGTTGCGGACCGTGAGGGTTGCCATGATGGGCGACAAAGCAATGACGACGATGACGATGCTGGGGGGTCGGCGCGCGTCAACTGCTCCAGCGGGCGTTGTGATGCAGAAGCGGCAGGCGTCCGGCAGTCAATTGGGGACGCAGGACGAAGCACACGGGGGAGCGACAAGGAGCGAGGGCGTGACGTTGGCACGGTGGTGGTTGAGTTTGCTTGACGTCTTCGATGCGGCGATTTGGGAGAGGGGCCTGTTTAGACTTTGGGGCGAAGCTCAGAAGCTCGCAGGTTCTCATCGCGAATCGGGGCAACGTAGCTGCAGCGCTAGCGAGGCCAGTCCGGCAAACTACGTGACGGCCCCGCCGAGGGGTGGTGGCAGTGGCCATGAACTGGCGATGGGGGTGGCTTCGAGGTCGTTTCGCTTCCTTCTACTGGGCCTGCGTGGCTTTCTTTCCGTGGCAATTGCCTATCACGTCAGTCGACAGGGACGTGTGTGCCTTCGCCTACGTCCCGGTTGGTCGAACGGGCGCGGGGAAAGGGAGCACGAGGCCATCACATTGCCGACGTCTCGCTCCCTGTCCTGGGTATTAGTGCTACGTGTGCTGGTGGCATGGCGAACCAGGCTGCGGAGCTGCGGTTGTGGCAGAGCTCTTGGCTCACAGCATGTGTCCAGCTCAGCTCAGCTCATCAACCCCACCTCATATGGAACTAGGGGAGGGAGGTCGGTCGGTTGCGCGAGGACGGCGTACATAGCTTATTGTCTAGGCTGGGCTGGCTTTAGCGGTTTGGCGACCGGCGAAAAGAGGGGCAGTTGGTTGCGCTGCCGGAAGAGCTGGGGCTGCGGGATTGGGCGGCCGTCAGGGGCCTCTTTGATGTTGCCCCGACCACAAGTAATAAGGGGCTTCGACCAACATACTTCATACTTCATAGACACCTATATCTTACTCAAAGCCCCCCTATTAGGCACTTATGAACTACCTCTATAATGGCAATGACAGACTCGCAGTTCGCACGAGGCGAATGATGGCAGTCCTTGGACCCGTCAGCAATTATTAAAAGGTCAGAACGGCGTTGTCAACGCCTTCGCCGGCGTCGTCGTGGGGGGCTCGCCACTGGACGCCATCGCCCTGCCTGGCCTGGGTTGGCCGCTGATGAAGTTCGCGGCGACAGAGCTGTGGTACGCCATGGAAGTTGAGCCCAATGGGTCCGGGGCCGCCATCCTCAGTGACCTCATGGCCATGATGACGCCCGTTGCCGACATGAAGCACGCAGAACCGAAACCTCGGCGAGTATACGCCGACGTGCAGCAGAAAACGACGCCGTACGGCCGGATCGCGAGGTGTACTGATGCGTGCCATCAAGGGTCGACGCCCACATCGCCCGTACCACTCGCGACATCGGCTGCATGTTCCCCCCTGCGACTCTCCAAAATGGTGCTCCGTGCATATTCTTCGAAAATCTCGGAGGTCATACAGTGGCACCCCTCACAGTCGGGGAAAAACGTCTGCTCCTACCATTTGCATTTCATGCATGCCACATCTGAGCAGAGCATGCCCGTGAAACCGCCAATTGCATCGTCGTCGTTCAATCTCCCATTACCTCCCGAATGTCACCGACGCACGATTTGCATCAGGCTAGGCGGCGAGGTTGGAGACAGCCAACCCTCGGCGATGCCTTGTTCAGAAACAGGGCATCATCCAAGGTCGCTCGAGCCGCGGCTCCTCCCGTCAGAGCGACAACGAAGAATAAGCGCACTTCGACTACTACCGCCACGTCTGACCGAGTGCAGACCGATGTTCTCCTGGCCATTCAGCCCGCTCATCTGAACAACATTCTCACGAGGCAGAAGAACCATGAATATCGTAAATACCGGCTTCGCGATGGCGTAGAGCGGCTGTGGCTGTACGAGACACGTGGAACGACGCAAGAGAGCGAGGGAGCCGCGGCGATCACGTAGGTTTCCCTGAGAGCCGCTTCTACTACAGCGATCAGCTTGACCCTTGCAAAACGTGCTCTGTGCTCATGAGTCGTATGGTTTGTCGCGGCAGACACATCGCAACTATCCCTTTCGACGTTCGCCATACCCCAGGCACCGTACCAGAGGAACCGTTCGGCATAGGGAATGCCGAATTCAACGCTGGCAAGAAGCAGTCTAAGTATGGGTACCCTATCATGGAACTATACCGACTTGTTAAGCCTATACCGCTTGCCGAGATGAGGACAGTCTGGGGAATGGGTGGCGCGCCTATGGGGTGGTGCTACGTGAAGAAACCCATGTGGCAAGATCGATGGGGTGAGGAACAAGGGCGGGACAAACGAGTCTCAAGGGTCTTCTGATTCACGTCACAACTCGTGCGAGGAGACAGTAGCGGGGCGCAGGAAGTCCATGTCTGCTCAACTCTCACAGCGGCAAGGGGTGTCTGGGAGTGGACAGGGTGCTTCATGCCACTTGGCAAATAGGAATGGGAGCCTCTTGATGTCGCGCCCACCATACCAAATTTCGATTTAGATCGTGAAACGGCGTCTGTTCTCTATACGACCGCTAGACACGAAAGCATTAGTCGAGCAAAGAAGACTATACGCCTTCATCGACAGCGAGGGCGCGATGGGAATTTTTCTTGGCGATGGCAAGGCGCGTAGAGCGCCACCGAAGCCGATGAAATGGCACGTAAATGTTACCAAACACATTGCAACTGTTCGACCCTGTGCTGTTGTGCTGTCTGGGTTGCCATATGTGTCGAGAAATTTCGCCGGCGATGAATGAGCGTCTGACGGCACGTGCAAGTGGACAACGCTCGATAAGAGTACATAATACATAGTCATGTTTCGGCGTGACGTGCCTTTAAGTGGCAGCGATGGGGACGGGACAATGATTCACACGGGCCGGACGCAGCGTCCATGTCGTTGGTCTTGCGGAAGAGTCGATTCGATGGGCCTTGGAGGGGTGTGAGGAACCTGGTTTGCCTGTAATGGAGGAAGGGGAAGAAAGGAGTCCGGAGGGCAATCCATCGGCGGAAGGAGAGCGGCATGATGGGGTCGCCTTCCCAAGCAAGCAAGACAAAGACAGCTCTTGGTCTGCTCCTGCCGTTCGAGCCAGGCCGCAGCCCGATCGGGGACGAGGCATCATCAGGTGATTCGTTCGTTGGCAATGGCGGAGGGAAGGTGCGCGCGTCGATGTGTCATGCGAGTACTATTGTCAGAAGGCCAAGGCAGCACGGGGCGGGAGAAGCATCAGAGAACAAAGGAAGGAGCGGATCCCCCCCTGGCGGGCAGATCAGGACCTGACCATGGTCCGTCTATGAGGGCGAGGACGGGGCGACCGTCGCCGCCGCCACCACCTACACCTACACCACCATCTCCATCGCCATTCATCATCCATGATCCATCATCGATTCGTCAGGCACCAAGTGCCGCGTTCGTCAACCGCCCCAGGCGGGCGCTGCTCAGCCCCGGTAAGCGAGACTCCATGCGCAGCCGAGTCTTTGTTTCGATGGATCGATACGGCACCCACCAGGTGAGGGAAAAAAGGCGTACAGTAATACTCCGTATCCTGCAGGCACGTCCGGGCCCCTGACGAGCTGATCGACTCGTACTCGCTCAATGGGCTGAATGACGAGGCAGCACTTGTTGTTGTTGCACTCACACCGCACACAATACAAGACTACCGCACAACACAGCTTTCTCGGCTCCGGCCACGGCCACGGCCAACAACAGAACCGTCAACCTCACAAATGCCCGATTCGTCCGTGCGTAGCAAACAAAACATGAACAGCCCTGCAACCCCCGGTCGGACTTCCATCAATGGATGAATACATGCCGGCGTCGAATAATAGGCCCGTAGCGTCTCGCCTCGCATTGAAGACTCAAGAGTTGGCCTGCACGGACCCGCCAGCTCAGACACGCATGCTGCGCAAGCACCGAATCTCAGATCCGTCAGTCGGCCCCGGAGGGTTCCTACCTAGGAGTGCCCTATTGTCCCTCACAATAGCCCCTGCCCGCCCATTGATCCGGGTATGCGGGACGAGCGGGTCGCGCGGACGGACGGCTCAGTGCATCACATTGCATCGCATGGCTCCGCAGATAGCCTTGCAGTGCAACAATGTCGTCAATTGCTGCCGCCCTACGGTGCTTTGCAGTATTGTACAACAACGATACAGAATTGCCTACTATACCTGCCGATACAGTCAGAGTACAGTCTAGTACTGTACTGCGGCGCTGTGAACATCAGGGGAGGCAACAGCGTCACCGGCCGAGACGACTAGCCCCTTTGTCGTTCGGCCGGGGCAAGACCCGTCGACCGGCGCCCAACGACAACGAGTACGAAGTCACGAATCCCGGGAGCGCGGGCCTCGTCTGGAGGCCGAAAGAGCCCGGCCGCGGCCAAGGCGCAAAGTCGGCGTCGCCCTCGAGCATGTTTCACCCCCCGTTCCGGCCGCCCTGTCCCTCATCCGTTCTGCTCGCCTCAAGCGCTCCCCGTGTCTGCCTGAGCACGCCCGCACGCATGGCGTGCATGTGTGGCGGCGACGATGGAACATGTTTGCATCACGGACCACGGGCTCCACCGCCGCTTCCCGGCCGCGACTCTATCGCGATGGCTTGCGGCTGCAGTAGCGGGCCCCCGCTTCCCGACCACAATAAGATGTCCCGGCCCAGAGAATGGGAGAGGCGCCATCGCGGGCATTGCTCCACGGGGTGCCCAGCAAAGAGTCCCTCCCGGTCCCGTCTCTCCAGTGGGAGGGTGTGAAGACTGGACGGGAGGCCCCCATCCCCTCCTCGCCAGGGGCCCGGGAGCGGTGGCGGGACGGCGGAGTGTCTCCCAGGCTACCGGAGCACCAGTTGCGCATCAGGGCTTCAATACCGGCCGCGCGGGAACAATGGCGCCCACTAGGTGCTAGCCTAGCCCAGCCTGCTGGTTCCCTTGCCGCGACCTGACGACGGTCCCGGCTGTCGAGGACGCCTCGCACACCAGCCTGACGCCGCATCGCCCGTACTTCGGCGACTCGTCAGCCACGCATCGCCCGCCCATCGTCTACGAGGCGCCTGGCTGAGGCGCCCCGAGCTGTGTCGAGTTTTTTTTTTTTTCCCAGAGCTACTACAGACTTGCGGACTCTTGCGGCAGCAACCATGGAGGGACGGCATTCCCGGGCCATCAAGGGGGCACACTCTGCGTGTGGTAAAGTTGGCGTATGCCTCAACAAAGCACGAGGGAGCGTAATGGGGAGCAAAGTAGACACAGGAGTGAAAATGGCTGGTCAGGTGGTCTTATTACACGCCACTACCTAACATGTGGTATGGTCGTCGTTGTTATCTTGATCCCATTGGTTTGTTTATGCCCAGAACTCCTCAAGCCCCTCTTGCATGGCTGCATCAGTCAAGTTCCCTCGCATCGGACTCGTCTGGTCCGGCTCCATGTACATGCTTTGCATTGTCCAGTCTGTTTTCGCCTGACTCCAACCACAACGCCACTCCCGGTCGGCCTGTAGAAGGGGACCGTGGAGCCGGACACACTGAGTGTTGGCGTCGCCTGTATAGTGTGGTGGTATATGTCCCATGATCCGAGTCGTGGGATCAGTCACAGGCACCTTGGGTAGTGACCTTGTGTGTGAGAATGGTGTGTTTGCGTGGCTCTTCATCTCATGCCGTCCCCGAGGAGCTTCAATCGGTAGGGGTAGAGCGTGTTCGCTTTGACGGGCCAGCGGCCTCGTCGGCCTCCTCGTCGGATTCCTCGCGGCGCCGCCGTTGGCCGCGGGCGTGTGCACTCCTTTGCACCTCGAGGAACTGCTGGAAGACCTCCCTGCTGCCGAGGAAGTTGTTGGCGCCCTCGACGGTGACGCCGGCGTCGACGTCGATCTTGACGGGACGGGGGCGGCCCTCCTCGTCGATCATGGGGAGGCCGGCGTTGCCGGCGCTGTAGTCGCGCATAGCCTTGACGACGGCCTCGGCGATCTGCTTTGCGTTGTCGGTGGGCGTGGCGCCGATGCAGAGCACGTTGTTGTTGCTGGCGACCTTGATGGAGGTGTTGATGCGGAGGAAGATGGGCGACGACGACTCGTCGTCGTCCTCCTCCACGCCGTCCACGTCGTCGCCGGCCATCACGTTGCAGGCGTCGTCGACGGCCGACCCGACGAGCAGGTCCGTGACGGGCGAGGTGTCTATCAGGACGGGCCGGGGCAGCGCCTCGCGCTGCTGCTCGAGCTGCCGGGCCGTGATGGTGCGGAGGTCCAGCGGTTGGCGGTTGGGCGTGTAGGCGGGGGGAGGGGAGAGAGGGTGGTGCGACGAGACTTCCTTGGCGAGGAGGTGAGAGGCGAAGTCTCGTATTTGCCGGATCGGTCCGTCCATGGCGACGGGTTTTGCTGTGAGAGAGTGTGTGTGTAGGGTGCGTATGAGTGAGTTGAGTGGCACGATGCCGTGGCAGAGCAGTGGCCGGCCGTCTGATATCTGCCTGCTTCAACTATCCCTCCCGTGAATGTGGTGATGGTTTGCCTCGTCTATATAGACTTGTCGAGAGTGAGACCAGTTGAGCAGCGTGAGTGAGTAGGGAAGGATGAGCGTCCAGTATGCAAAAGCAGGCAAAGTGGTAGAAAAGGCGAGTTGATATCTTTTCTTTCTTGGAGGTGTAGTGGGAAGAGTGGTGGGCAGGTAGGTGGAGGATAGATTAAATAAGTAGGTGGATGGCCAGCGGAGAGGGTCGGGAGGAGGTCAGGTAGGACGGAGCCGATCTACAAGGTACGGCACAGCAGTCATGCATGTAGGGCCAAGGTCAAGGTCAGGCCAGACAGAGTGGGCGTGCACGCCCCCCTCCCCCCCGGGTCGCCTGTCGTCGTCGTCGTGGCTTGCCCTACCCCCCTCCGTCGTCCGTACCCGCGCCGCCCAGCGAGCGGCAGGCAAGGCTGTCTTTCGTGCCTTCTTTTGCCGAGCCGAACCCACCCGGCAGGGAACGAAAAAAAATAAAAATCTTGTTACTTGAGTGTTGGCGCTGTGTGGCTCGCGGGGGGGTGGTGGTGGTGGAGAGGGAGTGAGGGGGTGGGTGAGGGTGAGGTTGAGACGGGGGAGGGAGGGGCGTGGTGGAGGGGCGGAGGGCGTGCGCGCCATGGTGGTGTGTGTGACCTTTGTCTCTCTCTGCGTGTGTGTGCAGCCGACGCCTGATGGCGGTGCGTGCGTCTCGCCAGGTGCGAAGCTGCGTGAATGCCTTTGTACACGGGGACATGTCCCCGTCTATTCTCCTCTCTCTCTCTACCTCGCTCACTGCCTACAAAGTGCGGTGCGGTGCGGGAAACGAACCGCCAGAACAGAGATATACAAAGAGGGAGAGAGTTTTTGCGCCACCTGCCGCACAGTGGTTGTCAGCCGTCTGCCCGTCTCAACACTACGCAGACGGTGTAAGTGCTCCAGGCCATGAGCTGCGATGTCTTCCCCGGGGAGGGTGTGCGTGCTGGGCAAGGAAGGGTGTAAGTCAACTGCCCAGCGGCGGCGGGACGGTTCCCGGGCTCAACACCGGGGAGGCGGAAGGGACAGAAAACTCCCGGCTTATTGAGCGGTCTCTCCGTGTGTGGTTTTGTTGTGTTAGATGGCCTGTCTTGGCTCTCGTCGAGGTCTACTTGCTTGCTTGGCAGTCCTATGGAATGCTACAGCGCGGAGCATCAGCGCGGGGCACGCGTCCTTTCATCGTCTTCAGCAAGCGAGGTTTCATAGGTACTTACTTGCTATGCTGGACGCAAAGCGGCTGATTGCGTTTGCGTACCGGCACAGATTACCGCGGGCAACAATCGGAAACAAAGCCCGCGAATAGTCCCCACGTTGGATACCGGGGGTCGGGTATTCTTTGCCCATTCACTCAATTCATCGTCGACCCGTGATGGCCGAGCACGGACGCCAGGGGAGACCCCATACGTACGGAGTACAATTCACACATGGAATAACTAGATACCTGTAGTCCCTAAGGTAGGCGCCGGGTCGCCGTAGCTAGAGCGGTCGGTGGCCCCGGCCGCAGCGGGATGCCAAGATGAAAGGGCACAGGGACCCCGGGCTGCCCTGACCGAATGCACCCGTGCTGGGGGGAGGGGCCCGCCCCATCAACATTGAATGGAATGGGCTTTTTAGGTCCCGTCCGCCTGACGTCGGGGTCCTTTGTCCGCTAGGTGGTTGAATCGCACATTGAGGTGTCGTGCATGGGGGGACCGCCCCGCTGGGGCGTGTGTTTTACTGTTTCTCTCTCTCAATCTTGTAATGGGGAGTGAGTTCGGGACGTCGAGATTCCTCAATGCGGCAGGACGGCAGAACTCAAACGAGTCGCAAGAGCTAGCGAGAAATAAAGAAACGTTGGGGGCGGCGCTGCACAGCTACGTCTACAGACGTGTATAGCAGCTCCAATGGTGTGTCCCATCACGTCGTTGACGGGTGGGAACAATAAGTGTCACAGGGCCAGAACTGCCGCAGCTCCGTGACGCCTTCAAGCACACCTAGCTATCCGCTCAAGGAGCTCATACTGCTGCTCACCAATGCGAAGCTCGACGTGAACTGAAGCTTTTCTGCTTTCCCCTCCTCCCACCCCTTTGCCAATTCTCGGGCTCTCTCCCCGACGCGGAAAGTCTGTTTCTTCCCTACACACACACACGCTCGCTCGCTCGCTGGCGCACCCAACACAACTTTATTGCGGTAGCTAGCCCGCGGCACTCCTGCCCCTGCTTCCGTGGCGTACCGGCTCTAGCTAGTTCTTTCCCAACCCCAAGCCTTACGTTGGAGCTTTCGGACCGAAGTTCTACTTTCGATTGTGGCTCCTCCTCGAAAAGCCCGCCTTTCTTTCACCCCGGGCTTACATGGCTGCCTGCCTGCCGGACGGCCGGCCGGCTGGCTGGCCGGGGTGAACGGGGAGGGGAGGGGAGGGGTGTGCGAGGGACTGATTACTACTGGACTTTCCACCGAATCGTCGCGAGGCTGGCTTGGCTGGCTGGCTTGGGCTGGCTGGCTTGGGCTAGCTAGCTGCAATTTTTCTTCACTTTTTCTTCCTGTTCAATTATTTGCTGCTAGCTAGCTTGACCTTGACGGAGCAGCTCTCGGGACGCCACGCCCGAGCAAAAGGGAAAAAACAACATTCGGTGGTACACAGCCGAAGAATGCGCCCTCCGCGACAAGGGGGACAGGCGGAGGGAGCGCCCTATTCAACGTGGTTCGTGACGCAAACGTTTAGTATTGTCGACACGGCGGCGACGCGCAGGGTGATCAGCTGCCTGCAGCAGATGAAGAGACAGAGGAACCCAAGGTTACCCCGGGGAAACGTCTTCAGGCTGTACCCGCACGCCTGTAATAGGTGCCAAAGAAACATGGGCACTCTCCAATCGACTACGCTGTGCGCGAGGCAAGGCACGTACAGCAGCTGGCCAGCTTCGGTCCCGTACGTAGCCGTAGGCACAAAAGGGACCCGAACAAGGGGTGGCACTGGTGCAAGCACGGGCTCGTCGCGCTGGTCTGCGAGATGAAGAATGCCCGCTGGCGAGAAGACGCGGCCTGGGTCCTGGTCCTAGTCCTGAACCTGTCGTCGAACCCTGAAAATAAGGTCGGGTCGCACTGCAGCCCGCTGTCTATTAGCAGCGCCTGCCCGCTAGTATTGTCCCTGGGCCTGATGAATGCGCGTGGGTGCCAGCGCCAGGGGGCCTGGGGAGGAGGCGCGCGCGCCCCCTCGCTGCCGCAGCAAGGGGAGCGGAGCGGAAAAAGCCCCGGGTTCCAGCAGGGGAGGGACAGCCAGATGTGGTGTCTTTCAGTGCACCCCCTTCCTCTCCCCCGCGTTCATTCGCGGAGAGGGGGGGAGATCACACCCCGGGGCGGCCGGGAGGGTGGATGGGAATGGGGGATGGGGATGAGGAAGGGGGGATTCAGTGGATGCGAAGCGAGCGTTCGCGAGGTGAGGCTTTGGCTATTGTCTATTGTCGTGGTTGCTATTGTTGTTGAAAAAAGGTGTGTGGGGCGGCCCATTGACCCCCGGATGGGGACTAGCGCCCGCGTCCCGGCACCGCTGAGAGGCCCGCCAAGCCGTCGGGAACCCCACCAGGCGCCCCCACCGTGGGTACGTACTATATGGCTTCGATGCCGTGGACCGCCGACTCATCGAGCGACGACTTTGAGCACCACCACCAGGGGTCCAGGACATGACCATAGTTTCTTCTATGATGCAATAGTCGCAACACCTCGCCATACCCATCCTCCGTCCATCCATCCATCTGTCCGTCCAGCCATTCAGCCCTCGGTCGGCCGCTCACCGTCCACCGAACACCCTTCCCCAACCACATCCCGTCGCGCGCCTGGCCGAGTCTCGTTCGGGGCCTTTGTGAAAGTCGCCGGACGTCATCGCCGGCCAATCCGTCAACCTCTCCTCCACATCCCGTATCCGACGGACGTCATCGCGGCCGGCAATGGTGTGATCGGGCTGAAGGCGAGAAACGGTGTAAGCGCCCATCTCACACCCACACGGGCCCCGGACACCACCGCGGCGGTCTCGTCCGCAGGCCTCTCCGATCGCCTCTCTCTCCGCCTTCGTCGGAGGGCTGGACCTTAAGTCGGGTGATCAGAAATCGTATCGGCGCCACCTGTCAAACATGATGGGAAGGGGCTCTGAGTGAGCCGGCCGAGAGGAAGCCCTCTCCGATGGCGTCGTCGCGATGTGTTGTGTGTCTCACGCACGCGCTCCCTCCCCCACCTTTACGGCTTCCCAGCCCGTGAAGATCCATTGGTTCATATACGAGATGTGCGCAGTTGCTTGGGATGGCGTGGCTTGAATCTCCTGTCAGGCCACTCTCGAAGCCACGGCACGGATCTTAAAGTCCGGCACATGGTATTGGCATTTTGGATCCGCCTGTGGGCATGCCGTCTGGTGCCGGCGCCATCGGGGGGTGCGAGACGGGCTCGTTTCCGCAGGATGCCTGCTTCGGCCCCGACTGCAAGGCTCGGTATGGTTCGAGCTAGGTTTCGCGGTGAAAATAACCTTGACCGGCCAGTTTCGGTACAGTGCCATAGCAGCATCACCCTCACCCAGGTAAAGAGACGCAGCCAATACCATGCTTGTTGACAGTGTAGCCCTGCCCGTCGTAGTCAGGCCACCTCCCTCCCTCCCTGGCTGTTCTCGGTCCGCCTGTGCATCTCAGCTGGGGGGGTTAAAGATAGGAACCCGGCAGTGTGAGGTCCGCGCGGTCGTCCTGGCCAGGCGTTTGATGCTCAGTGACGTGTGCTCTATACGGCCTGCATCCGGAATCGCACGCACGCCACCTAGGTCCTTCTGCAGCGTTGGAGGGTGACAGGGGCATCGGTCGACGCTTTGGGGAATGGCTCCATCCAACTCAGCAAAGGCACCTTCAGCTTGCGGGTATAACACACATGCAACTTTGTACTTCTCACACGCTTCTTGACGTGCCATGTGCGGAGCTGCTTCCGTCAAGCATCGCACGCCCCCCCCTCCCCTCTCATGCACCCCAGCGCAGCCACTCCGTATGTACGATGTAGCATGCGGTACGACCCTCGTGGCACGGGATAGTATCGCAATACAACAACCAGGTAGGGGGCCGCAAGGCTGCCTTGCCTGCCTGTCTCATCTAGCCCTTCCCGGCTATCGTCCGCCGCCTCCGCCCCACCGTGTCCACGTTTCCCATGCCCACATTTCGCGGCAACAATATCAAGCGTCAATGAAACCTTCAATCAGAGGCCGACAAGATGCCGCGCCTCCGCGCCAGCGAGAATGCCCTGCCGCAGGCAAACGCGTTGTAGCCTCGTACATCAGTCACTGTGAGTACAGTCATCGAAGATTTCAGCCCTGCGCAGACTCGCCGTCTTGGTTATCCGGCGGTCACCGGACCCGCTGTCCTGCACTTCTTCGGACACTGCTTCATTCACCCTTGTTGTTCCCATCGCTCATCGTAGCCCGTTCTCTCCTCCGCATGGTCCAACATCGCGGTCCCCTTCACACACCCCCTCGCCGCTGTGATTACAACCCCCCCTTGGCCAGGCGAGACCAGTTACCCAGTGTTGGACGAGCACAGCGGCCTCACATGTGACGAGGCGATATCTTTGGGTGTTTCTCATCTCCTGTTGCGTTGCAACTGCTAATCATAGTGTCACGTTGGATCTCGTTGCTCGTCCAACTTTTATGCACTACGTAGAACGGGGGTTTGCGCAAATCGCTGATCACCCACTTGATCAGAGATCGCCGACCTGTTCCCCGCCGTGCTTGTTGTTTGGTGGGATTGTGCCCCCAGGGCTCTCCAACGACATATAACGTATTCCGTACGTCCAATGCCATGTACTACACTCGCCCACATCGCCGACGCTCGGTCCACCTCCGGCAGCCCATCGCCGCCCACCTTTGGGGTCCGAAGAGGCGCAAGCCCGAGACTCTGGACGGCGGGAATCCCTAGCAGCGCACGATGCCTACAATGGGGAAGGTGTCCGTCCCCCCCGACCCAGATTCCCGGGAGGCGCGCCAAAGTGTTCGCCGAACGGGTCCATGGAGCCCGAAAGCCCCCCAACCGTACATGGCGCAAGAATTGTTCCCGAATATCACATCAATGGGGCCCCATCCCGCCGCCGAAAAAGGCACCTACGTATGGAGGCACGGTTTCTGTCTAGCAAAAGAGGCCTGGAGATAGGGCTGGTGGCGGTTGCCATGCATGGGCTCTGGGAGATGACTGTGATTCAACTTGGCGAAGGTATGTGCGGCGCGCTGGGGGTAACATCGGAGCCTTGCACGGCCCAACCCCTGCCAGAGACGCAGCGAAGGGGGAGGCAACGGACCTCGTAGCGAGCCCGGCCGTCGCTCATACAGCCCATTCGTGGAGGAATCATTGTTTCCGCCAGTGAGGCCCAGGGAGGGCCGCGGAGTGTTGTTACCCCGAACGGCACCCGCAGCTCATCGACACTGCACCCGTTTCTTCGACGGCAAGAGTTGTGACTGACTGGCTAACGAATGCCATCCAATCATGTGCTCTTTCCCGCTCCATCCAAAATTGCGGTCAGGAGGCAAGTGCTGTGTTGCTCTCACCGCGGTGGACTTGTGTGTCTTGCTCTTTGATCTGCCGACGCAGTTGAGGCTTGCGAGTCTGCGACAGTCCGCCATTTCCAAGACACGCCCATTGTCAGCGGTGTTTCCGTCTTTCCGCCTTCTCGCTGTTATTGTCTCCACAAACTCAATACAGTCGTTATGGATCATCGGGGAGGGCGAGGTGGTCCAAACGCGCGACCCACGACAATAGGGGGGGAGCGGGTAGGCGACGGGAGCCCACATTCAAGGGCGGAGCAACAATCGCTAAGCAGCTTTCCCCAATGGCTCTCTTTGACATGCCAAGATGAGCGCAGAGCAGGCACGTGCCCGTCGTTTACAAAGTACAGTATAGTACGGTGCGGTGCTATACGTAATTCAACAAGGCTGTCGACATCCGTGTCCGCGCCCTGAAACGGGGAGGAGCATCATAACGGCACGACCTCAACGCGAGGGAAGACCTTTTGACGAAGTCGTCTACGGAACGCTATTTTCGTGGCGGCGAAGCACGGATTCCTCGAAAGGATCTGGCTTTTCTAGAAGTGAGCAAGATGGGCGAGCGGGACGAGGACGGCGCGGGCGAGGGCGAGCCACAGGCTGGCAGGGCCGAGTTGACAGGTCCACCGCAGTGCCACGTCCGACACCGTGGTCTGTCTGTCAGCCTCATCTCATCTCACGTCAAGCCGGATCGCCGCATGCATTGCGACGTTGCGGCTGATGCCCATGCCCCATCATCGGCGACCGCCGATAGACGATCTCAAGCCATGGCGTTGACAAGATGGCCAAGGGTGACGCAAGCAACGGCGGCAAACGAGCAACAGCCGGCAGGCAGGAGAGCAAACATCCTGGGGCAGCTTCATCAACGGCGGCGTGGACACCATAGCTCTCCACACACCGTCGGCACTTCAGCTGCGCGTCCTCACGGCAGTTGCTCTCGCCATCTTTGAGGCCCGCCCATTCCAGCGCCAAGTCAAGGTGAGAAATGCAACGAGAATGGAAAACGCCCCTCAAAGGGCAATACACACAAACGTCAATGCCCACAATGTGCTACAGTATGGCATGTGCGCGCACAGGACGCTCCGAGGGCGCGTACTGTCGACACGCCCGCCCATTCATCGCCGCCCATTCAGATGGCGAACGGGCCGTCTGTTGGTTTGCGCATACCGGTCTTGGGACGCACCCCCCTCTTCCCTTCTGCCCCCTTGGAGGAACCCCATAATAACGACTCAACGTAACCGGCAAAGAGGCTCGTGCGGCGCCTCCCTCGCGCTCCACTGCCGTCGTCATCCCAGATGGGCTGCGCTAGCCAGGAGAGGATACAGTACTGTATTGCGCCGCTGTTTGCTGCGTACGGAGTACAAAGAGGGCCATAGCCTCACGTCCAGAATGGGCGCGCGGCGCGTGCTCCCCTATTCTTGGCGCCACTCTCGTTTCCCGCATGTCTGCATAGAAATATATGGACCCCATTCTCGCCCATTATTGAAGCCGCCGGGCTGAGACTCTCATTCAGGCGAGAAGACGTGGTGTGGCTTGGCGCAGATGGGAAGAGGAGGAGAGTGCAGCAGCTTCAAGAGCCCTTACCCAGAAATACGGGCGTGGTCTCAAGGGGTGGGTGGCTGCGACCCGAGGCACAGAGACCTGTTGTTTTATTGTGCCGTGCTGTATTGTGTTGAACTCGCCCATACGTAGCCCGAGCATGCAATGTCTTTGCTGAGAGATGGACTCACTGGCGCTCGGCGTCGAGCTCGCCTCTAGCTGCCCGAAGCACCAGACGCCTCGGGGCCGATCACGGAGGAGACTCGTCCAGACTCTGTTACAGGGTTCGTCGACCGTACTGACATGGCAACGGCCGGCGACATCCTCTCGCTGTGAATTGCCTTCAGAAGAGATTGCAACGTGACCTCTTCTCTCAGTCAGTCAGTCGGTCAATCGGTCCTGACTCTCGCAATCGCCGCCCGCGAAGCCCTGAGCCTCGCCAGACGACGGGCCAGTGAGCGCCGCCCGTCAGTTACCGACAGGCCGGGACGCGCTCTCACTGGCGCGTGCCGCCGCCCGTGACGGTGCTCTGTCCTCTGTCTCCTTTCTCGTGTCGTGTTGGAGGCTGAAACCTTTTCTCTCACACTCTGTCAAAGTCTTGGCCCGTAGGGAAGGAGCCTGTATGGACGGATGAGATATACAGCACAGTACAGTACTGTACTGTTGTGCGCGCGGACACTTGGGCGAGCCTCGCCTCGCCTCGCCTCGTCTCGACGGCGGGGGGTGGGAGAGGAAAGGGGGGGAGGGGGGAGGCTCTCAGTAATCCCACCACTTCATCGGAGATGGTCCCCAGTGGCGGTCGCGGGCGGCTAGAAGGTTTTCTTGGTTCTCCGTCACCAACAGGGCCGACACGGGACGGGGAGAGAAAACCCAATGGAGAGAGCGCGCCGTGGGACGTGTCGAGTGCCGGTCGGGACCTGACCGATGATGTCGCGCTCCTCCTGGGTGCGCCGTTCCATGACGTTGGTAGAAACGCGTTCCGTACAGTACTATACGTGCGGCATGTACATGCCTCATCCGGACTTTGCAGTGTCCTCTATAATACTGTGCCTCCGTATGGACTGATGGAGGGAAAGCTCTACGTCCCGCGCGCTTCCCCCCAGGCTGCCCCCTCGACTGCGACGGCGGCGTCTGTTGCTGTTACTGTTGCTGCTGTTGATGTTGTTGTTGTTGGCTCGCCGCCTCCCCGTGCCCCATGCCCCGTGTCCCATGCCCCGTGCTTTATACGTAACTTCGTTATCTGATGCACCCGTTGGCCCCCAACCCGTCTCTTTGCGAGTCGTCACGCACTCTGGTGCTGGTCCTGGCCATGGTGCTGGTGCTGCGCGCTCCGTATCCCCATGTATGTGCGTATCGTACCATCATAGCATGATCCCATGCAATGCACCTTCAGGGCCTTCGGGAGCACCGTTCCCATGCCCCTTACTCATGACGGGCGGAGCCCTACAGAAGCACCTCGAACTGCCTTCTCTGCAGACTGCATCGCTCCATATCGCCAGAAGTGCTCGATCTCGCACTCGTATTCCGATCTCAAGAGCCCCGGGTTTTCTCCAGCTCACTACAGTGCAGAACAGTGCAGAACAGTACCAGAGAGGGCTCGTGCCTGTCCTCCTTCCCCCTCGCTGGCGGTTACACGTCCCTCCATCCTTGGACCAACAACAAAGGGCCCGCGGCCGAGACCTCCCCGTCTTTTTCGTCATATGCTGTACGTACAGTACTGTACTGTACTGTACAGCTACGAAGTACATCCCGCTCGCATGTTGCTCGAACGCGGGTCACGGCTGTCTGGCCCTGCCAAGGGACATGGCACGCGACCCGTATCCCGTACAGTACTTCCTCCTTCCTCCGTACCCCGAACTCTCCAACTAATTCGAGGGCAACAGACTGCCAAGCGCCCACACGCCCCCCCCTTGCCCACCAAGCCTCGACTCCGTTTCTTCTTCTTCCTCTTCTTCCACCGCCACCACACCACGGCCGCCCAAAGAGGACCGGACGACGAGCCCAGACAGTACCCTGGGCTCTACGTACATGGAGCGGGTAGTCTTGTACAGTATTAGGCGCGCCCTTCATTTCTGCCAATACAGTGCCGCACGTATCTGTACTATGCCCATGCTCGCTTGCGCCGCCCCCTAATTCGCCTCACGGAATGCGGCCCTCGATTGCCGCCGCCAGATCAAAGACATGGGCGCCTAGCCTGCGCGAACGGGACGCCCCGTGGTCCAACGCCGGTGGCGTCGAGCCACCGCCGCCCCTCGAGGCCGGCCGGCCGCTCGCAGACTTGGCCCTCGCGACGGCCGTCATTATGGCTGTCCATTGTTGAGTCTATTGCGCTCGTCCGCCGCCGTCCTCGACCTCTTGGCAGAGCAAGCAGAGCGGCCTCTGCGCTGGGCGTCGATGCCGTCGACCCATCGCCCGTTGCCATGGTTAGTCGCATGGCGATCGCATGGCACGTCCAGCCCCAAACCTGGCCAGTCCCTTTGTTCTCTCATCAATAGTCAATGTCGCTTGATTGCTACTATAATCTGCCGGTCTCTGTCCGCAGCCCTGGCAGTACGGCCGCTCAAGGACCACTCCGTACACGTCTGTTACCCGCTCACGCTCTCTTCCATCTCGGTCGCCGACAGTCGTAGTCGTTGCTCCTCAAACCATCTTCCGCCTCCTCCTCCTCTCCCACCCCCTCCCATCCTCCATGACCGACTGGACCCGACTTGCACAAGCTTGGCCAGAGAAACATGGGGGAAAACCAAAGATGTTGAAGTTCTTCTCTTTTCCCTCGTAACGCCGGTAAGCACACGCTTCTCTAATAATGTTGTTCCCCTCGTCAAGGGTATCTCTCGTTAATGCAAGTCTCGTAAGGTTTTGCTTCGCCTCACAAATGCAGGTTTGACCCATGTTTTGTCTTTGTTGAAAGACGCCACCACTCCGTCCCAATCCAATATAATCGTGAGAAAAGGGCCCAAGTTTTTCGTGACGACAGGACGGAAACGGAAAAAACAGAAGAAAAAAAAAGATTATACTGTGCCGGAAACCCCGTGTGCCCCCATTCCCGGTTGGGGGGTCATCATGGTTTCGTTGAGAACCGTACGCCGCCTGAGAGTGCTTTCGAAAAAACGATATGGAACATATCTATCGTGGGAGTTTGTTGAATTCTCTCCAGCCAGTTGCACTCAAGTCCCTTAGAACTTGAGCGTCTTGGGCTTCTCCCAGGAGAAGGACTGGTTGGTGCCAAAGTGGCCGTTCTTGGCCGTCTGGAGGTAGATGGGGCGGTCAAGGTTGAGCTCGCGCACAATGACACCGGGCCGCAGGTCGAAGTTGTCGCGGACAATCTTGACGAGCTCCTCCGACGTCTTGTTGGAGGTGCCGTAGGTCTCAACGTAGATGGACAGGGGTTCGGCGACGCCAATGGCGTACGAGAGCTGCACGAGCGCTCTCCGGGCGAGGCCGGCAGCGACGAGAGACTTGGCGATCCAGCGACCGACGTAAGCGGCCGAGCGGTCGACCTTGGAGAAGTCCTTGCCGGAGAAGGCACCGCCACCGTGGGCACCCCAGCCACCGTAGGTGTCGACGATGATCTTGCGGCCAGTAAGACCGGCGTCACCCTGAGGGCCGCCGATGATGAAGAGGCCAGAGGGCTGGATCTGTTTTGCAGCGTGTCAGTTTCATATTCTGCCGGAATTGACAATTTCAGATAGAATCGGCGTGACATACGTGGTAGATGGTCTCGTCATCCAGGTACTTGGCAGGGATGGTCTTCTTGATGATCTTCTCCTTGATCTCCTTGCGCAGCTCCTCGGTGGTGATGTCGGGAGAGTGCTGGGCAGAGACGACGACGGTGTGGACGCGGACGGGGACGACGGCGCCGTTGTCGTGCTTGTACTCGACGGTGACCTGGGTCTTGGTGTCAGGCCGCAGCCAGGGCAGGGAGCCGTCGCGGCGGGCGGCGGACATGGCGGCGTTGAGCTTGTGGGCAAGCATCAGGGTCAGGGGGAAGAGCTCGGGGGTCTCGTCGGTGGCATAGCCGAACATGATGCCCTGGTCACCGGCGCCAAGGCGCTCGAGGGCCTCCTCGTAGTGCAGGCCCTGGGCGATGTCGGGGGACTGCTGCTCAATGGCGACGAGCAGGTTGCACGTCTTGTAGTCGAAGCCCTTGGAGGAGTCATCGTAGCCGATGTCCTTGATGGCGTCGCGGACAACCTTCTGGTAGTCGAGCTTGGCCTTGGTGGTGATCTCGCCAAAGACCATGATCATGCCGGTCTTGGTGGCGGTCTCGCAGGCGACCTTGGACAGGGGGTCCTCGGCCAAGCAGGCGTCGAGGATAGCATCGGAGACCTGATCAGCGATCTTGTCGGGGTGACCCTCGCCTACGGACTCGGACTGCAGCAAAGCGGTTAGAAGCGGGGAAGTGAGGTTACACGCGCGGGCGCGTGGAGAGGGGAGATGCGTACGGTGAAGAGGAAAGTGCCCTGGGGCTTGACGCCATTGACACCATTGGTGCCGTTCGTGCCGTTGACAGACATGGTTGCGAGGAGATGTGGGTGATGTGAGATGGGAGGAAAAAGAGAGTGAGCGGGTGAGGCCTATTTATTCAAATCTCTCCGGGCGAGCGGGGTGAGAAAAAAGAGGCCGGGGAGGATGGCTGCGACGATCAAGGGACCGGATTGCCTGCAGAGCCGAAGCGCGGGTTAGTCGGCGGGTTTCACGAGGGGAAGAGCGGGTGAGACGATTGCGGGCGACGTACCACGAGATGACGCTTGAGTGAATGGAGGTTGCGAGATGCGGGACAGGCGGGAGAAGGAGAGAAGGACGGGGATGATGCAGGTCGGGAGGTGAGGGAAAGGCGGAGAGGCGATTTAAACCGGCCGGTGTTTGGGGAGAGACGTGGTTGGAGGGGCGCCCCCGAGCCGCGCCTGAGAAAAAAAAAAATTGGACGGCGCCCGAGAGACGTGATGGGGCAGGAGTAAGAGTGTACTTGTCCTGCCGCGGAGGGAATGCTGTCGCGACAGCGTACCGCGCTAGCACGGGCTAGCAGGCTCGACATTACTGTCCGGGCGGCTGCCGGGGCAGCTCAGAGGGGAGGGGCAGCCGCGAAAAAAACCACCTTCTGCAGCGAAATTGCGCCATCTTGCCGCCCAGCCGCTGCGTCAACGTGCAGCATCCACGGCCACTGACGACGCCGCTGCCCTTCGGCGCCCACTCTTTTCGCTGCTCCGCACATGCCTCTTCGCTGGGCCCCTTGCTGCTGGCGATGCACGCCGGCTTTGCGGCCCTCCTGCGTTTTACTCCGAGCGCTTGTGCCTCGCCTCCGTGTTGGCAGCGACCGAGCGAGCGACGGCCGCCGAGATCCAGCTCTCCCGTCCATGTTGGCGTTGGCGACGGCGCCTGTAATTCGTTGCCTCTCAGGCAGTCCTAGTGTCAGGGCGCACGTATTCGGGTGCCTGTCCCCGTCCCACGCCCACGCCCCAACTCAGGCCCTGTCCAGTCCCCCGCCCGCCTGCCAAAACGTGTCACGGTGTCGCAACCCTCTCCCCGCCCCTAGCGCCGGTACGAGTACGAGCCCGCCGAGTGCGCCCCCGACAAAAAACCAAAACTCCCCATGAAACTCCGAGCCCGAGCAGAGTCGCCTACCCTAGACCGAGCCGGCCCCGCTCAACTTCGTGCTCCATTCAAGTGTTCGGCCAGCTCTCGGTGGCGGGGCCCCCACCTCCCAAGGCGTCCGGCCGCCAGAAACTTATCCCGACGCCAAACTTTCCCACTGCCGGCTGCGTCACGTCAACCCGCACACCTCTCCCGACATCACCGCCCACATTTCACCTTCCCTTGGACGCGCGGGGGTTCGACCGCCGAGCTCGATCGCGTACTCAACCCCCCTGCCTCGCGCTACCGCATCGCGTACGCAGCCGCAGCCATGAGCAAGTTCGGTGCCATGATCATGGGCCCCGCGGGGGCGGGCAAGGTAAGCCGACAACCCGATCCGGCCGCGAAGACTATGTTGTCTCGCAATACCGTGGCCCTCCAAGGGAAGCCATGTTAAGCATCTCGCGCGGCAGTCCACCTTTTGCGCCGCCCTCATCACCCATCTCCAGCTCAACCGCCGCTCCGCCTTTTACGTCAACCTCGATCCCGCCGCCGAGACGTTCGAGCACACGCCCGACCTCGACATCAAGGAGCTCATCTCGCTCAAGGATGCCATGGAGGAGGTGAACCTCGGCCCCAACGGCGGCCTCATATACTGCTTCGAGTTTCTTATGGAGAACCTCGACTGGCTCACCGAGGCCCTCGACAGCCTGACCGAGGAGTACCTCATCATCATCGACATGCCCGGCCAGATCGAGCTGTACACGCACATCCCCATCCTGCCGACCCTCATGCGGTACCTCTCCGCGCCCGGCTCGCTCGACATCCGCATGGCCGCGGTCTATCTTCTCGAGGCCACCTTTGTCGTCGACCGCGCCAAGTTCTTCGCCGGCACCCTCAGCGCCATGAGCGCCATGCTAATGCTCGAGGTGCCGCACATCAACGTGCTGTCCAAGATGGACTTGGTCAAGGGCCAGGTCAAGAAGAAGGACATGAAGCGGTTCCTGACGCCCGACGTCGGCCTGCTGGACGACGACCCCGCCGACCGCAGCAGGCGCCTCGCGGGCGGCGCCGAGGAGGACGAGGAGGACGAGGCACGGCGGCCGGACGAGCGCGACCAGATCATGAAGGGCGCGAGCTTCCGCAAGCTGAACCGCGCCGTCGCTGGGCTGATTGAGAGCTTCAGCATGGTCAACTACCTGAAGCTGGACGTTACGGACGAGGACAGCGTCGGTGCCATCCTGAGCTACATTGACGACTGCATCCAGTACCACGAGGCGCAGGAGCCCAAGGACCCCAACGACGAGGAAGAGGTCGACGACGAGGACGACGAGTAAAGGCAGTCCGGACAACCGGTAACGGAGGCCCGGACGGCAGTAATGCCAGCTCAGACGACGAGCACTGGCACCCCGGACGACGGGTGACGGCAGCTCAGACAACGAGTAACGGAAGCCCGGGACAGACGGGCGTTTGTGTAGGGTGTCTTGTATTTTGTCGCATAGCGTTGGCGTTGGGGCCTCTCATCGAGGCAAAAATGTGGTCGAATTTAGAGAGAAGAGACATGGGCCGTCTCTTATTGTCCATCCAATGGACTCGTCAAGCCGTGCCCTTTTGCCATGATTGCTATAAAAAAAACAAGCATCTTGGTCGCAGAAATCGTGACAGTTTTGCCCGCTGGTCGTTAAATCCCATCCTCCCACGCCCGATGAGTCCCTATGATATGTGCACAAAAAATATCCATGCCAAATAATCCCCCCCAAACCATACACTCCATGGCCTCCACGCAAGAGTACCTAAACCAATTCCTGCCTACCTCCCCGAACTCCTCCCGCGCCCGCCCGCCGCGCGGTACCCCGTGTTCTGCTGCCCCTCGTAGCGGTTATACTCTGCGACCCACACGTCCCTCACGACGGCGAGGTAGCCCACGACCTTCCCGCCCAGGACGACGGCGTCGCGGACGCTCTCCAGGACGCCCCTGCTCCAGACCCAGGAGAGCAGCAGGGCGACGAGCGCCCAGAAGGTGAGGCGCATGACGACGCGGGTCCACCACAGGACGAGGCGGCGCAGCCAGTTCATGACGACGACGACGGCCGTGACGGCGGCGAGGGCGGCGACGAGGCCCGCGAGGCCCTGGTTCTCGGCGAGGGCGGCGGCCGCGCGGTCGGCGAGGGGCTCGAGGTGCGGGCGCAGGGAGGCGGCGAGGGAGTGGAGGCGCGTGGTGGTGAAGCGCGTGATGGTTTGGAAGGGCGAGCTGGGGTGCAGGACGTGGCGTCGGAGGGAGGCGGCCATGTCCGGGGGGAGGAGCTCGGTGAGGAGGCGGGAGGTGAGGGATGAGGCGTCCATGGTTGTGCTTGTGGTTGTGATGGTGATGGCACGCGGTTTAGTCGCCAAGGTAGGTTTGTAGGTAGGTAGGTAGGTAGGTCGGCGAGTCGCTGGGTCGATCGGATCCGTGAGCAAGGTAGATGGGCGAAGCAAGCACGCACGCCGCAGCAAAAAGGGTCGCTTGCTCTGCGCGTATGCGCGTTTCCGTCCGTGATGATCCGTCTCGCGCGTAGAGTAGGTCGTCGTCGTCGTCGTGCGTCGAGGCTCGCCGCTCCGTGTGCGCCTGTGTGTGCAACCCCTGCAATGACTGACTGACTGACGTGCTCGGGCACACACGCGCGCGCGCACTGCGCCGTGTGGTGCGCAGCGAAACAAGAACGGTAACGCGTGCGTGCGCGGTCCCCTTTCCCTCACGGCCGTCGATGTGGGCTGTGTCGGCGGCAGCAGCAGCAGCAGCAGCGGCGGCGGCGGCGGCGGCGGCGGCTGTACGTCAGGACGAAGAGCGCGCGGGCGCCGTGTGTGGTCCTTTCGGTGGAGGGAGGTCGAGGTCGAGGTCGAGGTCGAGGTCGAAGATGGAGAAAAAGCAAACGAACAGATAAGGCTGGATGAACAAGCTTTCTACGAACGTGCCGCCCACTGATGGTGGGGTCCCCTCCCCTCCAGTGCGTGTCCACCCGTCCCCCCCGTTGGAAAACCTGGGACCCTTTCCCATCTCCCGGCTCTCGAACTAGCGCGGGAACAGGTGCGGACAGGGATATGGGGGGCTTCGCAACAACAACAACAAACAACAAACAGTAAACCCAAACGCGCACGCGAGTAAATGTGCTGTGCTGCTCTGTTCTGTTTTGTTCCTCGGCAGCGTCGTTGCAGTCAAGTGTATTAATTACACCACGTACACCGCCGGCCACAGCGGAGGACGCATCTAGTACAAGCGCCCGCCCCTGCTCCAAGTCACTACTACTACAGCATGTGCCTCTGCCTCCTTCATCCTCGTGATACCTCCATCGCGTGGCACCGCCCGGCCAGCCCACTGCTGCTCGCCTCCCCAAGCATCCATCCATCCATCCATCCCTCCCTCCCAAGCTGCTGCGCTCATCAGCCCTGTCCCCCTTCCGCGCCGCGGCGGGGACGGGCTTTAGAGCTGGGGAGCCTGTATGTATTCCGACGAATATATACACACGAGAAAAAATAAGGGGGGTACAAAGAAGGGTATCAAAAGCCGTCGAGAGGAAAAGGCTCTCGGGCAAAGAATAAATGACTCCACCACCGACCGAGCCCTGTCCGCCCGTCCGTCCATCCGTCCGTCTGTTCGGGTTGCGTCGCCTCGGAGCGCGCTGGACCGCAGACGTCGCAATGCAACTCCTCATCATCGTCATCATGTTTTTTGTTGGGACAGAGAAGAAGAAAAACAAAACGTTTCAACCCCGTCGTCACTCGCCGCTCTCGAGTACCCGCTTGGCGGCCTCGATCCGGCGTCGAAACTCTTCCAGCCCACTGGGGTTCGTCCGCGACGCCTCCGTAAGGCCGAGGACGCACTTGCCCAGGCTGGCTACGACGTGCTCCACCAAGAGCTGGTCCTCCCTCGACAGCATCTGGATCGCCGGCGAATGGGGTCCTCCGTTGGTGCTCTCCCGGTCGTATACGCTCGTCGTCTCCGACATGAGCGACTCCGCCACCTGCTTGAGATCGTATTCCGGGGACGCACCGGGCGTGAGAATGCCACCGCTCAGCCTCGTCCTGTTGACGAGCGGGAAGCTCCGGTTGGTCCCTGTGGACTCAAAGGATGAGACCGACGGCCGGTGCAGTGCGGCCTTGAAGGTGATGCTAGCCGGTCGGTGCAGCACCGAGTTGGCCCGTGGTCTTTCGTCCCGATATCGCAAGGCCTCATCGCCGCTGCTCCCACTGCCGCTGCCGCTGCCGGACCCGCCCCCTAACGTTGCGCGACGTGCCGTCGTCGTAGTGTCTTCAAACTGCTCGCTTGGCGTGACGAATCCGTCTTCCGTTCTCCCTCCTGCCGTCGTGGTCGAATTGCGGCTCTCGCGACCCTCGGCGGCCGTGGCGAAAGAGTCAACAGTGACAAACGTATCTTGACTTGCACGCCGTCCGACACCCACTGTCGGGCCTCGGGTTGTCTGAACCGAGTCGTCCGACCCTTCGCTGTCATAGTCGTAATCTCGCGTGATCCCCTGCCTACTGATGGTGCCCATGGCAGAATGCAAAAAGAAGTGCTCGTAGTCAAACGCATCCTCGCGGTCCTCGTGCGAGATGGGATGCTGCACAGTGTCGTGGTAGAGCGACTCGCCGCTCTCGCTCACGTCGTCGCGGTTGTTGTCGGCATCGTCTTCACCTCCTTCGATCTCTTCCTCATCCGCATGCCCTTCGCCGTCGTCACCCGAGGCGTGATACGCGCCGTCGAAACCCTCATAATGCGTGTCGGCTTCTTGCACGGCCTCGGCTTCGGCCTCGGCCTCAGTCGCATGAACCTCGTCGTTTTCCAGTGTCTCGCGAGCCTCATGGAATCCACCAACTGTGGACTGCTCGTCTTCCTCGGGAACAGCTTCAATGGCCCTTTCCACTGGCTTGCCATTCTCCTGGGTCTCGAACCCTGGCACCACGCCGTTCCAGGGGGTCACCAGTGCCGGGCTCCCTTGCTCTGGTGAGCTTACCCCTTGGCGCTCCGAGTAGGTCTGGCCCCATCTGGCGTGCGTAAAGGGACTCGGCGTCCGAAGGCTCTGCAGGCTGCGGCGCTTCATACTATCTGCGCGAGCCTGCTCCTTGAGACTCGATATCTTGCCCTTTAATCCCTCCATCTGGTCCTGGAGATCCCGAACTTGGGCGACGGATGCGGAGCGGGTGAGGGCAATCTCGGGGTACACGCCAAAGGTGGGGCTCGCGATGCTGTTGTGCTGAGAGCTTGCGCGTGTCCTCTCATCGGCAAAGGCGTCATCACCGTCTTCGCTGAGCGGCGCGAGCGTCGTGTCCAGGGGATGATGCGAAAGCTTGGCGGAGTGAGAATGCCTCCCGCCCAGGGGGTCGGCGCTCCTCGACTGGACGGGCTGGCGGTAGCCACCGGCGGCGCCGAGGGCACTAGCGGAGCGCTGCAGCTGCGCCGTGGGTCGGGCCGTCGCCTGGAGGAAGCCCGTCTCGCTCACGTTTCTGACGTGGTTGGACGAGTGCGGCGCGTGCTCGCGGAGCGACGTCGCGGGCCGGCCGACCGGAGACGGCGTCGAGCCGTCGGAAACGGAAGAGTAGCTGAAGGTCCTGGCCCTGTTCAGATTTCCTTCCATGGTCTGAGTCAAGAGTTAGCAGGGGCTGGGGTGAGACACGCGCAGGAATGTGTGAGCGCGGCGTACTGTGAGTCGGCGCTTGGCGTTTGCCAGAATCTGCTCAGCTCGCTTGCTGATGGAGCTCGTGGAGAAGCGGTCCTCGTTGAGGTTGAGACCCTGGGCCGACGCCCGGGCGGCGAGGCGGGGCGAGAGGGCGGCGGCGTCGTCGACGTACGAGGACGCCATGCTCTCCTCGTCGTCGCCCTGGAAGTTGCTGTCGTCGACGCTCACGGCATCGTCGAAGTCGTCAAAGGTGGCCGCGGCGCGGTCGTTGCCGTCGATGGTGCTCGTCGAGTCCGAGGAGAGCCTGCGCTCGCGTGCGGCGTGCTGGACGGAACGTTTCTTGAGCAGCCTCCTGCCTCCGGTTGGCGAGGACCGGAGCGGCGTGTCGTCGCCGCCCATGGCGGACAGGCGAGACATGCCCTGGCGCGACTGCGTGCCCACGGTGCTCTCGACCTCGGTGACCTCGCCAATGTCGGACAGCATGGTGCCGTTGCCGTAGATGATCGGGGTCGTGGGGCCGAGGGGCGCGGAGCCGTAGCCGACCTGCGAAAAGGAGCCGAAGTCGTTGGCGGCGCCCTGCGCATCGTGCTGCCACATGGACGGAGGCGACAGCGGATGGTGGTCGTCGTCGAGCGACTCGGAGTCGTCGTAGTCGGGGAGAATCATGTCTGGATTGGTCAGGGTCGGCGACGCAGGGTGTGGCCCGTACGGCGACGCGGCGCCGCGGCTGCCATCAGGGCCAACGGCGTCGCGGCGGCCGTTGAAGCTGGCCTGCATGGTCATGAGACCTGGCGGGACGGCGCGCGAGCCTTGATCGAGCATGCAGCCGTCGCGGGAGTCGAGCGCTGGACAGCTGACACCCCCCTAGAGGACCTCGGCCCGGTGTTCAAGCTGGCACGGCCTCCTGATCCCAACGGCCAGCTGCCGCAACCATGTGTAGTAACGAGCGTGCCCGTGTCGAGTAACGAATGCGTATAGGCTTTCTGGTAACGGTTTTCCGAGGCCAACGCCCAGGGGTGACGAGCCGGAGGGTGTCGTCCGCCGCGATCGCGGGCTGCAGCCACAACGGTACGGTGCGGTGCGGTGCGGTGCAGTCTTTCGGTTGCGCACCCGCGCAGAGCGCCTCCTGGCCGAGTGGACGGAAGCTGCTGGTCAAACGGCTGGGCTGGCGGCGAGAGTCGAGCCTAAAGCTGCAGGCTGCTGCTCATGGTCGGGCGGCGGGTCAAGGCGGTCGGTCGGGGGGGGAGAGAGGTGGACGGTGAAGGAGCGTTGTCGCGGTGGGAGACAAGACAAGCGCAGCCGAGCGGATCTTGCGTTTTGAAACACTTTTTTTTTCCCTTTCGCTTCTCCAAGCCCAAGGCCCGAGCCGCAAGTTTTGGATGTTCAGACGAAGGAGGCGTCTTAAGCCCGCGATGGCACCTCAAGCCAGCCAGGCCAGGCCAGGGGACTGAAATGGGCGTCGGACGGTGGATGTGTGGGCCCAGGGGCGGGGACCTCCTGTGCGTCTCCTTTAACGAGCACGCGGGCGCTGAGTGGACGGATCGGGGGGAGGGAGCGCTGGCCCGATGCGCCGCCCACCGGGCAGCCAGGGGGGGCGATGGTAGGATGGGGGTGGACGGACGGGCTTGTGGCGGCGCCGCCGAGGAACAAAGAGGGGGGGGGGGGGGCCACCAGGCCTGCAGTGGAGGCTTGCACAGGCTTGCACGGGCACGAGGCGGGCTGCTGGTCGCAACACGCTTCTGTCGCGTTTTGTTGGACGGCCGCGGGCCAACAATGAGCAGGGAGTCTTTGAGCGTGCAGGTAGGTAGGTGGTGGACAGGCAGACACATGGAAAAGAAAGCACTTTTACTCTGGACGGGACGCACGCTCACAGCCTGCACATTCACCTCACCTGAGGTGCTCTCGACAGCGTCCGCCTCGGCCAATGGGCGACTGAAGAATCGCAGCACCGTCCCGTCGTGCTCCCTGTAGCGCCGGGCCTGAGCGCCCGCGAGGCGGCTTGGTTCAGGCCCTTCAGGGCATCGGACTGCCCCTGCACGACGCGATGATGCTGCCCGCCCACCTAGGTATGGAGGTGATGCTGATGGGCTTCGTGGCCTGTACAACGTACCACGCTGTTACTGCCAGGCATTAGGTAGGTACCTTACGGAGAAAGGTACGGAGTATTATTAGTCGTCTGCCCCAGTTAGAAAGAACTCCTCCCCCCCGTTGATCGCACGCGCGTGGGTCGGGACGAAGTCGTCTCATGGCTGGAATGGAATCTTGCAAGAATCTCCCGGGACGGGCCCCCCTCCCCCGTTGTGCCTCCACTCCCATCAGCGCACGCTCAGTCCGTGGCCTGTTGCAGTTCAGCTTGGATGGTGCTGCTGCTGCTGCTGCTCGCCGCCGAGCACACAAAGGCTGGCAAAAGTAGGTATTTTTGTCTTTCCATTGTAGACTCGCACTGAGACACGGGCATGGGCGAATCTCGCGCGTCGCAGCATTAATTGCTGCTGCAATTGGTGTACTAACTTTGGTATAATTGATGCGTTGTACCCGTTGCGAGGCCTCCGTACGAGTGAGCACATCTGCCCGCACAAAGCTGCGCCGTCGCACGCGGGTAATATGAACAACCACCTTTTTTTTTACCTTAACACGTACGTAGTGTATGAATGAACTCCTGCCGCTCATCGTCGGCAGTGACTCGCGCCAGTTGAAGGAGCAAGGGACGCATTTGGATCGAGCGCCGAGACTGGGACCCCCCGCCCCGGTTCAGGGATCAGCGCGTGCAGCAGCAGCGTGTCCACACCTCTCAACCTTCCCCCAGCGCAGTCCGCAGCGGCCTCTCACAACGACATGCATGGGTATGGGGGCCCGGCATGGGGTCGCGCGTGGAAGGGGTTTACGTGACGTCCACAGGCTTGGCTTCCTCCATGCATCAATGTGTTGTACAAAGTCCCACACCTCGCGTGTTCGTGGATTCACTCAAACAACCTACCACCGAAACAAAGCCTGGCAGGGCTTTCCAATCCGTCCATCCCGTCGGCACTTGCGGATCCCACCCAGCTACCCTGCTGTCAGACAGACAGACAGACAGACAGACAGACAGACAGACAGGCGTCACTCGACACTCGCGTGCCCTGCTGCTGCTGCTGCCGCTGCTGCGACAGGGGGGAGCGTAGTAGCCAGTGGTGGTGACTTGACGTGCACACCCGCAGCGCCGCTCCGTTCATCTCGACTGCATGGCGCGCAATCAAAGCAAAATCAAGGAAAGCACGCGCGCAGCCCATCGTGCAGTGGGACCGGGGCGGCCGGCCTGCTGCAGATATACGAATAATACGGGTGCGGTATAACGCACATGCATGTACTCCGTACATTACACAGCGAGTACGACATCGAGCTGCCCGTGTAACCCCAACGTGTTGCTCTTGCACTGGCCCGCCAAGGCGCATGCAAACATGTTCACGACAGCACTTGTGCGTTCGGTCGACGCAGCCGATGCCGTTGCCGTCCACAGGTGACCGACTCCGGCTCCGACAATGGGCTGCAGGAGCAATCGACGCCGCCCGCCTCGCCAATCTGGCGGGCGCCTCCGAATCTGCGTCGCTCCACTCGTGCCAAGAAGAGCCCTCGCCCGGCACATCCAACCGACGTCACGGTGCACAAAGGGGACCGCGGTACGTGTACGGCTATACGGTCGAGGTATCATAAAGTGGTCTAAGTCGTAGTACTCTGTATGCGGCCCAAAAAAGAGATGTTGGCCTTCTATCGAGATTCTTTTGCACCGGCATCCGTCATCAATGCCACACGATCGGCTTAGTCGTCGGCGAATGCCTCGCTCTTAGCCTGGATGACGCCCTTGTCCGTGCCGGCCTTGGACGGGCGGTTGGCCACGAGACGCTGATGACAATGACGTTAGCGTCGGGATATCTGGAGCGCGATCGCGGCTGTACTTACCACGAGGTTCCGCAGCAGGACGGCAATGGTGACCTTGCCGACCGAGGGGACGTAGATGGCGGCCTTTTCCTTGATGGCCGGCCCGTCAAAGTTCTTGTACGAGGAAAAGTTGATGCACACGGCGCCGTCGCGGATGAGCTCGGTGGGCACCTTGAACGACTCGACGGGGACGCCGCCAATGACGACGTCGCTGAGGGGCAGGCAGTCCTTGAGGCCCCAGCCCTCCTTGTCCTCGACCTGGTGGCGCGGGGCCTTGATGCCCTGGCCGCGGGTGAAGAGCTGGACGCCGGTGATGTCGACGCTGTAGACGGTGGCGCCGTCGTTGGCCAGCAGGGCGGCCAGGGGCCGGCCGTTGACCTCGGAGCGGTTGATGACGGTAATGGTCTTGCCGAAGAGGCGGTTGCCGGCGGCGAGGATGGGGTTGTAGATCTGCAGGTACTCGAGGATCTTGACGACGGCAAGGGGCGTGCAGGGCAGGATCGACTTCTTCTTGTTCTCGGGCGGGTCGAGGAAGCGCACGTTGTGGTACATGTTGTGCAGGTGCTTGTGGCGCATGCCCTCGACGTCCTTGGAGAGGTCGACCGTCTCCTGGACGTACTTGTCGTGCGTCGGGTTCTTCGGGAAGATGGGGTAGTAGACGATGATGCCGTCGACGACCTCCTCGTCGTTGGCCTTCATGATTTCCTCCTCGAGAATCTCCTTGTCGACGGTGCGGAGGTCAAAGTTGAAGCCACTGCGGCGAGGGTTCTTGTGTCAGAGCAGAGCAGCTTGGTGATGGGGGATACGGCAACGGGGAACTGAGGTGAGAGCGTACTTATCCTCGCACGTCTTCTTGGACCACTCGGCATACTTGACGGCGGCCGGGTCGCCGTTGGCCAGGAAGGCGGCGAGCGTGGGCTGGACGCCGCCATCGGGGCCCTGGACCTTGGCCAGCGTCTCCTTGACCTCGGCCAGCAGGCCCTTGGCGATGGTGTCGGCGGTGATGACCTTGCAGGTCTTGGGCACGTCCTGGGCGGCCATGGCGATTCGAGTCGAGTCGAGTCGCGTCGCGTTAAGGGCGGCTGAGGGGCGGTGATGACGTGGTTGAGGAAGAGAACCCCGCCACTATCGGAGCTGTCTGCGCGTTTTCGAGGAGGCTCGTCAGTATCGGCCACGGCGGAGGGATATCGTGGCAGCCAGGGCAAGGCACGCCGGAACAGGAGACTCAATTGGCCCCCCAGCAGCGGGGGCACCGTAGCGGAAGCGACATACCCGCACAAAGCAGTGAACCTTTCAAGAGTCCACTGGCAGCAAGGACGCGACATTCAAGTCATAAAGTGCCTTTGCTCGCAAAAAAGGCGAGAGAGGGATCGCCCCTCGCTCGAGCATCGCGTCACAGCCCGAGAAAAAAAAAATCATGCCCCTCCTCCAGCGACTGACTGATGCGGCAGGCTGCCCCTCCTACCGGAAAGGGCTTAGCGCAAAGGGATCCCCTTGGAGGCTCCCCTGAGGCGGCGGCTGCCATTGGGCTTGCGGCTGCGATTACGGCGCTGGGCATTGGCTGTCTGCGCTGCTGGGCTGCTGGATGCTGCGGCAGCGACTCCGACATCGTCAGCCTTGGGGGAATATTTCTGCATACCCTGCGGCAAGGCTAGGCTCATTTCATCTGCACGGCAGCACATGGCAGTCATTCTCTCTCATGGTACTGTGTTCCACCGATTCTTTCAAAGGATGGAATGAAGCACCGCATGATGCATCGAGACGCAAGCCAAACGCCAGTCGATTGACTCCGTCGCACTCAACCCGACGAGCCGAGCCGGGATGAGCGCAGGGCCATCACATGGTAGGAATCCCTTTGCTACGTAAAGACACTGTCTCCGGAAGAGACGAGATGCTCTCGTCGGAACAGCGCACCCGCACAGCTTTTATAAGTCCCAAGGATCGTGGGTCTCTCAGCGGCCTGGGCGTCTGCGGGCGCTGTCGGGACCACGTCCCCAACTCCCGAGCCGGATCTGCCCTCCCGGCCTCCTTCCCCGTGGGAGCCGCCTCGCGATCCCGCTCGACCCTCACATGTCACTCGTCCATATCCGGCCGGTCACCCACCCCAGAGGTCCCCTTTTCTAAAAAGCGGCCAGAATCCCGTATCAACATCCAGCGACGCGAGACCCCTTCCGCGGAGATGCCACTCGAGATAAGCCGGCGTTGGGTTTTTTTTTTTGCTTCCCCAGGTTCTTATCTCTCTGCCACGGAGAGAACCGGTGGAG